ACGTACGCATTCGACAACGCAAAGCTTCCTTTCGGAAAAAAAAGATAAAAAAACTGACTGAAGAGTTCCAGGTCATGTCTCTCACGTTTATGTAATCGTATTGAGAATATTCAATATACGGATATATTTTACATTGAGAGTTCTGTTACTTTTACTAGCTTTTTCGTGCCTTTATAAACTTCCAAAATGCTGTGAAAAGTACAGGAGAAGACGTATGACAAAAAGAAGTCGTCTTGGCCGGCGCCCGACAGTCTAGCCAATATTTTACTAGTGTTATAAGCACTGCCAAGTTATATATATATGACATAAGAGTTTTTCTTTGAACCAGTGACGCGTCAACGTTCTGCTTGATCTTTTATTCCTTGTTTGAGAAGTCAAATAGGGGAGTGTTTAGAATTGCTGAATGTGAAAGAAAAAATAAACAATAATACCATGGAATCACTGTGACGAAGTATTTTACGTATTTCTCTTGTGACTACTTTCCCTGATCCTTCCTTTTCTTTTTCATTTATATACACTTCAATGCTTGTATATAACTGTTCAAGTCTATATAACAACTCGGAAAATACTCTTTCCTTCTCTTGCTCCCTTTCAACCTGAAAAATGATTGCACCATCACAACTTTGTACTTTATTCTCTCATCACTATCCCTTGGGTGATAAGTTTCCGGAATTTCAGAGTTACAGACTCACGACAATGAGATTGCAAATGCTCATAGGAAGGAGTAGCATACACACATGGACTTTTGCACATTGATAATAAAGAGTCTGAGTAAATAGAAATCCTTGGTGTGTGTACGAAGGAAATTTTATATAATTTTTTTTTTTTTTCACGACAAAAAATAAACCTCTAACTAAAGTCTCAGTTTAGTATTTCATTGTCAATCATTTTTTTTTAAAGATTTATAAAACCAATTATCAAATTTTAGGCAATAAAAAGCAGATTTGATTTTATTATTAATAAAATTAATTAATTAAAAATACTAATAATGAAATTTACATTTTTTTCGTCAATTAAAAATGCTCAGTTAAATAAAAATTATTTACCAAATAATTCATAACTCAAACTAATTAAAGTTAATTAAATTTTCATTTTTCAGAATTCGTAAAATAGATTCAATGACGATAATAAAATCTTTTTATGTTGAATACTCCATCGTTTAAATTTTCCAAAAGAGAATGTTATTTTAAAATTTGCACCTTTAATGGAACAATACTCACATCATAATCATAATCTAACCATTCATACATATGCTTATGTATGCACATCAACAATCAGATCACTTGGGTTTAAGTGTGGAACAACATAAGTGGTAAATTCTCCAGACAAGACTCTATAGTAAACTCCAAGATCTCCAGTAGTTTTCTGAATTTTCGAGATCTCGTTTTTCTGGTGAGGATATATACACATATACATATATATATATAACACAGATATATATATATAACAGTTGGCAAACTCTACACGACTCAGTTGTGATTTTCTTTTTTATCCTATCGAATTAAATTTTATTGGTCGCTAGACGGTTTCAAATAAAACATGGACAACCGTATAAACGTAGAATATATACGTGCAAATCAGAAGTATTAAATTCATGGAATACGATATTTTTTTAAAATTTTTATTATGAAGAAATCGAATTGTGAATCGATGGACATTTTACAGGAAAATATCCACAGTAACGATATGCATGAGTATTGAAATTGGAGTTATAAAAACATAGTTACAAGGTTGTGATGTAAAAATATGGATATTGATCGGTTGAAATATCTATAGAGTCACGTCCAAATTTCGGCCTTCCTACTCAATTTGTAATTATAATTATTCCCTTCATCGCGTGATGATTAGTCAAATTAAAACCTATATTCAAATGTTAGGTCACCGATTATTAACATTTTATTCCTCAAAAATAATTCAACAGAAGAAGAATTAAAATTTAACTAAAAAGATAATACGAAATTAAAATTCTCCACGGTCATAAAAAAATTATATGCACTTAAACTACCTCTGATTTTAATAAAAATATCACTCGAGATTTTTGTATTTAAAGTTTAAAATGAAATTAAATCTATCCTCAAATGTCATTAAGACTTTTTTGGCTGTAAAAATGTTCTGTTCTGTGTAATGACACGAGAGTAAAATTCTACATCATGGCACCATTAACCCTAACCAATCGTTAATCTTTTACACTATTATAATCGATGATTCGATTAACGATATCTTTACTTTTATTTCTTTTCAACGTATCTTCCAGTAAAAAATGCCGTGTTTTCTTTGATATTGTTCATAAAATGTTTAATCGCATTTTTTGCGATATGAAATATCATCTGGAGGCATTTTACCGAGAGAATGATACTGTGAAAAATTTGAAATAAAAAATATCTAGATTAAAAAAAAAAACTAATAATTTAAAAAATGAGGACAGTGTAATTGTTGAAAATAAATGATCAATGTTATGAAGCTGAATTTGAAATTATATATTTATTCTGATGATTATTATATCTAAATAAATATAAACAATGCTGTGCTAATCTGAAAAAGAACACTTAACTGAACTATACAGCATGTATAATAAAAATAAAACAAAAGTACATATTTTTCTCTCATTGTTATATTTTTCTCTAGACGTTTTTATTTTCATTTTAAACTCAGAGAAAATAGTAAGCAGGTCAATCTATGAAACCCTACAGCTTTGCAACCTACTACTCCTCTTGCGAAAGACTTAATATGCGCACATAACAATGTTGAAATACTCGTCTTTCTATCCACTACAAAGCTTTGATATTGAGCTAACCAGAAGAAGTCCAGAGATAAATTTTCATTCAAGACATCATACACCATTTGATATCTTATGATTCTCATGTAATTTAATTTCTATCAAAAATATATCAAATGATAGACACCCTTCAGCAGTTTAAGTGCAAACACGTAACACATTGCGTGACGTGCATGGGCGTGGAATGTAGCGGATCACTATATTTCTTCAACATAGCAGTATCCTCGATTATTCATTGTAAAAATAAAAATGTAAAATGCCTTGGTGATATATTTATTTTTAGATTTCTCACTTTTTTTTTATGTGTATGTCATTCTTATTAATAATTGTGCAGTTTATTTATATTTATGCAACTGACAAGATTTATCAAATTACCATTAATGGTTATTGCATATTGTTTTTACCTTCGTCATCTCAAAACTCTCATACTGCTGCTAAATTATCGATTAGTATTTTAAAAAATGTCATAATAAATCCAATTACTCCAATGGTATTGAGATCAACTAATTTACATATGAATATACCGTAATATAACTTGAGTTTTAGAGTAATGGCATTGCTTAAAATTTTCGAAAATCCATTTATCTAAATGCCATTGTTATTCAGGTTTATTATATTTAACCGATATTCATTAGTGTCAATCAATTAACTCGATTATTGAATTTCTTCAGAGATTAAAAATTATATCTAAGATTAAATTGTATACTATTTTTAAGAGGCTAATATATTTATAGGATGAGACTAATCAACTAATTAATGAAAATCCAATTTTTGTAATTAAACTTGACTGGTATTTTATATTCACTTAGAATCTTCAATAATAGTTTTTATCAATTAATTAAATTTATCAATTCTAAATAATACTGGCTCAATTATAAACTGTTTCAAGCACCGATAAATAAATTAAATTCATGATAAATTTTAAATAAATGATTAATGTAATATTATCATTAATTTAAATAATTAATTATAAGTGTAATTAATTAAAACTACATTCACTTGTTTCAGGCAATCAGATAAATGTGTTTACTTCGAATAAAACTTTTGTTCTTAGTACTTCCGTACTTGTCGAATTTGTTCTAGAGATTGTAACAAAAGAATATATAGACCACAATAAAGTTGTAGATGTATAGAAATTTATTTTAAAAGGAAAATTTAGTAAAATGATATTTTTGCATTAATATTGATTTTATGTTCAAAATAAACTTGATGAGAAATAATGTAAAATTATTAATTAACAAGTTGATTTAAGTTTCAAAGTGTAATTCAATCTTGGCCCTATAATTTTGGCATCTTTGTTCAAACAACCTATACTATATCGCCATTGAGAACAGGTTTTTGAATGTTGGGAAGCGCAAGAATGTCGACGCATGTTGCTGCACCTTTTTATTTATTTTATATTAGTCCTCAAATTCATGAGACCGCAGAGAACATTGTATGAAATAAGAAATGTGAAGACATATTTTCCATCGTACATCTTCATTGTACATTTATGAAGATACCTCATATTTAAATGATGTAAAAAATATTTATCTTAATAACAATGACTATTTGTACTAGAAAGAAATATATTAATTTAATATGTACAGAATTGTTTTTAAGATATAGAAGTATATATAATTAAAATAATATCATTATCAAGTACGTATAAAACTTTTGTCTGTAAAATCTTTTCAACAGAAAAGTCTCGGTAAGAAATTAACGAAGTAACTTTAACGTATCCCAATCGCTGACTAAAAGTTTTTAAGTTTTTTTTTTCTGTTTTCAGCCGTTGAGAATATTAGCGAAGTCGAAAGTAAAAAAATGAACGGATGAAATGAGTTTTAATTGTAGATATAATGATAAAAAAAAGACCCAAAGTAGAATACCTATCTCATTTGCACGTTCTATGTTCTTTCAATAACAAGAATTATACAATATCCATGCTGTAGCTTTGATTTATTTCAAAGGCAGCTAATTTCCTTGAATTGTTCATTATTTTTTATTCACACTTCAAACGAAGCTATTTTTATGAAAATTTATATTTATTTTGAATGTAAATTTATTCATCTATCTTGACATAACAAAAAATGTATGAATAAATTAAATGATATTGAATGAAAAAAAATTCATAGATACATGCTTCAATATTATTGAAAGAGCATAATAAATATTTTACGATATTTATTTAGACACGCATTATCAAATTAACTTGTAATTAAAAAAAAAACATAAATAAACTCACCTCTTCAGCAAACTCAAAATCGCCATCAAATTTACGCTTGCCATCAGTTGTTGCAATCACAGCAAAAATTGCTATGAGCAGGAACACCTTACACTGAAGCCGCCTCATATTTCCTTTTTTCACTCCCACGAGTATGGTTATTTTTGTGTGTTATCCGCAAATTAAACTAAACGTAAAAACGATAATAAATAATATCACTTGATAAAGAAAATGTCAAAATAATTGGGATAAAAATCCCGAAAAAGTGATTAAATTAATAACACAAATATATTGTAATTAAAAAAATCTTTGCTATGATTAATTGTACGAAATAAATAAATAATTTAAAATTTAACTATAAGACAATAACGACAAATATTAGTTTTGTTGTTGGTACACACGCGACGAGAGCTACACGCACGATGTAGTAAAACGCGTTATGTGAAAGCCAGCGACCCCAATTGTGTCGTGCTACTCTCCAGGAGTCGAGAGGATTATGACTGTGCGCGAAGAGAAGGGTACGGTTACACCGCCAACGCACAGATACACACTTGACGCCATTGGTTGAATTCCGGGGCAGGTATGAGCAAGACAGTAAGGGAGATAGAGAGAGAATCAAGCGATCGAGTGTGTAGCAGATAAGGAAATGATGAGAGTAGTGGTGTATACATAGGGACGATACTCACTCCACCCTACGCCATTTCCTCGGCATGGATCGCGCGAGCGCGGCGTCATCCGCGATGAAGTCGATATTTAGTCTCGATGTCTAGCTTTTCTTTTCCTTCTTCATAACATTTCACTTCTTTCAGACTTTAATCTCTTCTTTTAGATTCATCTAATCATACCAAAAAATAATACCATTCATTAAAATAATCTGTTGAATATTAATTACCTCAATTCTCACTATTTTTTATTTTCATTAATCTTGTACTTTCCACGATACAAATTTGTTTTATAAAGCAGTTAGTGTTTAAATTGAAATGCAATTGTTACATCTAATGTACCTTCTTTTTGCTGTGCAATAAATGATTGTTCTCAATGTAATTACAATAGAACTTAATTAACAATATCATGGAATTTGTTATGCGCAAGATAGATAATCAGTACATACAGAAGAAAAAACCTGCATTGCGTTACAGTTAATTTATTTCCGATCTTATCACCTTGTCCTTCGTGTTTTAATGTTTGCATCTTCACTTAAGATGCACGTAATGCCATTTATCAACTGCAATAATACACATGAGAATTCAGTTAATCAAATAATAGGTTTTACTCTATTACAACTTACCAGTTGGCTCTGGTTGTTCAGGCTCAGCAGGTTCAGGGGCTTGATTTAAAATATCTTCAGCTGCACTTGCATCAATTTTAAATGGGCTCCCATCCACAGTTAAATTCATACTAAAATTACATACATGTCTACCTTTAATGAGATTTTCTTCAAGTAATTTATATGTAAATAATCATATTATAACTACCATGAAATTCCAGAAGTTTCAGTCTCACGTTTGATAAGATTTTTCCAGTGCTCGTGAACTTCTTCTATAATGTGTAAAGCAAAATCACGAGGTTTTGCTTCACCATTAAAAGCAAATTGATTTTCTGGTTTTCCATCAGGAATTTTATAAATTTTAAACCACTCAATTGTTGCCTTCAATAAACCAGGATAGTGTTTTTCCACATCTCCGATATCTAAAATTAAATATACTCATGTAATATTTCATGCGAAAATTGTAAGCTGCTTGAAAGATTATTACACGTCATCTAATACTATGCAATCATCTTATAAAATGACAATAACAGTATGACTAATAGATGAGGGAATGAAATTCTGAATAATTTAGACTTTTATAATAAATTATTTAGATTACCATTCATCTGCTCTGCTAACGGATCATCAACATTGATAACTATAATTTTCCAATCAGTTTCACCTACACAAAAAAATAGTTAGAGTAAAACATAAGGTCAATTTAATTAAATGGTATTAATAAACCGTGAAAAAGTAAATCTTACCTTCATCAATTAGAGCTACAGTACCAAGAACTTTAACTTTCAAAACTTCTCCTCTCTTTGCTACCTAAAGAATAAATATGAAACATCAAGTAGTAATAGAAATTTTTTAGAGTGAATGATATCATTTATTATACTAATTACCCGGTAACCAATTTCAAGAACATCAATGGGATCATTATCTCCTTTGAAACCGGTAGCTTCGTCAAGTACTTCCGGATTTTCCCAAGTCTGAAAGAAATTTTATTATTTTTATCGCTCTTAGATGTTTATTTTTTTCATAGAATAGTACTAATAATAACAATATTATTTTTACCTGAGGAATTGCACCGTAATTCCAAATATATCCATGATGAGGGAAACAATTAGGTACAAATCGAAGCTTCCCTTTTTTGACATCTTGCTTAATTGGATTTAATTGTTCTTTCAAATTAATTTCCATTTTTGCATTTGTCCATCGTGGAATCTCAACAATCATGTGAAAGATTTTGTTACCTTCGTCAGCATAGAGAGGTATATCGTGCATGGGTGAGATAGGACTTTCGTCATTTCCTGAAATAGAAATAATTAATTATTCTTTGTGCTATCTATCATTACAGCAATTGAACATTCAAGGACATTGAATTATTTCTGGAGTAATTTTTCTATTTAAAAATTCCAAAAGACATTTTGAAATCATCATCATCATCAATATAATTAAATTAATTGGAAAAATACAGTTACTTCTCTGATAATTACTTGTGTATTTATTTTCAATTGTAACATTTCTAATATTTTCAACTTTCACTAGTTGACTTGATTCAGAAATTTTATACAATAAATGTCAAAGGTAAACCCAAGAATATTCATAAGAAAATGTCATTCCGGATTTATTTCATAAAAAAAATATAACTTGCAAAATAAAATCATTACTAGTTTACTAGGTTGTGAGTTCATGATATGACGATGAAAGAAACAAATAATTGTGCTTATTATCGCATGAAAAGTCAATTGCGGATATTACGGCAAAAAATAATGAGCATTAAGATATCATTACTCTTGACCTTTTAAGTAAAAAAAAAAAATAATGTTGTTGGTCGGTAAAGCGTTAGGTTATATCAAGATCCAATTGTTATACTTACTAAAGTATATTCGGAAATCTGTAGTGTTTGGTGCACCACGCTCTACCGTTGAATAAGACATTGTTAATTTTGGTTTTTTAATTTGTAATAACTGTCTAGAGCTATTCAAACGTCTTTTTGTTACTAATCGAAATGGAAAGACAAATCTGTTTAAACTGAAGCTACGAAACACGTGTAAACTCGTTACGGCTGCCATTGTGACATCTGACGGGGATAGATAACACTAGATAAGAAATTTAAAATCAGGTAATAATCTATCAGTAATGACGTGATAATAAAAAATTAATTGTCTTTTAGTTTACAGTTATATTAATAGTCTGACTACATATTGGTTACTCTACTCATTCATTGAGCTAATTATATACATATGAATAAACATACTTTTTTAAAAAAGTTGTGTATAAAAAATGTATTAAATAGATTCATTGTCTTTAATAATTCATAAGCATTAATATTATATGATAATCATACATATTTCAAAATAAATGGATTCTTCGAAAATGAGTATTGTAATATCTTTGTACAGGGTTTAATAAAAAAAAACTTACAACTAAAAATAAATATTGGTTTAGAATGTAAAATTTTCTGAATTAAAAAATATTATCAAAGATACAAATTATATAAAATTTGTTTAAATCTAATCTCTTCTATATCAGGTAGCTTCTTGGTAAATAAATTTTTTAATCGCTGCAATACTTATTTATCCTATAATAGTCATGTAGATTATTTTGATTAATAACACTGAATTGTGAAAAAAAAAATACCTTTGTAATATAAATACGAAAATTCAACAACTAAAATATGTTTTTTGTTATTGATAGTGTCAGATTAAAAAAAGTACTGAAAACAGTATGTTTTTAAATAGATGAAAGAGTTCAGAATTCTGATTAATTTAAATTATTTCGAATAAAATCTAGGAATGCAGCAGTTTTTGTGTAAACTCCAGGAATTCCAGGTTCAGCACAACGCCAACCATATGAAATAATACCAATAAGGTAAAATGCTTTTCTTTTATATGCACTATTTTTGTTAGCCCACGTGTACATCAAAGGACCACCACTATCTCCCTAAAATCCCAAAAAAAAAATTACAAAATAAGATATAGAAATATTACAAACAATAAAACAAAAAATAATTTTACCTGACAAGCATCTTTGGCTCCATCATTGTAACCAGCACATAATACACGATTATCGATAATAGTATTTTTAAATCGTTTGAAAACATCTTGACATTTCTTTAAATCGATAATTGGTACTTGTAACTGTTGCAAGTGCGTTGCACTTGGACCTCGGAAATAAACAGAACCCCAACCAGCAATAAATGGGGTATGCCAGAGCAAATCCTTGTTGGCTATTTCATCAGGATATGGTATGCATATAGGTTTTATAAGATCTGTGACAAAATTATCAATTACTTCATCGATTCTCTTACATCCATTATAAATATTAATTGAAATAAAATTAAAAATATTGTCCTCTTACATGAAAACTGAACGTCTTGTTCGAGTCTCAGAATACCGATATCATTGGTATAGTGTTTAGGGCTATACTCTGGATGTATTATAGACCGGTCAATCGGTATATCTATTGGTGATGCTCCATCGTTAACAGAATCATTAAGATCAAGATCACCAAGTCGAACAATATAGAGATCGTTACGCTCATAGATACAATGTGCAGCAGTTACAACATGACGCGAAGAAACTAAACTACCACCACATAGCCATCCAACTCGATTGGTTTTTTGATTGAGATATCCAAGTGCAGCCATCCAAGGCCAGTTTCCTGTAATAAAATAAAATTTTAATAAAAAAAATAGTTTATGTATGAAACTAATAACTAACAAAAATAAAAGATCACCTAATGATGCAGGATTTCCACCAACAACTCTTGTGTAAGTACCATTGTCGACTATACCACAATCAGGAGCAAAAAGTGGTCCAAATTTAGAATTTGGTGATATATCTTTCGGTGGTGGAGTTGGTGCTGGTGTTGTGGTGGAAAGTGGAGTTCGATCATCATTGCTCATTCGGCAACATACTTTTGGATCTAGACCTTCAAAACCACATACAGAGCTTCGTAGAAAATCACCAACTGCAGTACCATGAATACGAAGTAATGTTATAAGGGGTTGACATTGTCTAATATTCAAACATACTCCCAACTCTCCTGTAGGAGTTCGACAATCATATTCTGTAAAAATATAGAAGTATTTAGTATTTTCTGTGATTGTTTGCTGCTTATTTATACTACTTTTCAATTAATGATGATATCAATTCTTGAGAAATTGTATCATAGTCATGAGAATTTCTGTAATTAAAAAAAAAATCAAAAATTGCGCAAAATTTGCTATCAATAAATTAGTTCTACGTCGATAAATAAATGATCAATAGTTTTATTGAGTTATTATGCAATAGTAATCTAGATGTTTCGCTTGATCTTCTAATAACTGTCAACAGTATAAAATATTTTATGTACAAATAAATATGTCAATGATTTTTTACAAAGTTTTCCTGCCAATGACTCATAAATAATTAAATCTTATTCTGGTGACATTTCTATTCTATTAGATGTTGAAGAATAAATATTTTCATCTGAGAATTCTTTGCAAATTGCTACTAGTTAAAGATCATCTATGTCAAACGAAAAAATATTCTAACACGTAAATAACTTTTCAAAGAATTCTCTACTCTAATGAATTAACGATTCAGAGAAGTATTAAATTTCAACATCCAATATCGAATGTCCTTGTCTTTGCTTAATTCGTATGTATAAACACATACGGAGATTGACCACATGCCTTTCGCGGCCAAAAAGACCTGAACCTTGACCTCGTTAGTTTAATGTTTGATTAAGATAAAGGATTCTGTATCATTCTGAAGACGTACTGACCCTGAGATTTGGCTGACGAGATGATAAATAACGTCAGAACTAGGAAGATGGAGCTCATCGATCGCTGGCACATAATCTACAACAATTAAAAGAATTAGTTGAATAATAAAAAAGTCATCAATCATAAAGAGAACTAATAACTAAAGTATAAATAATGTTATTCTTACATAAATGTTAGAAAAAAATTAAAGGTACTTGAAAAGCAGAATATGTATAAAGTATTCCCAAGAGGTTTTCTTTTCACGTCAATTTTTTACTAAACAAGTTATTGTATTTGAAGGTCAGTTATCTACGAATTGTTTACTATTTTAATTGACCGGTTTATGTAAATGCGTGTTATATAAATTAGTTGAATTGATAAATCCAATGTTGGTTCAAATAATTATCATGCGTACGCTTGACTGCTTTAAGTTGACAGAAATTATTATACTACCCCATAATTATAATTTGGAAATCCCCTAGTACCTGTTACTTTCTCAAAACCGGAAAAAGATGTACGTAACATTCAAAAAGAGTGGGTTCAAGGCTATATGAGAAATTTTTTGCCTCTCTACAATATATTAAAAACCTGAAAATTATATCACAATTATCCTTGATGACTTTTGATTTTGATTGTCAGGTTGGAGCATCAAAAATTCCATTAGGTTTAATTTTTATATTTTACTTGATTACTTTTTATATGAATAAAAAATAATTCGAGTTTCTATTTAACTGTTTTAAAATAAAAATAAACAGTTATTATTTTTTTTATTTTATTATATTTTACCACGTGTACCAACCAATTCAATTGTTTATTAATCACGAATGTACACTTATAAAAAATAGTTATTATCAGAAAAAAGTAAAAGAAAAATTAAAGAAAGAACAATTTTGAAAATAATCATATTATAAAATCGAAAACATGTGTATAAAATAAAAAAAACATTATAAAAAATAGTGTTATATTAAAATGAAAAATCTACGTAAAAAATAAAAAGTTTCTAATCAATTTTCTTTTCATAGTATTAAGACATTTGCAATATGCAAGCACTACACTTCAAATCAATTATTTTTATTTCATATTGACTAGATTCCACACAATTATACGATAATTATGAATAATACCTTTGTAAAGTTGTAGAATCTCTAGATGAGAAGGAGAAAATAGGAATGAATTAAAAATGATCGAACTAGCTGTTTGACACGCAGCTTCAAGAAGACTACGTCGGCAGAAGACTGGTGAAGTTCACGCTGACATTCTCTTTATATCCACCAGTGATTCCTCACCGAACGGAGATCAGACTTCTACTCTTTAAATTATGCTTCCACGATGACGTATAATTTTGAGTGGACTTGTAAAAATAATTTGTAAATTACTTAAAAGTTATAATTTTCAAGGTTGAAAATTACTTTAAACTCATAAAAAAATACTATGATAGAATTCAAAAAATAATTGGTGAATACAAATCGTTAGAGAAATATGAATATTATTGCGTACTTGGGTTGAAGAAATGAATCATCGTACATTTAATTACAGATTCTATAAAAAAAATCCTTTTTGTTGTTTATGTTGACTTCATTTCATATTTAATGGATACCGTGCTGGAATTGAGTAGGCTTCAGTGAAATGAGCAAGTGGGTAATTCCATCGATTTAAATAATGCTGGAAGGTGACAACACGCAAAAAAAAAATTAAATGTGTCACTAATGTAATTTTTCAGACAAGATCTTGATTTAGATCCGATATGATAAAATACAAAATACCGGATGAATTAATTCACCCATTACTATTAATCAGAGTCAGGAAAAAATAGAGTATAATTGGCATGATGTTTGAAATTAGGATGATCTTGAACAAAAATATATCTAAATGTAACTGATTTTAATGGATAATAAATTGAAAAATAATCACAAAGAAGTTATATAATTTTAAATGATTGTGTATTTTTTTTTTTTCTTTAAATTGTTGATGGATTATTATAGATAAACCTTTGCAAGTAACAATAAGTTCAATTGGTTTGATATTTACATCAGACAATTTTTCAAATCATTCAAACTTACAAAATTGATAAATTGTTACAATCTTTATTTGATTTATTTACTTAACGAATAAGTGATAAATGTACTGAAAGTGTATAATTATATTATATTATCTACACACTTAATACACATAACAAGAAATGCAGCACCTCATTTCATCGCCTATTGTTATGATTAAATATTCTTAATAATAATACAATATTACAGTATACAAAATTCTTTGTTATATCTTAAAAATATTTCAAAAGAATAGAAAATTATTCATAAGCGAATAGTGTATTTTGGAAGTCACATTTTGTTAACAACATTTAGATTACATGACTGAAAATCAATAATGAATTTTCGTCGAATTTTGAAAATATTACAAATAAGTAAAGTCTATTTGGCAGTAAAATGATAAGTGAATTTTTTTAGTTCAGCTTTTCAATTTATTATACATACCTAAAATTTTTGTCTCTTACTAAATTATTTACTAAACACGTTAGAAAAAATAGGAATCGATAAAAAATCACATTTTGGCTTTTTTATGTTATAAACATTACAAAAAGTATCAATAACAAATTTAAATGAACAATAATTACTAAAATAAGATCAATCGGTCGATACATGAATAAGATAAATTTTAACGTTAATACATTTAGATTCAAAAATAAAAGATAAATTATTTCTTATTCAATAAAAATATTTCGCAATAAATTTTCAAAAATCTAACTTTTGAATAATACGAAATTTAAATATTATTATTATTCTATATAATAATGATAATTTGATTGTAATAAAATTTTTTAATGTCAGTAAAAAATTTATTTCAATTTCTTATCATTCTTTTATCAATCAGGAAATTACATAGATCTTTTTTCATTTTCTATATTTAAGTTAACATTAGTGTCATCAATAATGTTATATTTACAAAAATTGAAAAGGAAAAATAGATTCTCTAATCTATTTGATAATTATTACAACAGGATATCTCAAGTATTTTTATGTTCATTCCATAGAATTTCTATAGTTTTTTCACTACAGAATATTATTACAGCACCATCAGTGAAATCGAAAAAATGATGTGCCGAATAAGTGTCGTGAATCAGGTCGATTTAAATGAGTCTAATAAATAGATAAGATAATAAAATGAAACAGTTGATCGAACATTCTTTTCTCCTCTATTTACTCTGTAATTATTGATAGTTTCTATATTTCGATTCATTATTCTAATTTTTTAACCACACAGTTGATTCAAATACATTCATTACATATATAAATATATTTCGAAAAGAATTGTTATTCTATCAAATTAATTCATTTATTATCTTGAATTTAGACTTTGGTTAAATAAATATATACACTGTTCATTGAGTACATATTTGACCATGTACACGATTAATCATTAAAAAATTGCTGACTAAATGTTTTGTAAAATTTCAATAATTTACAATATAAAATCGCATTAATTATTCATACAAATTTTCGCTAATTCGCAATATATGACAATATAAGGCCCTTATAATATTAACGTAAGTAAACAATAAAAATAATGTATAGACAATTGTAAAAATTATAAGTGAACATGACCGACCTTAGACTATGTAGCAGCAGTTAGTTCTTTGTGAAGAAAAGTTTCTATATCCACTCGACAGATAGGACATCGTTTATTAGTACACAGCCATTGATCCACACAGTCTATATGGAATAAATGCATGCACGGTAGTCTTCGGACACTTTCCAAGTCTTCGAACTCCGACAAACATATTGTACATTTTTCAATGGCATCTTCTCCATTTTCAACCTTTTTTACCTGTATTAAGAAATATACGAAAAAAATCAATTGATTGATTAAAAATATTAATGACCATTTTGTAAAAATAAGAGAATATATAAAATGTTATGACCCGAAATACATGAAAAATGTATCGAATACTTAGTTAAATTTTAAAATTTAAATTTTGGCATAAGCTCGTATCACAAGTTTTTGAATTTAGTTAAAATTTGAAATAAGCTGTTTAATATTAGTGATAGAAAATTATACACTTATATCTTTTGTGATGTAAATTTAAGAATGCTCCACTTTTATAAATCAAAAAGAACTTCGTAAATTTTAATAAAATTTTTAAACATATTTATAAACTTCAAATATGTAAAACATGAATGTCTTCTGTTTTAATTTTGAGAATATTAAAACTATAAGTAAATAGTAATAACCGTATAAAGTAGTATATTTTGAATGTTATTTTACACAGATTATTTCATAATATTGCTTTAAAGGTAAATATTGTTTACTTACGCGCTTATATTTGTGAGGGAATGTATGACTTTCTATGGATTCTTGTGTGGCGCCACAACTAATATGAGACATTCGTCGTAAGTCAACGATGCGCATAAAATTTTCCAAATTTGTTGACATTTGTCTTCTTGCATGTTGAACAAAATCTGATATTGGTATTCTGATGTCTCTTACCCTTTCACGAGATACATTTGGCTAAAAAAATTGGAATGTAAAGAAGAAATCACCAAATAGTTGAGGTGAAATAATAAATTGTTAAGTAGTGTAAAAATAGTTACATATGACTGAAGAATGTGAACATGTGGTATATTATGGTTACGAACCATGTGTGGTCTTCCTAGATATGGCTGCCAGTGATACATATGATGATGAAAATGTTGATGCACTGGCTGAATGACTGGATGAATGGTATCTGGTGCAGGAGCTTCTAATTCTGAATGAGGAGGCATTGTATTCATCTGTAAAAAAAAATTATTAAATTAGCTAATGACAATTTTATCTATATATAGAGAAAAAATTTCAAATTACCATTATCGGAGGCGGTGGATAAATGGGATTCGTAACTAAAGATTCAGGTCCACTAGCTTCTGGATGACTATACACTGTTGGTTGTTGTGGAGGTGGTAAAATAGGATATTCAGGATGATTGTCGAGATGATTTACATTTTCACTTCCTGCACAACAAATTCTAGAAATACTACCGGGATTCGAGTTTTCATTTGGTACGAACCGTCCTGATTGGTACATATGGGCATTCGGTGGAGTACACCTGGAATAATAAAAAAAATAAGTACTTAAATTTTATAGCACCTTTGTATTATAATCATAGATACTTACGTATGCACTACCGATCTTCGCTGATAAAGTCTACGACGGTGTATTTCCTGAATACGTTGTTGAAGTAGCCACATTCTTTGGTAAACTGGATGCATTCTCGGGCTCGATAAGCCAGTTGTTCCTGATGCATCTTATAAACAATGAGTATACATTTGAAATTGGTTACTTGAAAAAATTCAAGAAGAAAGAAAAATAAATGAATACCTTGATAAGGAGGCCTATGGTGATCTAGGTATCCACCGACTCGACGATAGTTCCCATTTGGATACATATGCACATAGTCAGATGGCCGATGTATACAATACGAATTATTTCTATAACATAATTAATATGAAAAACCTTATAAAAATAGAGTAACTTATAATAACAAAATACCTAGAAGCAATGTCTTCTGCAGTTGATACTGTTGGAGAAGTATTAGCTGTCGTAGGAAGAGTATGGTTTTCTTCATCAGATTCTGCTGTTAAATCTACAAGCGTGACCGTACGATCGTTTTGCTCATTATTCTGAGTTGTATTCTGCATGAAAATAAAATTCAAGATTTTAGAATATATTTCTCATTTATTTTATTAAAAAATAAAATCTTTTCTGATCTACCGATTTATTATTAGAATTTGAAATCCCTAAAACTTCAATTGATTCATCTTCATCATCGCTTTCACTACTTGAAGACCAATCTAATTGCAAATCTGGTGCTGATGGGATATCATCGTGACCTAATAAAAGATGTTGATATAGCTACATTCTTTTGTAGATAAAAATATAATATCATTAATGATACTTACGTGATGGTGGTAGTTGTCGAGATGATCCATCAGAGTTTTGAGCAGAAGTTGTTCCAGATTGGGATGGTGATCTGCGATAGGTTAAAACTTGTCTTGCCACATGGTTGGAGTTGTCATCAATCGTGCCCGTAATATGGTTGGCAGAGCCGGTTATGCTAGGAATATTCAAGAGATATGGGTTTAAAGTCTAATGCAGTTTTATCTTTTCGAAGCGCCGTGATTATGCTGAAAATACAAATCACATCACAGTAGCAACAATTGGCTGCAAGGCCAATCGAAGATCCTTCTACTAAAGCGATTAATCATTGACATAAGTGTTGAATTGCGTCTTTGTTTCATTATAATTATCACAACAATAAATGATACGTAAGTAAATGATACCTGTAATCAACTGGTGCATCCATGGGTCTTGATGGTCCAGCTGTGTGAATATTGTTCTGTTGTTGATAAACGACTTTATTAACCTCCCGTTCCATTATTCTATAGTACATTTGTCTCCGACGAAGTTCACTTATACGTTTTTCTATTTCACTATATATCCTCTGAGTTGACGGAATTCTAAAGGACCTGGGTCGGCACCTATTGTTATTTATATGAAGTTGTCGCCAATATTCAATATTAGCGGCTCTTCTAGTAGAAGATGGTGGATATACAAAATGATGATCGGATGAAGATTGTGTAGGTTGATTTAAAGTTGATCCACTACGACTTTGTAATTCAGCTTCTTCAATATCACTTTCAGCAAACAAATGCTCATACTCCATTTCCGTACCTTTAGATTTTCCATCGTCAAAAGTTACCATCATTTAGTCATTTTCAATTCAAATTCTATATGTGTCTAAAGTATACATACCTGCAGGACACCTTTGGGGAGAAGGATCAGCTGCTGAAGAGAAAGCTGTATCAAATATATCGGCTAAGGATGTAGAATTAGTGTCTACAGATCCTGTAGCTGAGTCAGCATTGAAAAGTCCATTTCTATCTTCTGTTTTTGCTCTTCGCAGAGTTTCCTCAGTATTTTGACCCTCTGCCATACTATATAAGAATAGAAAAATATTATAGAATCGAAAATATTGTCATTCTATGATTCTTTCATTAATATTTCTATTAGATTGACGTTAATCATAGTAAAATTTGTATGGGAGTTGAATCAACTATGCATTGATGGCTGTTTTATTCTTATTTTTTCGCTTTCTATTAATAAAACTATGATAACTGCAGGATGATTTAATCAAGGTAAATCTTCTATCGTACAATGAACCACATGAAATAATGAGGTTGAACTTAATTGACCATTGATCTAACTAGTGAAACTTATATTTTATGCATCTTTATGTACAAATATAGCTTTATGCAACAAGGGAAAAATGTTTAAACATTTTGACTTGATATGCAATATGCGTAATAGAGTGTCAAATATCATCAAGGTCATGTTTCCAAATTTGATTTCTTCTTTAAAAAACTATCCGACTAATATACCGACGAAAAAGCAATGGAGATAGCACACACATTAAATATCAAAAAAATTCTTTAAGATTGTTTTTTAAAACAAGGACGTACCTTTCACAAAGTTTTCAAAGTTGATAGTCTAAACCTGCTTTTTTTACCACGTCATTTTGTGTGCTATAAATTTTCTCACATTGATACCGTCGTTATTAATATAATAAAACCCCACAGCACATCGATAAAAACTCATGATTCACACATTTAAGAAATTATACTAACTAAAAATTGTATAAAAGATACCACTCTGACGTAATTTCATTTCCGTAGAAACAATAAAGTTCTGCAGGGTCCACAGAACGTCATTACAAGTTTGTACTTCTGTACAGTTCTGTAGATGAGGAAAGGTGATAGCCCCTGCGGCTCACTTCGCAAGGCTAAGAATAACGTGTTCACTTGAAGAAGGCACAACTTCTTTTTACAAAAGAGTAAATTCACGAACTCTCTACTCATGAACACATAACTTGACAGCCATTTTGAAAATACTCATTCTATTGATATGGTAGGATGCAATTTTTCCAACTGCAAGAGAATCTTCTTGATTCGCCATCTATGATAAAAATACTGAAACTTCAATTTGTTTTTTTTTTCTATGCAGAATTGGTAAATAACAAACGTCAAAATACGGCATTTTCGAGAGGTTATATCCAATAACAATAAACAATTATAAACACACCAAATAATTGTTTATCCAAAATATCACTTTATATAAATCACTTCTAATCATGGTAAGTCAATTTTTTAATCGATCATTATTAAAATTTAAAGACTTTATTAATGAAAAATGTTTTTATTCTTTTAGGCTCGAAATGCTGAAAAGGCTATGTAAGTATAACCAAATAATTTATTATTAAGCTAAATAAATTTTATACATCTTTTTTGAAATTTATTTTTATTTTCTCATTAACATTATAGACTTGATGTACCTAAAGTTCAATTATTTAAGTGTATTTATTCATTTTTTTATTCAGGACAACGCTGGCTCGTTGGAGAGCAGCTCAGAGTAATGATGGATTTAAAAAAGAATTGGAACGACGGCCTTATCTTGCATCAGAATGTAGAGATTTGAGGAAAGCAGAAAAATGGAGATTACAAATTGTACGAGAAATAGCGAAAAAAGTCACACAAATACAAAATGCGGGTTTAGGAGAGTTTAGAATACGTGATCTTAATGATGAGATTAATAAATTGTTAAGAGAAAAACGACATTGGGAAGCACAAATTAAAGAACTCGGTGGACCAGATTATTCTCGAGTTGGACCTCGCATGTTAGATCATGAAGGAAGAGAAGTAATTAATAATTAATCAAAAACTATTGTGTCAAAATGATAGAAAGTATGTATTAATTGATGAATATTAATTTGAATGGTTTAGGTACCTGGTAATCGTGGTTACAAATATTTTGGAGCAGCAAAAGAATTACCGGGAGTAAGGGAATTATTCGAACAAGAACCACCACCGCCACCAAAGAAAACTCGAGCTGAACTTATGAAAGATATTGATGCTGATTATTATGGGTACAGAGATGATGATGATGGAATTTTAGAACCTTTAGAATTGAGAGAAGAGAAGAAGAAAAGAGAAGAAACAATTAGCACGTGGGTCTTTAAGGAAAATAATGAACCTGAAATAGAAATGGAAATTGAGAAAACGGCACAGAAGTCAATACCAACTCAGGAAGAAATTCAAGCTGTATTGTTAGCAAGGAAAAAACAAGAATTAATGGAAAAATATGGACTTTGATCAGTATCTTTTTTATTTTTAGCTTACGTGATTAAGTAACAACTATCATAAATGTATTAATTTTGTAATATCGGAATACATTTCTTTTTATAAAACGCGACAAGTGTAATTGATTAATTAAGTAATAACATTGATCAAGGTAATTTTTTGTTTGTGCAGTAGACGTTTAATTTTCAATGAATTAATCATTGAGAAAAAGGGTGCGTTAGATAAAACGTGGACAAAAATCCAATCACATCTTTATCAACACTCCTTAAATTTCAATCTATAAGTTTTAAATTGAACGATTCTTAACTTCTTGTTCCCTTTCTTTTCTTTATTAGCAATGACAGATTGACAAATTAATTGAAATCCAATCACATAGATTATCATTATTATTATAATTCTTATTAAATACGAACCAACTGTAGAAAAAATTGTGATTCCATCAATTACAAATAGATCACTCTTATATTGAATACAACATTATTTACGAGAACCTCATAAAGATTCTAGTATTATTCGAAAAATGCTTAGCAGTAATACATCGAAAGTATATTCGATTTTCGTGAAATTCTTTGTAAAAATGTAGATAATCTATACTTTTTTGGCAAATATTTCTAGTCGCAATATTTATTTTCTCATTAAAACTTATTTAAACTTTAATCAGGCAATGATTCTGGATTTTTTTTCTTCAACTATGTACTTCTTTCAGAAGTGAATGAAATAACGATATGAATGTAGATTAAACTGTAGTAAATAATGTTGAATGGTTTAAAAATTCAAAATCTATAATTACTGAAAAATTCACAGCATTCATTTTTTTGACCATTATTTGTCAAATTTTCATACTATACTCAATATATTAATTTTAATTTAGCATTACTATATCTGTCATTCATCAAGATCAATATTATTCTAACTGTAGCCAAATAGTATCAATACTAAAAATCACAATCTGCATTATGAGGTGCGGATGTGAATTGTGCGTCGTTGAGTGTTAAATACTAAATCGCAACGTACTTAATTAGCACGTTTTAAAATATGTTTTTTTTTGTTTATTTTTTTTTCTCTTTCAGAGAAAATCTAGATTAATCGGCAATGGTTTAATCTAGAACAATTTTTTTAGTAAGAATTTTCTGATATTGTGCTGAATTAAATTTACAATGAATAAGCGTTTAAAAGATTAAAGGCACGAAAAGTAAAACTGAATAAGTGACAATTGTTGACCCAGGCACAGGTGATTAATACATGAAAAAAAAAGATAAAATAAAAAAAGATAAAATTCATGTTGTAAATTAAAACCGGTTGACAATGTGTTCATGTAAACAAGATTCTTTTGTTTTTACCAGTTTCACAAAAAATGACTTCGTCTTGTGACGAAACAATCAAAAGTTGAAGCTGCCCATAACCGAAGTACGTTCATTAATACATACAAATAATGTCACCAAATATTCTTCATGAAAAGGATGACAACAATGGAAAATTGACTTCGGTGTTCCATCGGGCAGTAAAAATTGTTATGAGGATTATTGATCTCTCAAAAAAATGTTTCCACGTCTCAAAATTACACTTCCAAAACTAATCAGGAACCGTCTGTCCCACTCTCGAAGTATTCTCCGTCATTTCATTAACGGAATATCTTCAATTGAACAATTCTCTCAATACGAGATTTCAATTAAATAAACTTTCCCACAAAACTTTTCCATTTCCAAATTACGGTCGTAAAAGAGCGTGCCAACGCTGTACTTGAGTTGGTTGTCTAGAAGCACGCATATCATTCCAATGTTGAAGCTCTTCCGGCCCAGAGCTATTTAATCCAAGACACAACCAACCAATCATTTCCCGTCCTTTTTTACCCATCGCTGAACGTCGTCTATTATAAACTGAGATAAAAAGCGTAACATCACCAAGCTGAAATAGGGCTACCTGAAATATAAAAGTCTCTTTGTAGAGTGGATTTGGTTGTGCTCGTCTCAATCCAGTTTTAGATCGCCCCATTTCATGACTGTTGCTATCAACGAGTGTAAGCTTCACATATGTATCCGGTGGTTTTGAATCATTGCCTCCACCACCTCGAAAATGCGAACCTTTGATTATCTCCACTGACAATCGACCGGTAGTTCCATTGTAGGCAAGCCCGATTAAAATTTCAGCTATGCTACCACCCTTCATACTACTTCCATAGGGTGGTGTCGTTGGAGATGCGTATGACTGAACTGACTGTTGAGAACCTGTCGAATCACTTCGAGTTAAACTCGTTGTTGTACCCCACTTCTGAACCTGTGAAATGAATAATTCATCATAATTTACTTTGTTTCATATATTGAAGTGTACGTTAATAGCATGTCAACTATACCGGTGAAGAAGGTGGAGATTGAAGAGGTAAACACAATGTAGTTTCAAGTTGAAGATTTATTTGATCAAAACAAACACGAGCTTCTCCCAAAAGTCGTTCTCGACGCATTCTGCCTCCCAACAAATAAACTCGTAGCCTCACTCCCATAGCATTAACATCTTCTGGGTTGACACGAGGCAACAAGAAACTCTCCATATACTGTGGTGATGTACCTTGACGAACACGAGTCTTACGTCTCTGCTTCTTTGATGGAAGTAGCACAAGTCGTACTTGGCTTCCTCCTATTCCCGAAGGATAATTAAGTCCTTGAAGAACTTGTACAGTCATTTCGCGCATTGGCGCATCATATAAAAATGCAACTTCTAAACTTCCCAGTTCATCAATGATTCCTGTTAGTGGTGGTGCTGTCTCACTCGAAGAAGGAGTACAAACTTCTTCAATTACTTCTTCTGATTCTCTTGTTTCCAAAAGAATGTTAGAAGATCCAACCTCGACAATACACTGATGAAAAATAAAATATATTATTAGATATGTGTTCTTGTTTATTTAAAAAAGTTTTATTAGTCTTTAAATACCTCTTGTTGATCGGAAAGGTGTTCTTCGTTGCAGTTATGAGAAGGCGTAACTGTATCTAGAGATAACAATATATCATTTGAAAATCTGTCTCTCAATAATTTTCTATAAAACTTAGACGATAGTTGAAATGCATATCATACCAACAACCATTGGTCCATCTTCAGCTTGAATAGTGAGTGTGTCAATGTGGTGTCGAGAATGAGAGTTTTGTAATCGCCGTAAAGCATCTTCTTCAGAATCAGAACTTGTTTCAGGATCTGAATAAGAGAATATTTTATCTAAAAATAAAGAAAAATGAGTTAGTTCAAAGATAAAACTTTTTTATATAAATGACATTTATGAGAAATTATACCTAAATTTTTTGAAACTGGTGATGTAGAACAATTGTTAGGATCATTAAGTGGTACATAAATTCCACCGAACAGAGCTGTTTGTGAGACAGGTGTAAATGTCCATTTTTTTGCCAGATATAAAAAGAGGACTAGAAGAACAGTGACAAATGCGGCTATAGCTCCTAGGAAAGCAGTCACCCCTATAGAGCCTGAAATAATGCATAAATTTTATTTTATATATTCTTTATCAAATATAGAAAAAGATGAAGTTGATAAAAAATTGAAAACTTTTTTTCATTTATATTTTCTATTTTTAAGCGTTTTAATAAGATGAGGAGTATCGTTACACTAAACGAAGTGGAATAAGGTCAATGGTGGGATTGCATCTATGAATGAAGAACGTTCTATACTGCGTATATATTCTTCCGTAGATCCTTGACGTGTACATGTGTGTGTGTAAAGCTCAACTAAAAGAAAATTCTACGCCTCATCGACTATAAAATATTTTTTAAATCTTGAACATTTCCTAAGCAACGATAAAAAACGTATAAAAATATATTCCAAGAGTATAAAATACAATTTTCCCTATGAGACCTTGAAAGTAATATGGAAAAACTATCTACAGACAACAGATTCGATACAATAATTGACGAGCAAAGTGGACTTACCCGTTAGAAAATGGTCTGATCCAGTAAGAATCATTATTCTTCCGTGTTGATAATTTTGGTAGACTACTTGATGGCTGGGAAATAGCCACAATGAAATGAAGCAGACATTATTTAATGTCTAAGACGACACTCGTCTGGTTTGTTTGATTACAAACGTGGTTATACGCCGAATAATACGTGGGCGGGGGTATACAGCACTCTGTTGCTCACCAGGACGTGTTAGCAAGGGTTGAACGATGACATACGCTTGCGCAACTCTTCTTGAAGGGTGGTCTTGGCGCAAGTCTTTGCCCGCAATTCCCTCACATACCCCGGTTAATTTAATGATGAAATATTTTTTTCTATTTGTTTTTATTCTGTTCTTTCATTTATATTATCAATGATTATACATAAGCTTTAAATTAATTAAAAAGTTAATAACGTGATGAACAAACCCTTGCATGTATTTCAATGTTGATATACTCATATTCTTGAAATTATAATAAACTAATATAATATGAAGCACTTTCGAGATTATCTTCATTTCTTTTATCATGCTGAATAAACAGTTGGATTGTTAATTTCGTCAACAATAAAACATTTGAAAATATTCTTGTAAATAACAAGTTTCTCATTTTTAATTTATTTATGATTTTTTGAAAAGTTATTTATGAATTGATTTCTGAATGAAATCATTTTTAATAATATATACAATTTTTTGTTTAATAATAGTTATTTATTTATTATAAATTTTAGAGAATTATTTTTTACGTAATCTGTTATGAAATTAAATGTAAGTCATGTTTTCTACAGCTGATCAGTTATAGCGAAATCATACATGTGTGTATGAAATTGGAATACAGCCTAGTTAGAATACAGTACAAAAATTTCAAGTGAATCTTTGATTATCATTTCATCGAAATAATTATTTTTAATAATTTAAGTAAATTACATAGCAAGTGATCATTAATTATTTTATTATTAATCAGAAAATATTGAATTGGAGTAGTAAAAATATAATCCTTTTAAAGAGACCAATAAATCCGGTTTATATGTATTCATTAAAAGTATAACCTCACTCGAAAAATCAGTAGAGTGGTATATTTTTAAATTAAATCATAATAAAAACAATGTAAGTCATTCTTCTTTAATTTTTAAATGTCATTATTTACTCTAATATGGATTAATATTTTTTTCTCTGTCGTAAACATAATGATTTTTGTTTTAGGAGAAATTTGAGCATGAGTTGTATGATGATGTTACGGCTAAAACCCAATAGGATAATAAAAATGTATAATTGGAACAAATGTTTGTTCAATTTAAGTGATAGATTATATTGTAAAGCTGATAAAAGAACAAATGGATTTCGAATGGACAAATTAAACATTAAAGCAAGAAGAAAGGCATTAAGATTGAAATTAGCACAAAACATCAGAGCAACTAGAGATAAAATGGAAAAGATTATAGAAAGAGAAAATATTTGGACTATTCCTAATTTTCTTTGTGTAGGTCGAATTGTATCAACCCCATATCTAGGTTATTTAATAATTCACTCACAAGACTATCATGTAAGCTCCTTCATGTTCTAAATCAAATAATAATCGTCAGTCGTTTATATGGTTCAATCTATTTCAACTAATTTTTATAAAATATATATATATATATTTAGGCAGCGTTATGGATTCTGGGATTTGCAGGATTTACAGATTTAATTGATGGATGGATCGCTAGAACGTGGGTATCCCAAGCTTCTAAATTAGGAAGCTTTCTGGACCCAATGGCTGATAAATTGCTTGTTGGCACACTATTTTTATCACTAACATGGGTTGATTTGATACCTATTTCTCTAACATGTCTAGTAGTCATGCGTGATGTTATTCTAATAGGTGCTGCATCTTATATACGATATCGGTCGATGCCTAAACCTGTAAGCTACTCATCATATTTATTATTAATCTATTATTCCAATATTAAATAAAACTAATGATTGCGGTCTTTTTTAGAGAACTTGGAGCAGGTATTTTGATCCTAGTCATGCAACAGTTCAATTAACACCCACATTTATAAGTAAATTAAATACTGCAGTTCAACTATCTTTAGTCGCTGGTACTCTAGCAGCTCCAGTATTTAATTACGTAAACCATCCAATTTTACAAGGTCTTTGCTATCTTACAGCAGCTACAACAATCGCTGGTGGATTTAGTTATCTTTTTACGAAAAATACCTACAAGTTACTATCAAAAAAATCATGACCATTATAGAATTAACTTATATTGTTGATTTTTTTATAAAATTAAATTTTTATATTATTGTTATATTTATAAAATTATTGTAAATCAAAGGAACTTATTTTAAAATAAAAAAATTCGCCGTACTAAACTTTATTATCTGAAAATATAAATAACAATATATATATTAAATATATAAATTCAAGTATAGAAGGGAAATGGTGATATATATAATTCATAAGCAGAATGTTCTTGAAATCTGTCATCTCGTTCAACACCTACAAAATCAATTTCTAGTTTAAATGGACCAGCCGGTTCTACAGCTGTAATGCTAATAAATGTAAGCTTATACATAAGAACACCAGCCTGTTTATCTTGTATTCTTCCTTTGCTAGAGAAGAAAAATTTTGAAAAAGGTATTTTAACATATTGCCAATACGGTCCACCTCGAGTATGCAGAACGTAACTCCAAAGATCATGCCACGATATGTCAAATTCGTTAGTGGGATGAAGGTTTATCATATAATTTCTTCCATCTCCACGAACGCGTAATACTATGTGAGTGTAAGCATCCCATCCAAGTGGAATAGTTCGATGAAATGCTGCTCTACGTCTTACAGATCTAAGATTGCAATATCCTGTTCTTTTTATTACTCCATCTTGAATTGGACGAGTATCAATATTTCCATGAAATATCCCATGACCTTCTGGTGTCATTTCCAATCTATAAATTAAAATAAGTCAAGTATTTTTGTTCTAATTTTAATATTTATGTCATTACATGTTTTACAATGGTCTCTTACGTAGCATATGATCTTCCAAAACCAAAATCACTATCCATAGATACAACCCAATCATTTATTCTTGCTGGATCACCTTTGAACTGCCATTGAATATCAACTTCATCATGTGGCAATCGCCATATCGGATCCTGGGTAAGTTTGGTCTTAATCTCTTGTCCCATTAATTTAAATTCATCTATTACAAATTGAAGTCGTTCCTTGAGTTCTGTCAAAGGATCATCTGAATATTTGATCTCTTCTTTTCCATCAGTTTTTCTATAGGCAGCAGGTTTTCTTGGTTCATAAAAATTACATGTGTGACTAGTTGTACTAATAGTTCGACAATGATATATTTTAGAAAATTTCAATAATTTTATCAGTCGTGATGACATGTCACATAAATTAAATATTTTTAAATATTGGAGTAATATAACTTAACCAACCACTGAATTCAACTCAGGGCGAATTTATAAACAAAAATATTGTTATGTCAAGGAATATGATCATCATAGAAAGCGGCATATGTGAACCGTAGCGCTACACAGCGTCAGCTCATGTACTAAGCATTTCATGTATTGTCAAAGGTTTCAGATTCGCACTTCTGTGTTACAAAGGTTGTGTTTTTTTCTTTGCTTCTGTCAAAATAATGTGCGGTGCATTTTCCATAAACATTCATATTATTTTGTAAAACTTTGTTAAAAGTATATAATACCCTTAATTTATTGGAAAATCTGTATACCTCGTAAATAATATATAAATAATAATGCAAATACTTTGTAATTGTTGATTAAATTATATTATATATTCGATATTATCCAAAATGTTTTGTTGTTTGCGAAACTGTTTTGATGGCCTTGGTTTTTCGGCTGTAAAAACTCCACATAAAGAAGTAAATCCTATCACACTTGACACATCGCACATGGGTAATTTAATTATTTATATTTTTGATAGTAAAATAATCTAACATTATAATATCAATCATTATATTTATAGGTCATGAGGTCGTCATAGTAATGAATGGGTTACGAGTTTGTGGACAAGGTTGTGCTCTAACTAATGTTCCTCTAGTTCAAAGTAAAAGCTACTTTGAAGTAAAAATTAGGCAAGATGGCATCTGGGCTGTTGGTTTAGCAACTAGATCTACTGATCTAAATACTGGAGTTGGTGGTAATGATGCTGAAAGCTGGGCTTTGAATTCTGATGGCATCATTAGACATAATCAGCAAGAAATCTGCAAAGTCCAAAATCTCGCCCAAGAAGGGGATATTATTGTAAGTTAATTGTCGATAAAAATATTGAAAAAATATATTTAATAATAATTCATATTTCAGGGTGTGTCTTTTGATCATATAGAATTAAATTTCTACGTCAATGGCAAATCATTAAATGCACCAGTAATGGGTATTAAAAGTACAATATATCCAGCTCTCTATGGTAATTTTTATAAATTGATACTTCTTTTAATTTAATTACTAACAAAATGTTTGTTTTTTTTATTAATATTTTTTCTTACGTTTTGCAGTCGATGATGGAGCTATTTTAGATTTAATTCTACAAGATTTTATCCATCCAGTCCCAGGTTTTGAAAAAATCATGGTGGAACAATCTTTACTTTAATTCAGCTATTATATTTATTATAACAAAGTATAAATATTGTTTTTGATCGTAACAAAACATATGGTATTATAAAAATATTTTGCAAAAGTATTTTAAAGAGATTAAAGAATTAATAAATCTATAAGAATTGTATAAAAAAATATAATAATTTATTTAATTTTGTTCACGATGTATTAAATGGTGTGTGTGAGTGTGATTGTAATAAAAGCTGCATTTAAATCAATAAAAATTTCTATCAATTCAATACTAAGCTTATTTAATTATTCATTTACCCAAAACAGAATAAATAATTCATATAAAGTGGATTAAATGAGAATAAGCTCATGGAGAATAATCAGAATTTATTAAAAATTTTACACAATAAATATTATAATTTAGTTACAATTACTACATGATTCTTAATTTTTTTTTACTAAGTAGTTAAGAATTGAATAATCAATTATTTTTTTACACATATGCGTATACAATTTTTTATGTTACAACATTAATGTAATTTTATGGCCATCAAATTTAAGTTGTATATTTCGTTGATTTCTCTAGTAATTAATTTACTTACATATAGTGGAAATTTTTTAACATTGTAGCATACATCCGTTAGAATTGATACAATATAAATTTATGTTAGTAATCTGAGATAGACATTGATTATTAAATTTTTAAACAAATTCATGTAAAAATTTTTTAATTTTTTTAATGTACACTATAACTTGCATTCATATCAAATAAATTGAACCACAAGTATTATTAAAAATATTTTTCAAAACAGTTTCACATTCAGAAAAGCTTTTAATTGTAAAGTTTTGAACAAGAGAAGAATTCTTTTTACACGCTTTTCGTTCTTAATAATCAATAACTGTCACAAAGAAAAGATCCTTGAGTTTCTTGAATATTGATATTTACTGAACGAAAAAGATGAAAAATTATCAACAATTTATTGACATGGTTTGTATTTTGTTCAAAACTTTTTGTGCTGTAAAATACTTAATAGATTATGAATTATTTGAAATGATCAATAAACCACACAAATCTTTGGTTATTACATAGAACAAATAAAATGTAAAATGTTAACGTATGTATATGTTTATAAAAATACGAATCAGAGCTCAATAGATTCGAAATAAGATTAGAAAATGATATGCGTATGGATACATGAAACATATGTATATAAAAAAATAAGACTAGTTAGATTAATGAGATTTTTATCCTGCTTATATAATTCATGGCTACCCTACTTAAAAAAAAAACAAATACATAATATTATGAAGTATATCCGTCGGTGGCATTTTTCTTAATTCTATATGAATTTTTTCAATGATTTAGATTAGTAGTAATATACCAGTGACAATTGATAACTATATTGTCATTCATTTAAAAAACTGACAAAAATTGTAAAAATGATACTGTGTATATAAATATCATTAATAGATTTGTTTATTATTTACGTCTTATTTATAATAATTACGGTAACCAATTAAGTCTTATTGCACTTGATGTGTTTATGTTGCATACCGATTAAAACTATTGATCAATAATTTGACTTTAGATTATAAACAATAAATTTTTATTCTGAAAGCTAAACTAATTTGTTTTTAATTAATATTAAGCGTATCTTACTATTATACACATTATCTACGCAACATTTCAACTGTTATAAACATATTCACAAAGAATATACAAATACTATCACTGTTGAACTTACATGTTTTATATATACACGCGCTTTATTATTCGATCTAAAATTTATTTATCTACTTGCATATATGTGCGTGGCAACTTTCAAATGTAAGAATCAATGTATATATGGCAATTTCATCTACTTCTTAATTATTTTTTTTTAGTAAAATTTTCCGATTATAAAATTATTTATTTATAAATTTTGATGAATAATATCTGAGTTTTAACATTCAAAAATTAAATTATAACAATTTTATAATGAATTAATTCAATTTCTTGATAAATATTTACATACATTAGTTCTCAACTTTCTAATTTCATTAATAAACGATTACATATAATCATATAAATTTCTTCATTCAAGTGTATAAGACCGAAAACATATGAAATATTTATTCAATAATCAATAGATAGATTGTTCATCTATAAATGGACACTATTCAATAAATAGTATCAGTATATCTTCAAAATTACGTTACAAAACGTACATAATAAAAGTTTAATATTATTTTCAAATAAATCTATACGACTTCCTGCTCGGACGTACAATTCTGAATACTAATTTCAGATCTTTGTATAACATTCTTAATGACATGAATATTACATTATATACTTCAAAAGACACTTGCATTCATCAAAATTTAGTTATTTTAATATCCGAAAAGAATATTAAGTGTAATATATATTCTATCGACTATGTATTGTTCATCATTATCTTAATGTAGTTACAGATAAATTATTAGTATCAATTCGTATATTTATTTCTGAAAATGGCAGTAATATATTAAATTAAACTTATTTCTTTTGTATACTTTTATCTAAAAATAATAAAAGAAACAAAGCATAAAATCTCTGTAAATGATATGAAGATTTTCGAATCACTACATTATCACTTATTATCTTGCAAATATTTCTAATCATTTCTTAAAAAAAGATATGTTAAGCAGTATTATAAAACTTAATTTTAGAATAGAGCAGAGGAATTTCGAACGTTGACTATGTACAAAATTCATGCTGTAATATGTATTAATTATTGTTAGAATTAGTGTAGTATGTGTAGGATATAATAGAATATATGTTGAATAATAACTATCAATAAAACATAATTTTTGAGCTCTTCTTAAATTGTGCATAGAATTAAAAGCAAATCTTATTATTGGAAAATAAAATATCTAAACACAATAATATATTTAAAGAAAAATGGTTGAAATATTATTATGCTTAATTTTTTCTTAATTTGTTAATGAAAATAATTCTCATTTCTTTTTCTGATCAACGAAAATTTTTCATAAAAATATTTTTTTAACAAATATATGTATAATGAATTGAACAAAATATATTTAAAATCCATGTAGACGAATAATTAATAATAGAATGAATTTTGTGGCTCTGCTCAACTATTTAACAATTTATAAAAAAGCGAATTTTCGGGGATTTCTTTGGTTAGAATGGTTAAACTTTTGGTAAGTGGGACAAATTGAAAATCTGTACAATCAGCAGATCCCTGAGTTACTTGAGAATTCTGCACTGCTTTTATATTTATCAATAAAAGCAATTTAATCATTATCTGTCGTATCTTCAATTACTGAATCCCAATTAAATTCCGTAGCACTTTGTCGTGATGGCAACTCACCAAGATGCTGAAAGCGTTGAATAAAGTATGGATCACGATCTCTTAAACGCCTGAACCTCTGAAATACAAGATCTTTGGCAAAATCATAGAGCTGAAGATCAAGATGATTCAGTTTCCGCACTTGCTCCAATTTGTCTGGACTCAACGTAGCCATTGTCGCTGCACTTAATGTAGCATTATGTTGTTCGAATGCAACAGCAAACCTCATGCCAAAAATTTCTTCAAATGAATATTGTCCTACCTGAAAGAAGGATGAATATTAAAATGATATAAATCCTATCGTTTCAAAGAATCACTAAAAATAGAAGAGAGAGAGTCAGTTCTATTCATTAATAAATATTCATATCCTTTTCGAAGAAATTTCTTCAATGACATTTTGTTTTTGTAACGTACGTACTTTTTGATATTCGGTGAGCATAATAAATGGCATAAATTTTAGATTTCGTTTAGCACTTTTTATCATAAGGTTATCACGTTCTGTACTGGATAAAGACGAATTGTAACACCCAACAAGTGATAAATCTGCAAGCATTCGTGTTTGTCGATTGTTTGCCAGGTTTGTTGGACATTCCATGAACTGTGAAAGAAGAATAGAATTAAAATTTTGTACACGTCAATTTTACGTTTCAACAATATACCGTGTGACAGGTGTTAATAATCATTTATAATTGTTCTATTTAAGATATCGTAAGTAGAGATAATTATAAATAATTACTTAAGATAACTTAAGTAGAATAAATAATTATAAATAATTACTAACACCTTGATTTGGTTACTAGGGATGAGTTATGTAAAAACTCGTATGTGTTGTTTTTACATTTTAACGATGCATTGTGTGACAGTTGTCAGTAATTTACTCTATTTGAGTAATGTAAAAAAGACTATCAATCATGAATGATGAGTTATAAATAAAGCGTGTACCTCTTCTAATGTAACTCCTTGCCAATTAGGGCCAGAATAACATTGCCGAATGTTAGCTACGTTACCACCACACCAATGTCTTGCACCACGCCATGTGGCTCCTCTCTGAACATGTCGAAATTCTGACAAATATCTTGCAACTGGATCACGAATAATAGTTATGTAAAAATATCTTCGTTTTATTCCTTCGCCTTCAATTTTATTCAACTCTGAGTCCACACAATTCGTGAGTTCTGTCCAATCCGCGTGGAGTCCACATTTCCAACCAGTTGAATAGCGAGAAAATAACCAGTTCTCATCACGGTTCGGACGATAACAGAAACAACGTTTTTTTTTTTTTTGACATGAACATGGTCTTTGCAGATCCAAATCTCTAACTAAATGTTTCCCAAAGAGAGTTCCTCCTGCAACATGAATTGATTAATCAATTGAAGAGGCAGCTACGAATGCAATTATTGCTACTTATGTCTTGCGTCGATTTATCCATGTAAAATAAATCAATTTTAATCTATTAAAATATTTACAAATAATTACCTGTTTTCTGAATGTGTAAAAAAACTATCACATCATGAGCGTTGATATCAAACTGAGAAGTATCATTATTAAAAATATCATCATATCCTAAGCTTCCCTGAATGCTTTGCAGCTTTGATGATGGGTTAAGTGATAATAATGAGTTTTTGTAAGCATCTCCTGAATATGTAGTTGGGCCATATCCTGATCTTGGGAGAAACCCTTCAGATAATCGCGTTGATTCCTTGATATCACGATTAGTCAATGCACAAACATGATCTGGACAAAAATAACCGAGATACACAATACCAGTAAGGGCTAACACAACACAAATACCAATTACACCCCGTAACCGATTGCTACGGATACGAGTTTCCATGGTAGACGTTTTGTCATGTGTATCTTGTGATAAAAAAACCACCAGTTCACTAAAACCATTTCCATTCAGTCGTTTGCCCATCCTCCCCCATTATTCTATTTGTTTTTTTCTGCATTTAATTTTTTCTTCTTCGATTTATTTATACTCTCTGATTAAAATGTTAAATGTCTGTCTCGTTCAGTTACCGCAAAACAACGCTTGATCATTCTTAATCATGTTATATGGAGAAACTGACCAAAGAAACGATTCCCCCCTACTTGAACTGTAATATAAAGTACGTGTCTTGCACTACTGATTGAAAGTTACATCTTTGGCTAATTCAACTATACATTGATATTTAGTTTCAATTGGCGGTAGATAAAAAAGAAAATATTTTTATTTATACTAGTCGGTAAAATAGAACTTTGAATATTTTTTATCGACTGAATTCATTGCATCTGATCTAGGTACATGAGGTCGTCACTCTGACGTCCACGCCCTTTTAGAGAGTGTGTAGAGAGCGTCCAGAACAAGTTCATTTTGTTGTTTGATCGTAGTATTTCGTTTTTTGATGCAGTTTTAACTTATTTTTTCTGATATTACATTTATTTTGTGAATTTAATTATCATCAAACAATCCAAGGTAAATAAATACATCGAATTATATCTTTTTTATTAATATCTTTCACTTTCAGTGTCATCAACGGTTATATTTCACATCTTCATTTGATCAGGTTATTGGTTATCCCATCATTCATCGTTTTTAAATCACAGTAATAAATGTATTGGGAGTGATTTAAAACAAATATAAATATTACTATATCCTTAAAGTAATTATAATATCATTGATTTCATTTAGAACAATTATTCATAACTAAAAAAAGATATGATATATCTAATTGCCGTAATTGTCTTTGAGTCATCAAAAAATCGATTAATAATTTCTGAATATTAGTTGGCTTTATAAGATTCAAGTATTTTTATAAATGATTGTTCATTTGTGTAATCATTGTCTCAATATAGATGTTGGTCAAAAATAATTCATATCCATCTCTACCTTGAATCAAAACAAAATCCAGTACCAGTCTTACCTTGAAAAAGTAATCTTTCCATGTCTCGTAACAGCTGCGCATGATAACTTCCGCGGCGCAACAACGCGATGACCCATGCTCGTTTCTATTGATTTTACCGTTGGCGGTCGCCAGAAGACAGTCCCTGTTCGATGTTGAACCAAGTCAAGTCGTTGTGACATTAAAAATTCTATCTTGAACTTTGGTAAAGTTCTTGCTTATTTACTAAGAATTTTATTCAACAAGTATACTTTTTTTGAAATTGTTTATTATATTTCAATAATCATAATTGAATTTTCTAAATTAGATAATTTTAACTTAATGTACATTCATTGTGCAATCATATTCAGTGACTTTCATAATTAGGGTGTTATTTTTTAGAATAATTCTAATGCTGAAACTCTGACGTGTTATTGTTTACAGTTATCCCCGGACATCCATCAACGTTTTCGTGACAGAAAGAGCCATTTGAAGAAGTCTTTGTAAAATAACGAGGCGGGAAAGAAAGAAACATGCCAGCACCAACGTCAGATACGGCTGGACCAGGAGAGGGTGGTCCTCCTCGAACGGAGCTCCAAGAGTTACAGTTAAAAGCTGATCAGACAACTGATGAAGTGAGTTAATGACATTACAATTAATAAGATCAATTTTATTGATTTTAGAACATCATAGAATAACTAGGCTATCAGAAGTAAAGTACTCGATTAGCATATCAATATTAATGACAATCGAATACCTAATTTCATTTTTTGAAAATGATAAATGATATTTCAATACAATGCCCAGTTTTTATGATGAATGATAAATCTTTTTACTTCTTCATGAGTTATCGTACATGTAAGATGATTTTTAGCATCGTAAAATTATAAGAATTGTTTTATCATTCGTGGGCGTAGAAATGAGAGAGAGAGAGAGAGAGAGAGAGAGAGAGTAAAGATTATAGAAACACTATTGCAAAAAATGTAAAATCAATGTAATTACAGAGTTGTTAAATTTCAGTTAAAAGTAAATAAAGATTAAACATGTTAATAAAGAAAATTTAAGAGTTAGGTACACAATCACAAAATAATATATTTGTGAGTATTTTAAAATAATGATTTTTTTTTGTTACAGTCCTTGGAGGCGACAAGGCGTATGCTGGCGCTATGCGAGGAGGTAAGTGATCAGCCGTATTTATTCCATTCGTTCGCGTGACTTCTCTCCTTACCCCGTTGGACTCTCTTATCCATATTCTGTTTTTCCCGTTTGTTCATTATAATAATGATTTTTAAAAAAATCGAGGGTACTTTAATCGTAATCAGCATTCTTACATTTGAATTTTCATCTCGTTTCAGTAATAATATAAATTATAACTATGATAATAAGTTTCAATAATTATTTTAAAATAATTTTAATATCAATGTTGTTAATAATAGTAATGATTAATGATAGTAATATGATAGTATTATTAATAATAGTAATATTAGAGATAAAAAGGATAAATATTATTTAAGTCGTTTGTCGACTTGATCCTTTGCAACGACGTTGAGGCAGCAAGGATGGAAATTTGTGTATTTGCACTAAATTTTTTTCGTTAATCATTTTATTTTTTGATCTTTCTTCCTGTTAATCCTTTCACAAAATGTGAATCAAGACCATGCACTTGTCGGTGAGGCAAATTTAATAACGCACGTAGATAAAAATAAATATTTTGTCGAGCTACCGAGCGTTTCTTTTTTTTTCTGTTTGAATTTTTTTCTATTAATTCAATTATCTTGTTATGAAATTGTCCCAATTGCAATGATACAAAATCGTTTGCTGTAAAAATCCTTGCACTACTTTCTTGATTAAAATTTTGTTTTTATTTATAATTTCATTTTTATTGAATACATTGAGTTTTAATTTTAGTTTGAAATAATAAAAAATAAGTTAAATTTTTTGGTAAATCGCGATTTTAATTTATGTGTGTCTTTCTAACTACTACTATTACTACTGTTTACTGTGATCTATTCTTATTCTTTAGTTTCTAAGTCTAGACTCTGCTGCACAAAGCAACAAAGTCTTGATTGCGCTTGAATATTTTCTCTTGCACTATCGCGACTCACAAAAAATAGCTGGATGTTGTCGATCTTATATAATATTAACGTTTGCCCGTCCTTAATGTTAATTATATTTATTAATATTTATCTGTCTGTCAATCTGTCCGCTTGCTTTTCTGTCTTTGCGCGAAGTCAATTCGTGATTCATGTGAACGTACGTGTGGTATGTCTGTCGTCTGTCTGTCTGTCTTTCTGTTTACCTATTTATTAATTAATCACATCGATTTGTCTATATTAATTAACTTTGCCTGTCTGGCTGCCCGAGTGCTTGCACATCCGACACTTTGTAATCTATTAAACAATGTATGGCTGCTCTTTACACGTCACGGACTTAAAGTCTCTTTAGAATTAAATACTCCAGCGCAACTTAAGAAAATGAAAAAAAAAATAATCTTTGTCAAAATAATAAATATCAACAAAAAATAAATAATAAATAAATGTGGGTAATGTGCATGGAAGAAAATAATAATCTATACGCAACATTTGCAAATTCCATACACCTTCTTGTTACTTTAATACCAACATATATCCCCTTACTGCCTCTCTACTGGCCTTTAATTAAACTATAAAACCCTGCAATGTCTTTAATATCTATACTATTTTTTCCAACCATAACATTTTCATTAAATAATCATACCTACTCGCTTATTCATTACTTTTAATAACATACATGCAATTATCTTACTATATACTATAGAATATAAACGAATAATCAATAAATATTTTATAATCACGATGGTATATGATAAATAGCAATAACAAATGAAATGTAATGCAATATATCATACATCATCAACAATATATACTATATATACTTTATATACTAAAAAATACTGTATACTAAACCATTTAATACTCCGACTCTTTAACACTCGTGGTGGTTGTGTGTGTTGTGCTGCCTCTGTCTGTCAAAATAGAGCAAGGAGGCCGGCATCCGCACTCTGGTCGCACTCGACGACCAGGGAGGTGAGTTAAAACTCCTCTATACTAAGTCATTCATTCGCGTTTATCACATTTATCAAATATTGTATGTCAGATTATATCAAACTTCTTGATTTCGATGTATATTAAGTATTAATCCTTGATTGCCGCACTATTCAGTCGACAAACGTCATTTTTTTTTGACACCATAACATTGTTGAAGCTTTTCCCTATTTTTTGAACATTTTTTTTTTAGTATATTTTCATTATTATATTCAAGTAAATCAAATTTATCATCAACTTTTGAGTAACCCTTGATCCTTTTAGTTTGCTCAATTAAAAGTTACATTTTTTTGACATTTTATTAATTCATAAGAAATGTGTGAAATGTATATAGCGAAGTATTGTAGTTTTAAAGAAACTTTCAAATAAAATTATATTAAAAAAAAATAAAAACGGTCAGGTAAGATGTTGTTATGATGGTAATTGATGAACATATGACGCGTTTTTATGTAGAGTCTTGTGACTGCAGTAGATTATCCTGATCTTTATAGGTTGGTTGGTGGGTTAAATTGTTAGGAAGTAAAAGAAAAAAAAAACTTCTATAAAGGAATTGAATATGAAATAAAAAATGATATTATTGAGATTGAGGATAAATCAAGAGAGGTGTTAGGTATTTTATCTATTGTTTGAGCCATATTATAATGACATTGAATTGAATCGAGACAAAAGAACAACTGATTGCGCCTATTTTTTGTGTGACAGTTTCATATTTTACCTTTGACTGGTTTGACCACAACCTTCATATTCCTTAAAACCATCCTACTGCCACCACAACCACCACCACACCACTTCAACGTCACTTCCACTGTCACCCTCTCGATGTTCAAAATAATCAGACAGGATATATTTAAATATATAAATATTCCAAACAATACAAGTATCACACAGCTCTCTCTTTTTTCTCTTTCTAGATGCATAGGATAAGTCGGGATAAGTCTAAGTAATTCATTTATTTATATAATTGATTAATTAATTGTTTAGTTTTTTATTTGCATATATCTTGATTTATTGCTCTCCGGAATTACCCTATGCAAACTTCATTCACTATATTCTATTTATGCTGTTAATTATTTATTTTCTTTTTTTTTTTTTTTTTATAAACATCAACATGAATGAGAATAAAAAAAAAAGTAAGCAGAAAATTGAAATTAAATGATAAAAAATAAATGAAAATGATTGAAAAAGTAATTAAGTGAAAAAAAAAAAAAGAACCACTAATCATCTCTTTGCTCTCTCTTTCTCTATCTCTAATATCGCATCTTTCTATAATTTCTTTTTTTCTATTTATACATATATTTCAATGGGCATATTTCAATAACTATAAATACTCATTCATTCTTAAACCTCAACATATATACATTTGACAATTACTTATATATGCTCACTATAAGTTTAAAAGGGAGCTTCTTACTGTTTTGCTTTTTAATATTAATCGTCATCTACGAGTCGTGCAACTCGTATATATAAGTAGCAGTAGTTGAATGTGTTGCTATGTAACTTATGAATATTTCAAATAAAGTTCAACATCGGGTCATTCTTTTAAAATTTTCACTAGTTTTTTAATATTAATATATATGATTTTTTTATTTATTTTTTTTTTAATTTTCAATGTACTCATCTTATATTTTTTTATTGTTATATGCATTAGAATGTCTCGTTGTATTATTTCCGGGGCCAGGATGCTTGCTAGTTGATAAATTATTAATAAAAAACTCGTGGAATATTATTTTATCTTGCTTTTATTATTCATAATTCTAAAGTTATTTCTAATAATAGAATGTATTTTAATGAAATTACAATAATTTGATATTAAAAATGAATTTATTCAATTACTAATGACAATTCTTAGTGGCCTATTTTTATCATTTAATTATTGTCCAAAGTAGAAAATAATTATTTACTAAATGAAATTGAATGATAAGTAATGAAATATAAAGGGTGCAATCTTCCTGGTCTTAAAAAAAATTAGCTGATGGATCTAGATAGGAACGTGTAATAATTGAATTTAGAGAGATATTTTAGAAAACTTTGTTAGTGAATCTCTTGGTAATATCGGACGGGCTTTTTAATGTGCTTGTCCACATACACATGCCTGCCTTGTCTATACGTATATTAATACCTATATACTATCTCTATACTTCTACATATTCAACTATTATAGGCACCTAATACCCTTCTATTTGCGTCACTAGTTTCCTTATTCTACCTCCACTCAGTACCTTTATCATTCTACGACATATTACTAAACTTATACTACTTACCTTTACTTTTTACTTTGATACTTGAATTACTATACTATAATTACTAATAATTATACTACTACCTAACTACCTACTATTACTGTCACTACTACTTAAACTCAATGTTATGTTCGGCAGATATAATAGGCGCTTTCATGTCTCTTCTTAATTGTTATATATATATATATTTATTTGTTTACTTTCTCGAATAAAAAAACGACACTATGCACAACAAATGTCGTTGTCCTGAATTAATATTAATAATAATTCGTCGTACTATTTAATTGTGTTATCATTGTGTTTAGCTATCAACAATGTGTCAACAAAGAGCAAAAAAATTAATTGGACTGGAAAATTTATTATTTGCCATTTTATTTTGTTGACTAATTATTATTTTGTGGCTTATTTAAATTTAACAGGTTAAGTGGAGTAAATTGAATACAATAAAAAATATTTTTAGCATCACTGAAGAATTTTTTTTGTTAATCATAGTTTATGAATTGGTGCATACACAGATATTTTTAAGAATAGTTAAAAAAAAAAAAAAATATCGATATTTTTATTGAAAAATTTTTTAATATTCGCATCTATTTCAATAGACAGACTCTCATCAAAAATGATGAGGACTATGCAATGCTAACTTTTATGACCACTAAAAATCGTTTCAAACTGAAATTAGAATTCTTTCTCTCAGAGAAAGAAAAAAAAGATTAATGATAGTCATTATTATGCTACACATGTTACGTTTACTCTACTTAATCTCGAATAAAAAGTTAAACATTTCTTTATTTTATTATACGGTAATAGAAAAATGATTTTTAAAAATAATTCAAAAAATCCAAATGTGTTTCAGAGCATTAAATAAATAATTCAATAATAATTACTGGCAATGGTATTAACATAAAAATCAGGTATCTAATAAAATAAAATAAAAGAATGCATTGTCCCAATTAATTTTTTTTAATGAAATAAATTTCTTCTTTTCATCCTTCTTCTCTTCTATACGGGGAATGTAACAATGTGAAAATCGGACTAAAATCTTTCATTTCCGTCGTTGAAGCACTTGAATATATTTATTCGTGTAAATGATTCTATATTATTTGTCTTGATGGCTGATTATTTGACCACTGTGCTTGCTGCCATGAGGGACGCAAATAATCGTATGATGAATAGATGGGCTTAGAACGCGTCGATATTATATAATAACCATCCCTACATAGTAGTGCACAATATTCTATCTATCATTTCGTAACCTTTTATTATTATTTTTTTTTAATTACTCTTATGAATGTCCCTGTATTACTCGTGGCCCTCTGGCCATTTATTGTTGGGGTTAGTCTTTGGCCAAATTATCCCTCAGGGCATACAGCACGGTGGGCGTTTCTTTTTCATTCATTTCGCAGTTTAATCACACTGAATGATGTTTCGTTCCGGTTGCATCATTGGCCGTCTTAGAGCGAGGATATTGGGGCGAATACTCTGGTGATGTTAGATCATCAAGGCGGTAAGCTCTTTCTCAACCGTTATGATTTTTTTTTTAAAATTCGTCTGTAACTTCTTCTGAAACAATTTATACTTGACGCCGCAATAAAAGATAACTAATTATTGACGTTCAACAAATTTTTCATTATTAATTTTACTGACTACTAGAAAACATTTATGGCATTGATTATTGCTCTTTACTGGTGACGCAGTGATTCATATCATATTAATATACTAACAACAATAACAACACAAACAGCACCAGAATTAATATCAAGTAGTTTACCATTAGAAAGACTGAAAAATAATGTCAGGAGTATGACACTAGTATTTTTACCTAAAATATAAAGAAAGATATTTTAAAATTGAAAAATTTTCCATTCTTTACTGGTTTTGATTTTGAATTTAAATGATTATTTTAGTTTGTAGTAAAATAAATGATTAAAATATTTTAGAAAATATTTTCAATTAAAACCAAATAAATTGGGAAGACTTTTTCAATTGAGAAATATTTTTTTTTTTAAATAGATGGTATAAAGATAAATCCCTCCCTCAACAGACCAGCAATCCTTTTAGGCACTGATGCGTTAGTTTAGTTGTATGGTATATAAATATTATCATAGATTGAATTAGTTGTTTGTAACCGTGTTGATACGCATTTGTATGCACATATTCGGCCAAAAAAGACGTGCCGCTTTGTATTATTGACATTCATTGTAGAAAGTAAAATTGATTAATTAATTAACTAATTGATCATAGTTAATTATTAATTACTTACACATAGTTATATATTATAATAAAAAATTAAGATCAAGTATAAATAATGCTAGTAATCTGACAAGGCTTTATCAATGCTATATATATATATATTTATTAATGCGTAATAATGTAATATTAATTATCGTCTTTTAGCCTTTTCGCACGTTGCGTTTTTTCGCGCTATCATCAAATTAATAGTTATTTATTGAGCGTAATACTGAAAAAAATATCGACAAGAAATTTTTGTAAAAAAATGATATGAGCATCTATTAGACACATTTTGTTGATTTTCGTCCAGCTAGCCGTCCGCCCGCTCGCCAAAGGCTGCGCTTTCGGGCATTCGACGACGCTTTTTTTGCTTCAATCCAGGGTTTGGATGGAAGTATTTAGTCTTTGTAAATTTTTTTTTTCTTTTTTATTTATTTATAAAGCCTTTTAAGCCATTAATGTTCAAGTAGATGAGGCAGAATCATAGCAACATCGGCAGCGGTGTGACGGCTGCGACGATTTTTTCTCATGTTAACATTTTCTTATTGACCGGTTGCCTGTTTAGAGCCACGAAGTCGGGATGAAATCTCTTGTAATGCTGGATGAACAAGGCGGTAAGCCATTTAACTAGACTAACTAATTAATAAATCCGTAAACTTTAGAACAAAATCGACATTGTATGAATATTTATTATCATGTATGGCATCAGATGTTAATTAATGCCTAATTTAAACAAAAAAAAAATACGCCAGCGTTTTATTACGAATTTTTATTACTCAATACATGCGTGAAACCAAACACAATTTTAATTGTTATATAATTATTCAATTAATTTTATTTATAAGTAAAACAATACAATATACTTCATATTTATCGACTTGGAAATAACGAAATTACGTTGACGTAAAGACGAATTAGTTGAAACATTTATCAATATTTATTACGAACTAGTAGGATAATGAATACTAACAATTATTTACAAAGCAAAACACTAATATATTCAGTCAAATAAATGAATTTAATTAAAATAGATAATTAAATTAAAAACAAAAGCCCACTATTAACCAGTCATCTAGTCCGCCAACCAACCAAAATAAATTAACATAATAATACTTTTCTATTGGTGTTAAATAATGGTTATATATTTATGTCTAATTTATATATATTTACACTTGAAATAAACTTTACAACTAACTAAAACCTTTGACTATATACTGCAAGCACCAATATTGATATTTTTAACAGCTTCCATTCTACATGCAGACCCAATTTATGACTTTACGTAATATCTACTTTGTACGTATAAAAAGTATCAGTAACATTTTATTAACATTATTCAATCTTTAATTAATCACTCAGTCATATATTTTATAAATTACAATCATGACGCTGTTACTTTTGCTAATTTTATCATCATTAACTGTCATCAACATCATCGGTCTCACGAAAAATGAAAGTTTTTAATAAATTTAGATAACAATTATGATTTTTCTTTTTATTTACACACTTAAAAGTTGATATAATTTTATTTGATTGAACGAAATAATCTGTTTCGTATTATTAAAAACTTTCAATTAATAAAATAACTATTAGCAGAAAAAAAAAAACAGTTTTGAAAGTTTTTAATATGATTTTATAGATCGAATTTCTATTTGTAAATAGTTTATATATTTATTGAGAATTTTTAAATGATGATGAATTTTTTATGTGTTACGATAACACATATGGTAAGTTTTGAATAAATCACATGATATACTGCAATTGGTATTTATAAAAAGTATTCAGTAAATATTAATGTTGAATAAAAATACTCTACTTCAATCACGAATATTTATTTTGTTAGTGTGTCATGGAAAAGAGAAAATTATGTTTCATTAGTTCCATGTAAGAAAAAAATTATGGTAATATTAATATTAAAAGCTTTCAAATACTTTTTGAGAAATATAAAAATATTCAAAAAATACCAATGAATATATTCTTTTAGCTTATTGTTGGCCATTGAATAGTGGCAAATAAGGGAAACAACATTTAAATTGATGCTTCGAAAGTAGTTGATGTAATATAACATAAATTAATGCTCATCCCTTTGTTCTTGTTTTTGCCAATTAACAGAGCAATTGGACCGAATCGAAGAGGGAATGGATCAGATCAATGCAGACATGAGAGAGGCAGAGAAAAATCTCACGGGAATGGAAAAATGTTGTGGCCTTTGCGTGCTGCCTTGCAACAAGTATAATTTTTTTTTAATACCTATAGATTTTAGCCACACATGTGTGTAATTACACTATCGATTGGAAGTTTATTTGTTGCAACGGTTAAATGAAACAGAAGTTAAAATAATAGATAAATAACAATTTTTGTAATGTTCGATTTTAAGGGGAGCGAGTTTCAAGGAGGATGAAGGAACGTGGAAGGGTAATGACGATGGAAAAGTTGTGAATAATCAACCACAGCGAGTGATGGACGAACGTAATGGACTTGGACCTCAAGGTGGTTATATTGCTAAAATCACTAATGATGCTCGTGAAAATGAGATGGAAGACAATATGGGTCAGGTTAATACAATGATTGGAAATCTAAGAAATATGGCTATTGATATGGGAAGTGAACTCGAAAATCAGAATCGTCAAATTGATAGGATCAATCGTAAAGTAAGTCATCTATTCAAATTTTTTACATTTATGCACATTTAATATTCATTTCTTCTATTTAATAGTTATAGTATTTTTTTAATTTAATTTAATTTTCATATGAAATTATCCTTTAATGAGATTCAAAAGTTTCTAATTATTTGCAAAGAACTTTATTATTCATTATTCATTATTATGATAGATTTAAAATAGAAATGCCAATTAATATACTTTGTTGTTATAAACTTTAGTAAAATCCCTTACTTGACATTCTTCGATATTTTCATTGATATATACTTGCATTACATCAACATTGAAATTAATTTACAGGGTGAATCAAATGAAACACGAATACAAGTGGCAAACGAACGAGCACATCAATTACTTAAATAAGCAGTTGAAAATCGTCAGAAGTATATTAAACAAAAATTTATTTTATTCCCATATCCAGCCTATTCGCTAAATTACAAAAAATTATAACCAGAGAATGATCAGATTAAGATTCTCTGTGTATGTAATTGAAGTTTTGTGCATCATCCATCATGTTTGCAATATGCAAATCGAGATATTTGATTGATAGTTTAGATTTTCTGGGATCCAATCCATTTATAGTTAGATATTTTTGACTTGAAGATTCATTAGAACATTCATTAGAAATCAGATTAAAGTTTGAATATTCAAGTATTGGATTAAATTAACAGTTAACACCATTAAAAAGGAAAACAAATAAATTAATAAACGAATAAAAACATATGAACATACACCCAAACCTAAACAATCATAAGCATACAATACATCATAATATAAATCTCGATTATTGCATTTATTGTTGTAAAACATTTATTATTATATATAAAGTATTATTATAATCAGTTTTAAAATGTGTTAGATTTGCATATTAATAATTATTAATTTATCTATTTATATTGTCATTATAAAAGAAGAGACAAATAATGCTGTTGCTTATTTTATAAAAATATTAAATAATTAGTTAATTAGTAATTAATTATGCACAAATTAATCTATAAATTACACGAAGTTTATGAAAATATTGTCGATGGGAATAAAGAGAAATTGTCGTGGTAACATTAATAAAATTACGTTGCCTTGTGTACAGAATGTTCTATTGACCATTGAATTCTAAAGAATGAAATATAAAATAGAATTATTGTAAATCATAAAATATGTTATCTTTTTTTTTACCATAATCATAACTATAATAGCTGTGCTTGTGTTAATTTATGCATTCCATTGTGTTTTTCCTGTTTTTTATTTTTTGAAACTATGGTACGCTCGTAGTGAAGATGACTGTTGTGAAATATATTGCAATAAATAGTTAAAAAAATTTTTGAAAAAAAAACCTGCTTCAAAAAGCAGATTAACGGCGCTACCGTAGAAATTCACGTATTTAATCTCCCTCGTGTATGCTGTCTTCATTTATTATCTTGCACATTACATAATAAATAATAATAGTAATAAAAGTAATATTAATAATAATGGTGATGATAATGATGATAATGATGATGATAATTATTGAAATCAGATGAAAGATAAATTATTTAAGAAAGAAAAATCATTGAGTACCTGTCTTGTGTGAATTGTACAGAATATTTGCTTTTGAAAGATACTTATGACAGACATATCGATTTCGATACTGTAAAATGTGACGGTGAACTCGATTTTGTACAACACGTGAATGTCTACGTTTATCGAATAAAAGATTCAATGTATTATTAAATGAATTCAACGCGTTAAAGTAGATTTAATTTTTCTTAAACTAATTGAACAGATTGTGAATAAATGTAGATATGAACAAACTAACAAAAATGATAAGGAAGCAACAAGCACTAGAACAATTCATAAAATTTTCTCATTTTTTCGTAGTGATTCTAAAAATAATTGATAGTATATTTAATAAAAATTAACTAAAAACATAAAATAAAATAAAGAAAGCAAACGAGGGGGAAAAATTTGTTCCACTGGTTGCGGGCAAATATGAACAATGTGCTGCGCACGGTTCCACTTAATTATAAATTTTGATTAATAGTCTTATTTATAGACTATATTACGTATTATATTATCAACTTTTATTCCTAATCCTACGTAAAATGTATAATAACGTAATGAAGTGAGATTGAAAATGCCTATGTACTTTGGATCTTGAAGAATAATAAACTGCTGTGACATGTAAAGAACTTCTATTGCTATAATCCTTTTACTCTTTTTATGTAAAATTAAAAATAATCAAAAGTACGATAACTGTGCTGAGCAATAATTACTAAAATGAGTTCTCTATTACAGCATCTTTTTAAAATTAATCTTTACTGTGAAATAAAAATAAATAAATAATAGATTAAAACAAACATTTATTTGGAGTTTTTTTTTTACTTATTAAAAAAAAAGTGTTTTTCAAATTTATTGATCATCTTTTTACATAAAAATTCTTTGTTCATCGATAAAATTGATTCAAAAAAGATCCTTTGAGATCAACTACTGGTAAATGTGTCATTGAATATTTCGTCAGTTAAAAACGTTATCCTTAATTAATATTTCTGGTTAATTGTCTTGATTTGTATCCATATCGTGGACTCTGACGTTTTGGCGTAGTTAAAGTTGGTACTGCTTTTAGTGGAGTTCTCCTTGAATCGACTACTGGTCTTCGTACTAAAGACCGTGCACTTTTTGGTGTCTTTGTTGAAAGTGGTTTTTTGATATGAGGAGTATTGCTTATACTAGTCACGTTCATCATTTCAACAGCATGATTCACCAATTCATTTTCACGTACTGTTGCATTCGTCTTTGCAGATGCATAAAGACGTCCTTGTGAATTTAAATTCTTTGTGATTTCCTCTTTTGAATTGTCTGTTTGTCTATTTTCTTGATCTGATATAGGACTCTGTCGTCGACGTTTTTCCAACGATTGACGACTATTCCCATTCAAATCACTTGGAGATTCAGATTTAAGCCTCGCTCCATTACTCTTAGGACTTTTAAATTTTTTCTTCCGAGTTTCTATCGAATTTTTTGCTTCTTTTGAATCTCTCGAAATACTTATTCTTTGCTGTTGTTCTATTATAGTTTCTGGGGTAGTTTTACCTTTATTGTGATCAAATAATTTGGCCTTTGCCAGCACCATTCCAGCATTCTGTGTACGAAGTTTAGCAACCGATGCTCGACCTGTTTGAACTACGGATGCATTAAACGTAGGTCTCAAAGGAGTCACTGCATCTAAATATGTACTTGCATTCTTCCAAGATATTCTCTTATCTAATCCAATTTCAGATACGGGTGTATCGCTTTTTTGTTTAATACTTACTTGACTATTTATTTTTTTAAATTTATCTACACGATCAGTAAACTTTGAGTATTCTTCAATAAGTTCATTTCCATGAAAAGAAGATGCTCGGCGTACAGGTGTGGATTTAGGTATATTGATGATTGATACATCTTCTTCATCATTCAAAAAAGAGCCTGTATGTTCAGCAGTATGATTGATTAACGTGCACAGTTGTTGTTGTAAGTAATTCAATCTTGCATTAGTTTCTTCACTGCAAAAAGAATTGACGTTTTGATCTTGATATGATCCTGATTTAGTTGTTACAGGCTTTGGAGTTAAATCGATATTATCAGTTTGCTCCGAAACATGCCAAGATGACATACGACTTACGCGCTTGCGTCCAGTTATCGGTTTTTCTTGTGATCGTCTGCGCAAACTACTGATTCTCCGAGCACTGGGTGACCTTATAACTTTATGTTCTGCTGATCTTCTAATTTTCAATTCTTTAGAAAGACGTCTTGCTAGGTGATCTGCTGAAGTAATACTTTCAATACTCGCTTCGCCTAAAGTTTTTTCATATTCGCTTTGTACTTGGTTCAACGAGTTAATCTTAACATTTCTATTAACAGTGTGATCATGCAAAGCATCTAACTCTTGAGAAATACGTGACTCAATGGCCGATACTCTATTTTTAATTTCTTCATATTCACTTTTTGGAATTTTAACATATTCTTCAGATGGTTCGTCTGTGTCAAAAGATTCTTCATTTCTGTAAGATAATGTAGAATCTAATTTTTTATTTAATGCTGAATGACGCCTTGGAGATTTTCTTGAATGGTTAGATGAATTAACGTCTTCTCCATTCTCATCTGACAAATTTATTTCTGCATCCGTAAAAATTTTGTCATATTGATCCATTTCATTTTGTACATTCAATTCTGTTTGTTTTTTTCTGGGTGGCGAAGAAATAAGTGATGAAGCACTCCAATTCTGTAATCGACGTTTCTTCATACTCTTTTTAGATGATACTCCACTTGATGTACTCCAGCGTCGTTCGATAGGTGAACTTTCTGAGTTATTTCTATCTTTGTCAACCTCTAATTCATTAATCTTTTGCTTACTACGGGACACGAAACGATCTAAACTTATACCCAATTTTTTTGGTTTATCAATCTTTGTATGTACTCCATTTGCTTGAATATTATGTGATAAATATTTTCGAACTTTAGATTTCTGGGTCGTAAAATTTCTTTCTTGAGAATTTTGATCTCTCACCGGCGAAGGAATTATTGATTGCGAAGAAAGTACTGTACTTTCTATTATACCATCTAAAGATGGTCGTTTCTTTTTATTATTGATAGATGCTATCGCGATTTCTCCATTCTTTCGTTTTTTACAAATTTTTGTAGGAGAACTTTGTGGAGTATCTAAGACTGATGATCTCAATCGATTTTCATTGATAGGAGGAATATTTTCAAGAGATCCGTTCTTCCCTACTATTTTCTTTAGCCCATTAAACATTCCTAAAAATTGAATAATTAAATTAATGGAAAAGTAACAGAAATAACTAAACGAATATAATTTATTTCAATATATCTAGTTTGCACATAGATTTCAAATATCTTGAACAAATGTAAAAAGTTTCTCGAATGGTTAAAACTTTTTTCACTATTCGATGTAACTTATTTTCTTTTGTTCAAGACGTCATTAATAACTTACGAGTAAGACTTCCACTCCTATGCTTCTTTTTCTTTTCTCTAAAACGATCTCCACTCAACCGATCAATATCTCCTTCAGTGCTACAATAAGATTCAGCTTGAATATTCTCCATTATATCTTTTGGTATGACACCAATTTGTGAAGAGTTTTCTATCAAAATCTATCAATGAGAATGAAAAATAAGTAGTATGAAATGTCAACTATGAATGTATAATAAACTTCATTGCTATAAACAATACCTTTACAATAGATAAATGTGCTTCTAAACGGTTTTGCATGGCAGTTATTGTAGTTTCTCTTAAAGGCATAATATTTGGACCGATAACTTTAGCAAGATTATCAGAACTCATTTTATTTTGGTCTTCATGTTCGGAAACTCGACGTAAAAAATCCATAAGAAAAGCTAGTGTATTCAGATGAGGAGCTGGTAAAAGTAAACAAGCCATCAAAATATTGTCTACCTTCGAACTCCTCATCATCCCACATCGTACGAATAAATCATGATAAGTAAAAGGAATTATTGGTTCAGGTAGATCTCTGAAATACTTTTTTAAACAATTAGCTACATCAATAGCATGATGTTTCCCTCCTAAACCATGACCATTGTCTATTCGAGTAACCAGCTCTTTTAATCGTGCTTGAGATCCAGCTTTTCTGAATAATCCTTCTTGATTTAAAAATTTTTCCAAATATAAAATTGTGTGCTTGACAAATACCGGAACATAAACGATTGCTCCAGATGCCAATTGAACTCCATCCAACGGTTGAATCGACAACGGAACATTGAACACTTTTTTGGAGTTATTTACATGTTTGTCATTACTCTCTACTTTTCTGGCACTTTTCTTCACTCTATGTTTTATCCCAAGATTTTTTAAATGACTCGTAACAATGTCAAATACTTTATCTTTATCGGAAAGATCATATATTAACATTTTTAAAATAACAAATAAACTTTTTAAACATTAGCCTTGCGCTGTGAGCGGCTAACTTGTAAGCAAACAATACCGGAAAAAGCATTTAGTTATTAGTTCAATGCATAGGTGTCGCCACCCAATACTTCTCTATCTTGAAAAAATCAATTGAAAATAAATGAAAACCTCAATCAAAATATAAAATAATTTTATTCAAAAGAGAAGGATTTTTTATTTGATTTTGACTAATTTTACATTTTTTTTTTACTAAAAACGATGATTGCAATACTTTATAAAAATTTTTATCGACTGAAGCTTCAAAGTCAAAAAAGAAACTATAGATGATTACAGTTGACAATTCCACTGAAGTTTGCTTTAGCTGTTCTGTACGTGAATCCTCAAGTCATCCAGGTTAACCAAAAAAAATTTTTTTGCCGTCAATAAGTACCACTAATTAATAGAGGCGATGGAAAAGTCAGGAAACGTCTTAACACTTACTGTAAGTATTTTAGAAAGATTTCATTTATTATTTACAAATAATTTTCGATGAAGAATTGGTACTACTGGATATCGCTTTATACTAAGAGTTATGTACAGTTCTTCATAGCGAAATAATTAATTTTGAAACGAAATTATTTTAATAGGATTATAGTGAAATGGAATCCAAACCAGTAATGGGTCATTACTCTGGAATTGATGATGATTTAGATGTTGAAGATCTTTACACAAAATATAAGGTAATAAATAAGTGTAAAGAATTTTGAACGTGTTCTTTAATGATTCATTTCTTTGCAGAAACTTCAACGTATGTTAGAATTTTTACAAGTTCAAGAAGAGTACATTAAAGACGAGCAACGTAACTTGAAAAAAGAATATTTACATGCTCAAGAAGAAGTAAAACGTATTCAAAGTGTTCCTCTTGTAATTGGACAATTCTTAGAAGCTGTTGATCAAAACACCGGAATTGTTGGTTCAACAACAGGCTCTAATTATTACGTTCGAATTTTATCTACGATAGATCGTGAATTGTTAAAGCCTTCGGCTAGTGTTGCTCTACATAAACATAGCAATGCTCTCGTCGATGTTCTTCCACCAGAAGCAGACTCTAGTATTTCTATGCTTCAAGCTGGTAAAATTTATTTTAATTATGTTACGAAACAATTAATTAAATTGAAAGAAATCAATTCATATTGTTTTATTTTTATAGATGAAAAACCTGATATCCAATATAGTGACATTGGAGGCATGGACATGCAAAAACAAGAAATTCGTGAAGCAGTAGAACTCCCATTAACTCACTTTGAGTTATACAAGCAAATTGGAATAGATCCGCCAAGAGGAGTTTTGATGTATGGTCCACCAGGATGTGGCAAGACTATGCTGGCAAAGGCTGTAGCTAGACATACTACAGCTGCATTTATACGCGTTGTTGGTTCTGAGTTTGTCCAGAAATATTTGGGTGAAGGTCCAAGAATGGTTAGAGATGTATTTCGTCTAGCAAAAGAAAATTCACCGGCTATCATTTTTGTTGATGAGATTGATGCAATTGCAACTAAACGGTTTGATGCTCAAACTGGCGCTGATCGTGAAGTTCAGAGAATTCTTTTAGAGTTGTTGAATCAGATGGATGGATTTGATCAAACAACCAATGTTAAAGTAATTATGGCTACTAATCGAGCTGATACATTAGATCCTGCTCTTTTACGTCCTGGAAGATTAGATCGTAAAATTGAATTTCCATTACCTGATCGTCGACAAAAACGACTTATTTTCTCGACTATCACCGCTAAAATGAATCTTAGTGAAGAAGTCGATCTCGAAGACTATGTAGCAAGACCGGACAGAATTTCAGGAGCTGATATAAATGCTATCTGTCAAGAGGCAGGAATGCACGCAGTACGTGAGAATCGTTACATAGTTCTTGCTAAAGACTTTGAGAAAGGATATAAAAATAATATTAAAAAAGATGAAGCCGAGCATGAATTTTATAAATAAACAAACAGCTTATGAAATTAAATTTCAATTTTTTACTTACAATAATACATTACATGTATATGATAATTTAGTAATATTTGTCAAATTTCAATGCTAACAAAATAAATTGTCTGATGAATTAATTATAAATATATACAGTGTTATTTATTTCATTTATTCCTATATCGTATGTAAAAAAGATATGTATTCAAAAAAAAAATCAATTTGACGGAAAATTATTTCTAAAAGCGCTAGTGTCACTCATAAGAGATAGAGCACTATTATTGTTTTCAGTTGATAATTCTTATTTTCTATCATTTAGCTGTAATCATATTAATAAAAAAAATATTAACGATACAGTAACAATTAAAATGGACTTACCGAAAGTATTAATTGTTAGTACTGAAATTGGAAAAGCAAGTTCACTTGTTCAAGGTAAAATTAATTGTCATCTAAAGGTTATGTCAATATAAATTTATTGTTATAGAAATTTTATTTATAATTCATTTTTTATAAATAGAAATGGATGGAAAACTTTTCATGGATAACAATGACGTAAAATATTTTTCATGGGACATTAACAACAAATATTATTCAGCACAAATATTATTGTGTGTAACAGAAAGGATACCTCCAGAAATTCCTGCTGACAGTATTGAAGCAGTAATACTTCATTATGAATCAAAGGCAATAATAAGCAATTTAAGAAATTTTAATTTACTGTTTCATGTGTGAATTTACGTATAATTAATTGACTCAGGGGGAGGAGCCACTCATATTGGATAAATATGTACCATTTATCCAGACACTCAATGAAGCTGAGATATTTTTATTGGCTTGTGAACCAATTGATGATTCACAAAAAAAAGAAGAAGGTATTTTTCCAGATGTGATTGAGGATTTCCTAAATGTTAATTTAATTTATTGAAATTTTTAGTAACCGAATGGTGTTATACTCATAAATTTGAACTAGTAGATATGAAAGTACCAGAAGCAACTAGTGAAATGGATGATGATGGAGCTCATGAAAAATATGGATTAGAAAGGCTAATAGAAGCTTTACATACTCATACTTGGCCTAATAGAATATTAAAAGGTTTTTATTTCATTTTATATATATATAAAAAAAAAACAATTAAATGGTAAATGATTGATGTATTACATTAAAAACAAAATCAAACATACTTTAGGCATTCCTAATGGACGAATTTCAACTTCAAATGAACCCGATGTAAATGAAATTAAAGAACAATTAGACAATATTCAATTGAACTCCGCTCGAGATGGAACAGATTTTTCGTTAGTAGATCGAGCATTACTAGGTAGGTATTTGTGTTATTATTTGGTTCAATAATTGATATAAAGAAATGAGATTTGATTCATTCTTTGCCAAAAATTTTATTATTAGATGGTATTCTTGGAGATACGAATGCTGATTTTGGTGAATTATTGAGTCAATTAATGGCAATGAAAGAACATGTAGCAACCTTGGAACCCAGCAATCGGCGAGTTGCAGCCGAACAACTTGTTACAGCTTTTTGGAAAGCAATGGGAGGTGATTCGTCAGAAATTGAAGATCCTAACGAATGAACTTTCAAAACTTTAATTGTTCAATATAAATATTAACTGTATATCTCAATATTATATAAATAAAAAGGTAAATTTATAGAAGCAATGAGTTGATGCAATTGACTTAATTTGAAATTAGCGGGCAAAATTTTAAGTCATACCACCATTGCACACTTAAATTTGTATCGTCCTGTATTAGCCTGTCACGTTGGTAGTCTTTAGTTTAACCAAAATGACCGTCGCGTTTGTGTACGGCCTGATTTCGTTTACAGTTTATAATTATTTATAGTGTTTTTTGTAACTAATTTGCAGAAGTAATACCTAAAATAATTTTCATTATTGTAGAGTGTATACAAATATTTTATAATTGTTCGAATAATTATGAAAATTATTCACGTGGTTAACTTTGTAAGCATTCATTAATATATATATTTTTATTGAACAATTATTATTTATATGGCACGACTACGGTTTCCGTGGCGCCACGAAATGATAATGAATTTCGATAGAACAGTCCAAAATAAGACGAAAATGAAGAATAAAATTTTTTCATATCTCACTTAGTTTTCGAGATATTGATACTTTAAATTTTGGGTTTATATGGGCTTATACATGGGCATAATTTTGGACTACAGAATTAGAGGGTTCTCTCCGGTGGCGGCCTTCGGCCGCACCGTTTAATGAAAAAAAATCACCCTGCAAGTACATTGTACCAAGTTACAACAATTTTGCGAGGCAAAAAAAAATCGCGGCGCCACGGAAACCGTAGTCTCCCCATTTATATTAACAAAAAAATTTTTTAACATATTTTAGGTAGTGAAGATATTATAGTTGAGTCGTACAAATTGAATAATCATGGAAGTATCAAAAAATAACGATACTCCTACCTCAGATGACGTGTCTCAAGTTTGTCCTGGTATCATAAAACTAAGAGACTCAGATACTCCTGATAGTAATAAAGGATTACAAGAACATGATTCTGCAACTGATAGTCCTAAAATTACGAAGCCGGTTTTAGGAAAAGCACAAGCTAAAAAGAGATTAATGGCTTTTGCAAATAATTTTAGAGTATCTCCTGTGTTGAAACTTAAAGATAAGGACGCCAATGTTAGTAAGAATCAAACGATGAATATTTTTGCATCAAGTAAAAAATCTAGCAATGTAAAAGATTTAATGGAAGAAGTAAAAGATGCACGAAATCGAATAGAAAATGAAATTGACTTCCAAGAACTGTTAAGTAATGCTAGTTCCGAAAAGAAAAATTATAAAAAACATAAGAAAAAGTCAGAACCAAAAATATCAGCCATAGAAGAAATTATTCGTGAAGAATCCAAGCAAAAAATGTTATTGGCAAACATTCCCGATAGAATAACATTAGAAAATTCTGAAAAAAGTGAAAGAGATGATCGTGATAGAAATTATGGTAGATATTCACAATGGGATAGAAAAAGATTTCGTCGCTCAAGTAGCCGGGGCAGAGGCGATCGCAGACGACGTAATAATAGACGAAGAGAGCGATCTAGGAGTCGTGATAAAAGAGAAGGAAGCCAAAATAGTGATAAAAGAAAAAGTGCTTCACCAGAGACTGATCAAAAAAATAAAATAAAATTAGATAAGTCAGACAAGTCATCTAAAAAAAATGATAAACCTCGTGAGAAAAGAAAAAATGATAGTCGAAAAGATGATTACAAGAAAGATAAAAAAAATGAAGAAAATCATCTTCTGAATAATTGTGAATCTTGGAAAACTTTTAAATCTCACGGTAGACAAATAAGAGAAAGATCATTATCTGATAATTATGAAGATGCAAGTACAGATGTTAAATTTAAAACTGCTGAAGAATATAATGGACATTTAGAGCAAATGTTAATGCTCGGATCAAATCGGTTAGAAAGATCCTATGCTGTTGCTGATGGTAAAAATGATGACAGAAAAGTTTATCCACCAGAATCCATACGAGTGACTAAATGTAAAGGATCTTCTATTTTTTATAGTGAAAATCCAGATATTTCTCTATTTTTTTCGAAAAAACAACTTTTTCAGTTACTTCCTGCCGATCGTTGCAATTTGCTCAAAAAAATTATTGATTCTACAAAAGAAGTAAAAGTAGAAGAAAAAAACGAAAAAATAAGTGAACGTACATGGCTTAAAAAATGGGATGAATCAATCAATAAAATTGAAAAACTACATCATAATGAAACGTCATTCAATAAACAGGACACCAATATATTACCGAAATCCAAATGGGATAGTGAAGAGTCAATAGAAATACCGAAAGATAGTACACCTAGTAATTCACCAGAAAATAAAAATGAAACTGAATCAGCAGATGATACTTCAGTAGCAGCCGAAAGTAAAGAAAGTAAATCAGAAGAACAAATGGAAGTAACATCAATTCCTTTGGTATCTGCTTTTGTTCCGAAGGTTGAAAATGTAAGTAACAGTCCTAGAAATGATGAGAAAACAGTTGAGGATATTCCAAAAATGGTTGAAACAACAGCTGATATAAATTCGCCTAAAATTGGAGAAAATCTTATTTCAGAGTACGAACAATTTATAAAAATTGTGAATAATGATAGTGAAGAATTAAAAAATTCAAAAGATAAATACTCAGGAGCAGAGTTTAATGATATTAAACAAGTAGATGACAAAAGTGTTGAAGAAAATAGCAATAAATCAGTTGGTATAATTAATGATAAAGAAATAACTGAAATTCCATTGAAAATGAAGAGCAATAAAGAAGATAAAGCTTGTAATAGTAAGAAAAGTGATGGTGACGAACACATAATTACTAAAAATTCGAAAAATGTCATAGAAAAATTGAATACGAGTGATTGGGAAAACGAAGCAAAAAAAGATGAAAAAGAAGATGATTATATAAAAGACAATAAGAGAATAGAACGCAAGAAAATAAAAACTAAAAAAAAAGTATCATCTAGTGAAAGTAGTAGTTCATCTTCTTCAAGTTCATCCGATTCTGAATCACAAGAAACTAAAAAAAAACGAAGAAGAAAGAGTAAGAAAAGAGCATCAAGTTCTGATAGTTCTAGCAGTGAAAGTGAAGAAAGTAGTGATGACACAGAACGTGATAGAAAGAAAAGAAGAAGAAGAAGTAAACGGAGAAAGAATAGAAAAAAATCTAGAGCGAAAAAGAAAAGAATCAAAGTGGAAGATACTGAATCAAACTCGAGTGATTCTGACGAGGAACATGTCGTAAGAAAGAAAAAACAAAAAAGAGATTCTAGTAAATATCGAAAAACAATCAAACGACGATCAAAGTCTGCTGATAATAAGAAAGTACAAAAAACAAAAAAAGAAGAAAAAATGATATTGTTGGATGATGAAACTCTTAATGAATCTGATTTGGAAAATTTGAAGAAAAAAATAGTATTAGAGGCGGAAAGTATTGATAAACAGTGGCCAAAAGATGATCCATTGAATTCTGAAGAACCTGAAGAAACAGCCAAATTTGAAATTGTAAAAAATGAACAAAAATTAAATGATGTTGAAAAAAGCGAAACTACTGATGCAAAAAATACTGTTAAAGATAGTAAATCTATTCAACCATCATCAGGTGATAAAGAAGTAGAGAAAAATACTGATAGTGAAGCCACCAATGATCATCTCAGTGAAAAAGCGGCCCATAGTGATAACTCTAAAAGTAAAAAATTGAGAAAAATGAAAAATAGACGTCGAAATAGTAGTACAAGCAGTTCCTCAAGTGTCAGTAGCTCTTCATCTTCATCATCAAGTTCAGAAACAAAAAGTCAAAGCAGTAAAAAACAAACTAAAGAACGATCAAAACGAAAATCTCCAGATTTATCATCAAAATTAATTAAAAAATTCAGAAAGTATCATTCCAAGTTAGCAACATCATTAGATTTCGATGCTTTAAATTTTCCATCATTAACTCAGCTTGAACAAAAAATTAGTAAAAATCGTAACACAATAGATGACTGGGAAGTTGATAGTCAGGATGAAACAAACGAATTTATTGAAAAATTAAAAGAAAAGGCATTGAAAAAAGAAAAAAAGATTGAACAAGAGGTTAGATATGACAGTAAAACTGATACTTATATTGCTGTAGAGAAAAAAAGTCAACGTGAAAACAAAAAGAAGCAAACTGGACCTGTATGTGCTTTGAGAATTTGGGAAGATGAGGAAGAAGAAGGTGAACGAGAAGCAATGATGTTAATGAAACAGAAAATCGAAACTGATTCGAAATTAAAACTATGGGAATCAAATACTACCGAAAATCCTGTTGAAGAGAATAAAATCATAATATCAGAAGAACCAAAACCCGTTGAATCGCCGATAGTTCTTGAAGAAAAAGAAGAGAATAAAGGTGGATGGGTAGAAATCATTCCTGAAGGTGGTATTAAGCCCACTGAAGTAGTGTCTAATTCAGAAAGAAAGAAACCTTCAAGATGGTCTGATCGAAGTCCAAACTTAAAAGACGTTTCTGAAGAAAATTTAGTACCAGTGAATTGGGAAGAAGAAGAAGTCGTAGATTGGGTTAGAACGTCACCAGAAATAAAAAATAAATCATTTTCTTTGAAAAGGTCGAGAGATTCAAGTGATAGCAGTAGTGATAGCTCTGATAGTAGCAGTAGCAGTGATAGCAGTGATAGTGAAGAAGAATCGTCACCAATACGTCCAGAGTTATCGAAAAAGTTAGAACTTCGTGATGAAAACTCTCATTCAAGCAGTAGATCTGGATCGAAAGATCTGTACCTGAAGAGTGGTTTAGAAGAACCTTATGTTGAAACTGAAGCTATGAAAAAATTACGCATGAATATATTTGCTGATTTTGTTGCTAAAGATTCACGAGATGGATTTTCAGAACAGCTTGATTCAAGAGGGTCTTCAGAAATACCTCTATTGGTGTCAAGAATTTCAAGCCGTCCATTATCTTCACCTCTCAATGACAATTCATGCTTTGCTCCTAAGCCACATGAAATTGATAGTACTGCTGAAAGAGAAGCAATTCGACGAGGCTTCCGTGATTTTACTCCGAGATCTGATTCGAGATCTTCGTCTCATGATTCAAGACGTAGACTATCACCAAAAAGAGATAAAGAAAGGCCAATAATTCGTAACAGTGAAGAAAAGGGAAGTAATTGTAGTTATCGAAGTGAAAGTAGATGTTCATTAAGAGATTCTTCTAGAGATCGAGGAAGAAAAGATGATAGAAGTTTGCGAGGACATTCTCCTGAAGTTGAACGTAAATACAGTCCTTTTAATGAACGTGATTTTAGAGAAAAACGGCGTTCCCCAATTTCTTGGGATAGAGCTCGTAGCCGAAGTTGGAGTCGAAGTCGTAGTAGAAGCCCCTATAGAAGAGACGATCGATCTTGGGACCGATACAAACAATCTAATTATACTGATGATCGAAGAGAAAGATTTTCTTCAAGGAGTCCACTACGAGAACGATCACCATTCAGACGAGATCGTGGAAGAAGAAGTCCTGAAAAAGATAAAATCCGAGAGCGAAGCCGTGATAGAACTTGGAGTCGTGATAGGAGTGTTGACCGGCCTTATAATCATTTGGAATCTGTTAGAAATGAATATGATAGAAGAAAGCGTGAAGATGATATCGAAGAACAAAACCATTGGAGAGACGATAGAAGAATGAGTAGAGAACCATTGAATGCTATGTATGTTAATAGGCTTTCTCCTGATGTTGATTTTAATGACAGACCGTATCACAGAAATAGTAGTTTAGATAGAAATATTGACCGTGGTTCGCTAGAAACTGATTTCGATAAACCTCACTACAGAAGTAGAAGTAGAGAGAGAAAACCCCGTGATTTCGATTGGGATCGATCACGAGAATCACCTGGATTAGATCAATTTGACTCTAGAAGTAGAAAATTATCAGAAACAAGACCGAGATCGAGGTTATCTCCAAGACCACATAGCCCATTACGGCTTAATCGTCGATGCCGTTCGCGATCCCCATCTTGGAGTAGATCTAGGACTTATTCAAGATCACGTTCTCGATCAGTCAGTCGAAATAGATCAAGGTCTAGGTCAAGATCAAGATCAAGGTCACGATCATCATCGAGATCAAGATTAAGGGTAAATACTTCAGAACGTTCTTCGAGATTCCGACGCTCGAGATCCCTTTCTCCACAAAGATTTTCAAGAATCGATGATGATAGATTTAGAAGAAGTATCAGTCAAGAACGTGGTAGACGTATTGAAACGATCATTCATCCTTCAGGAATCAAGTCGACACCTCTTGAAGAGCCTTCAAACATTTCGGAATCATCTGAAGTTAATTTGCCTCCAACAGCAGCTCCATATGAATATCCTTACTATCAAGGAAATAATCTTACCTATCCACCGCGTTTAGATAACGCTAATCCTCCATCAGGATCACCAAAACGTCTTTCTCTTGATGATAGATTAGAATTAGAGCTTGGAATTAAAAAAGCTCATGAACCATCACCTGTGCCACTTCCTTACAATCATCCAAAGTATACTCAACCAGTGTTACAATATCCTGGCATGCCAAGTGCTCCAAGAGGTATAATACCTCAAGCATTAGGTTCTTCAGAGTCAATGCAACAAATTGGTGGTCCACCTCGACCAAATTTTCATTGTCCAAGTGGTAGTTCTATCATTCCTCCAAGCTCTCTTGTACCACCTACATTTAATCGTCAACATGCCTCTGTTGTACAAGTAGGAAATGTTCTTCAAGTGGTTCCCGGTGACTTTGGTGGTCCACTTCCTTCAACTACAGTCAGAAATGTAATACCAAATCCATCATTACCTGGTACATCGTCGAATGCTGAAAATCCTAATCGAGTAGTTCGTGTAGGAAATGTTTTACAAGTTGTTCCAACTACAACATTGGATTGGAGTGGTAGATCACCGTTACAAACAGGACCTATTTTAGCTAACTCAATGCATATGGGAGTACGCCCATCCGTGCCTCTAGCTCCATTTTCTACTACTTCTGTTTTACATCCCAATTCACATCCGATTCCTACTGTTTCTAGTACAGTTCCTATTAGGCCGCAGAATAAACCTACATCTACACCAGCATTACCCATTACTGCTCTCCCTAAACTTGAACCTCCTAAAGCACCGCCAGTAATACAACCTGTTTACAATTATGAAGCTATTATGGAAGCAAAACGTAAGGAAAAAGAAGAACGCAGGCGATTAAGGGCAGAGAAAAGGCTTGAGAAAAAACAGAAAAAGTTAGAAAGGTTAAAGCGTCGAGCTAAACGTATGCAGATGAAAGCTGAAGCAAAACCTGAAGGTGTGGAAACAGAAGTAACTGGTGAAGATGAAATAGAATCATCTATTTCAGTTCAAGAGCCTAAACCTGGTACTAGTGAAGATTCAAATGATCAAATTATTGAACAGCCAGAACAAACTACTCTTCCTGGAGGTGAAGATGAATACGATGAAGAGGGTGATATAGAGGAAGATGAAGATGATATGGAATTTGTAAATGAAGAAGAGGTTGAAGACGACATATCTAAAGCAATGAGTTCAATAAGCCAACAAGTTGATGCTGATATTATTAAATTAGCAGAAAATCCGGATGCTGAAACAGTAATAAGTGGTTTTAAGACTGCAGTTCCTTTACCTTCACCACCTAAGAAGGGTATTTTAGTTCCTCCAGGATATTGGGAAGAGAAATTTCCACATGATGGTTCTGAAAAAATAATGAACAATGCAGAAGTCAATGAAAATGACGAGTTAAATCTTAACGAAAATCAATTGGCTGCAGAGCAGAAAGATAATGATGAAGGAAATGATGAAAATGATAAAGATACAAAGTTGAAAACGCCAAGACAACGTAGAGCTCGTAAATCTGTACAATTCGCCGATGGAGTAAGACCTGGCGAAGGAACAAGTCCTAGTGGTTGCGAAGGAGACTTACCATCTCCTCCACCACCAGTTCCTATTTCAGCAAATGATCCTATGCATGAACAAATTAAAAGATCAAGAATTCGGAAGAATCGTAAAAAGGCTAAACGTATCAAACCAATGAAGATAAAAAAGAAAGTCAAGGTAAATTTTTTATACATTTAATAATCATTCACAAGCATGTATTTCTTTATTTATGATTAATTATCAATTTGTTATTTTCAGGTAAAAATAATAAAATTGAAAAAGCCAAAAGTAACACCATTACAAGCTATGATGATGGGTGATTCAGATGAAGCGGATGATCGTTCACCACCACCGCCACCACCTGGGTCTCCACCGCCTCCTCATTTGTGGCCAAGTTATCTTGCTGCTTACAGTGCAACTCTACGTCCTGCTGATACTGTATCACCCAGTGGAAATCAAGCACCACCTCCACCTACTCCTTTACCATTACTTGTTCCTCCACCACCACTTAATTATACCATTCAACCGTTGGGTAAAATATAACCCTGAATATCAAGCTATGCTCTTCCGGATACTGTGTAAAATGTTCATCTAATATAGATCATTGACATTCTTCCTGAACTTAGACACAAGTTATTTCTACTCTCGTCCAAATTATGAATGTATATATGTAGTAAACTTTCAATGTATTTAATTAATATTGTTTTCAGTTAATATATTTTTGGTAAAGAAAAGCCTGAATACAGTTTTTGTTATATCAAAGTTCAGAATGTATGTAATAACAAATTAACTTTTTTTAAAGAAGTTTAATTTTTAAGATTATGCGAATTTTTTGGCGATAATGTTAAAATGTATATATCCTCCTTAAACGTATTAAATACAACTGTATTATAAAAAAATTAAGTTTAAATATTTATTCAACTCAATTCGTAAAAAAGAATAAAAAGTTATTTTTAAAATACATTAAAAAAAGTTCATTTAAAACTTATAAATTGTTTGTAAAAATGATAAACAAACTAATGAAAAAAAATTCTAAAATTTTTTAAGTACTAATAATAAAGAATTTATATAATCACCAATAATAAAAAATAAAAAAATTCTGACTTAGCTTTTTCTTCAATTCAAATTTCGCGTCTGTTCCACGATTGCGCAACAGCTGTTATTTGATTGGCGGAAAGAGTATTTAAAATCAAATGTTTCTCACTCGGTCACCTCAGTTCATACTGAGGACACTTCTGTGAACGTTCGTTCATTATTCCGGTCGACAAGAGTACATTTTGAGTACATATGCACTCGCGTGACCTTAAAACAGAACGTCAAACAATAGTTTTTTGGCAAAATTAATCAATAAAAATAGTAGAAAAAATTGAATTAACCTTTAAATTAGTTTCCAATTATTATCAATCCATCAAAAATTCATTCTGATGAATCATTCATTACATGAGCATTGCAAATATGAAAATAAATTACATGATCAGTTTAAAGTTCAGTCAGCTAAGTGATATGTATAGGTGCGAGAGCATGTATTTGCTTACTTGGTCATAGTATTCGAAAAACTGTTGTGAGTTGCAGTTAGTGCGCGAGTACTTGGATAATTTGTTTCCTTGTACTCGTGTACCTCATCTATTTTGATTTTTTACCACTACTTTATTTATTAATTAAATAATCAATATAAACATTGAAGTCGCAACAACATTGAAAAAAGGATGCCGGCCAAATTAAGTAAATTTATCGTAGAAACTGCCAACTGTAAGGATTATGTCCATCCTTGGGTTAATTCTTGTGTAATGGCACAAGTTGGACTTGGATTACATGCTTTACAAGAATCTCTTAGAGTGTATTCGACTGTTTACATTGTATGTTGAATGTTACAAATTACTAATTATACTTTCATGTGTTTATTATTCAAGTTTTTATAACATAATCATCAATTGAGCTAATTATTGGATGATATTTACATATATAAGCACGTTTGTGCATAATGTTACCATTAATAGTGCATAATATTGGTATTATGATTAAAATACTAAGTATATCGCAATCGATTATAATAATATTTTTTTGAAATTACAGCTAACTTTATTAATGAGAGGAAAAACACCATCTAAAAATGATATTTTACGAACAATACTAGGAATTTTACAATCAACAGCTTTCTTATCATGGAGTGCGCTTACATATCCTGCATTTATTTGTCTATTGAGGTAAAAATTAATATTTGTTTAAATTTCAAAAAATTGTTAATTATTTTAATAATATTCTTTGTTATAGGAGAATCTTAGGACATTTCAATATTTTAACAGTATCATTTTTACCAGCTTTTTTGTCCAGTTTATCAGCTATTTTAATTGAAAGACCTTCTAGGAGACCATTGTTATGTCTATATGTTGCTAATATTGTGAGTATTCAGAACAGTACGCATTGTTTTTAAAATGATTATCAGTGATATGCGAAAACATACTTTTCAAACACATTATAATTAACAATAACGTTAAAAAATTATTGAGTACTTATTGTTGTATGTTATGAAGTACTTATTTTCATAAAAAAAAAAATTTATAAAGACAATATTTCTAAGAATTTATTAATATTTAATTATCTTTTTCCGATCCACTAATATGTTTTTTTGTAATAATCTGTATTGATCAAAAAGCTTTTAATTGATACAATTATCTGTATAAGTAAAAAATTTTCAGGCGACAGAAACGTTGTTTAGAATGGGGGTGTGGCGCGGCTACTTCAAAGAAATTCCTTATGCTAATGTTGGAATATTTGCTGCAAGCATGGCCACGTTACTTTATTTTTTTCGTAGTAAATCTTCCAAACAAGACTCCATATTTAAGATTATAAAACTCATGGTGGGTCCATATGAAAATCCTGATTATGTTGAAACGCGACGTCTATCTCCTGAACCTTCCACGAGTAAACATGAAGACAATCCATTTAGTGATAAAATTTCATCGCGTATTAAATTGAACACATCATTAAATCTTTTGCAAAAATCTTTAAAAACATATAGAAATCTTATCAATTGGATTAAATGTTCAGGAAAACATCGTACGTGTCCTCATCCATACAGTTGTTCATCTTTTATCTTAGGAGTAAGTATAAAACATTTCATCATGATATATCATTAATAATTTAAATTGTTGATCGTTTAAATGCAATTTTATTTGAACGATTCAATAGCTGTATATAAATAAATATGATAAACATATATAATTAATTCGTTATTTCTGTTTTTTTAGGGTAGTATAAAATTATTTAGTATTGGATTATGCATACAATTAGGACTCAAATTAGCATTTCAAGTAAAACAATTACTATCTAAACCGGGAGTCTTAAAGGCTGAACTATGTAAAAAAGATAATTTCAATTTAGCTCTCTTCCTTGGTGGATTTAGCGGGATATATCGGGTAAAATAGATCGTAAATACATAATTGAATATATTTGAAATTACTCAATATTGATACTGATCAAAGCATTTTACTATCATTGCAGTTACTTTCGTGTTTATTAAGGAGAACATTTAATAAAAATTCAAAAATGCATGCTATTCCAGCTGGTTTATTAGCGAGCGTTGCATTTTTAATGTTTCCTAATAATACTATTGCTTTGTATGTCATGTGGAAGGCATTGCAGGTAATTAAAATCAATTTGAATAATTTATATCAAAATAAATATTCATAATCCACTAATTTTTTTTAGTTGTCGTGGAATAAAGGAGTTGAGAATAGAATAGTACCAGAAGTTAAATGGTTCGTTATATTTTTGTATTGTTTTTCTACAGCTGTACTTTTTCATGCAGCTATTATTGAACCACAAAATTTACGAGCATCATATTGGAAGTTTCTATTGTCATTATCAGGCGGAAGGTTTGTTAATTCAAAATTTTATGCATATAAATAATAATAATATAATCATTTAAACAAATTATAAAATGAATAATGATTATTATTTTATTTAGAGTGGCTGCAATGGCGCGTGTTCCACTGGACCCATTTGGTCTAGAATCATCAAAATACGTAGAAGAAGTTATGACGAAAACGAAAACCCCAAGAAACTTCAATTTTTCATTTTAAGTATTTTTAAGTAAGTTACCAATCGTTTAATGAATTAAAAGTCTCTCAGGTTGATGGGACATGAAAATATTATAATCATTATGAGAGAAAAAAAGTCTAATTATTTATTTACTATAATATAAAATTAGAGCTATTAAAAATTCAACACAATAGACATAAGACATTATTAATTGAACAAAATTAAATACTAATTATTGCAGAATTATTGAGTTATTCGCGATATTTTATTTTTGAAGTGAAAAGTATTCCAAAATATGGCAATAATTCTGAAAACTTTAAAGGGTCCAATAAAAACATTTCAAAATATTGAAACCAAAGAAATGAGAGTATAAAATTAGCAAAAAATGTCAACCATTAAAAAGTAGTTTCAACAACGAACTAGTTAAGATTTACCTGATGAGTTATTACTCAAGTTCTGGTTTATAAAACGTTTATGAATGCGAATTATATACATATATATATTAGTTAGATTATGCTAAAATTTTGTTATTACTATTCGTATATTCCTAAAAAAAAGATAATTATTAATAAAACAGCCGTCCACTTTTCATAATGAAAAGTTTGTTTAGCTGTAGGAAAAAACCGGCTTTGAGAAGTGTACAAAAACATAAAATTCATTAAAGTAGTTTATAAAAACATGATTATACAAATGGTGCCTAGATGTTGTGATTATATTGAAAGTTTTTATACTTTTCGTTATGCTTTAATTTTATTCATTATTCAACGTAACAATTAGATGCAATGGTAATAAAAAATGTATCGTAATTTTAATAAAAAAGTTAATGATATATTTTCTTAATCTTCGTGTCATAATCATATCTAATAAGTAAAAATAATACATTCAATATTTTTTGTCGATTTATATAAAATTTCTTTTTGCTTGATCTTTATGTAACAAAGTAGCTGTAATGAGATTATCATTTTAATTAATTTTATTTTTTTTAACTACCTCTATAGCTTTAGTAATTGTAACACCCGCATTAATATCTATTTTTTTTCTCTTTCGTCTCTGTTTCTTTCTCAATACTTCTTCCCATTTCACTTGACTATCAGAAATTAAATTCTCTAAATCTACAAATCCTGCAGTAGTATTCATTGACTTACGTGTAATTGGATAAAGAACCTTTGATTGGTCATCATTTAATTCCAACATATCTAATTTACCTATTTGCCAAGGTAGAATTCCAATATCACTAGTTGCCCAATTAATATTTTCTGATTCTTCTGATAATTTCCAACTACTGTTTCTCTTTTCGTTGTCAGCCAAATCAAATTCTTTAACTATTTCTTCTTCATTCATTGGTTCATTCTCATCACTAAGATCCAAATACTTACGTCCAGTTATTTCGATTAAGTCTTCACGAGTATATACCTTATCTTTCTTATCACATGAAATATTAAAAAAAGACTTCTTTCCAAGGTAAATTCCGATTAAATCTAACATCTTGTTTCTTACTTCAGTTTCTATGCTGGGCACTACTAAATCTAGAAGTGGTTCTACATATTCCAAAGTAAATTCATTTGGATTAATTATTACTTTTTTAACAAAATTTATATCACTAAATATTGTTGGAATGTCAGATTTAATGTCTAACCACAATCCATATTGTAATTGTGGATATAAAGATTTCATTTTTTCTTTTATTTTTGACTCTAGTATTTTTGGAGTTAACTTTTTCTTGCTGTTATTATATGATTGTTCTAACACTTGCATTTCTTTTTGACAAAATTTTAATTTAATTAATCCCTGTGCAATAGATTTTATCCACAATGCTGCAATTAATTTTTTTTGTTTCGTTCCATTGCTTACACTATCCGAATTAATGAATTCAATTAATTTAAATACCAGAGAATCTAACATATTTCTCTCATGTAACATAGCAATAAAAGGTTGCCAAAATTTAATAATTGCTTTAGGTAAATGAGTCTTTTCCCAGTTATTTTTTAGATTGGATTTAGTCAAGAACAATTGAAGAAATTCTCCAGTAGGTAAAAATAATTCACTGTTCATAATAACATTCAATGTTGTTGTCGTTGAATCAAATGATAGTTTCTTTTTGTTCAAAATGGAGTAAATTTCTGTTAATAAATAAAACTTGGCTGTTGCTAAACGATAACCACTGTCATTATTTTCATTTATATTTGCATTTAGATAACGTTTCGATTTTTTAGAAGATATTCGTAACTCATTAAGTGTTTCTTGAAGCTGTTCATCCGGTAGACTAGATACAGAGGGGTATTCTGCAGTGTTATAGAGGCCTACGGCTATCCATAATTCAATCAGGTTAATAAGAGTATTTGGAGATTCATTCTCGGCATCTACAGGTTGTGAATCATTAATGAATTCTTTTTGAAGAGCACGAGCTTCTGCAACCCAATACTCATTGTGTAGCCAAGTAAGTAAGAAATTTGCTGCAATTCTAAATAAATCAATAGAAGGTAATTGATGACCATGAGCAGCATCGTGTCTTAAGTTGACAATCCATTCAGGAATATTTAATTGCTTGGCAATTTGGAACAGCGATGTTTGTTTTGTATGACCAATATTGGAGATATGATTTAGAAATCTCATGATTGTTGTTGAGTATAGTAAACACAAATCATTTTCATATGATAATGGCAATTTTCCAACGTTGATTTTTGGAGTCCACTCTCGGTCTCGAAGACAAACGTGAATTAAAGAAAAAGTACAATCTACCCCCACTGGTAGTTTTGGCATTCTAAAGTATATTAATAAAATAAGTACAAACGTTAATATATAAATTTCAAATACATATTTACCGAGCCTTCCATACGAGTAAAGTGTCGTAAGCTTTCAACTGTTTGGAGTTATCATTAGAATAAATTTGTTTATAAACTTGATACCACTCTGGGCTGAAAAAATATTAATAATTTAAATCAATTATAATTAATAGTTTTATTTGTAAAAAAACATAAATAAATTTCATAACATACAATGATAACCATGGTACACGTTTAAAGCCTTCATTTCTTGAGAAAAATGCCATTTTGATTTATTTATATAATTGTCATGGAAAATTAGCTAATTATATATTTATCGAAGAATATAACTTTGATGATTTTTATTTAATTACAAGACAATTAATTCAAATTATAAAACATGTGATATAACCTATTAAATGTGTTTTGATAATTCTAACATGTGACATGCAGCTCTGTCGATAAAGAAGTTTCATCGTAAACTTGCGTTCAACTTCCCTCTCTCACTTCCGGTTGCAAATTTTTTCGGTTTTACAAATCTAACCGACACTATTTACGCAGTAGAAAAATCCCATTAGAAATGAGATTTTAACATTAGTACATAAATATTAGTACAGGAAACGAATTCAATGTGGTGTGTCAAATTTTTGATGAAATATTTCCTGTAGTGTATATAAATTATTAGTGTATTTTGATGCACAATAAATGAATAAAATATTTAGTTGCCGAAACAATACGTTTTTTCACTATTTTGATTTTTTTTCTTTCGGTTCATAGTGAAATTAATGACAAAAATAGCAACCCAACTAAAACAATTGAACCATACAGTAGTAATCGCACATTGCAATGCTAAACCTGTATTAATTTCATCACCACGCCTCCAATTATTAGCATCAGGCTCAATGTAATCCATGTAATCAAAAATAGCACCACAGTTTAAACGATTATAAATTGCCTGTAAAATAAAATTATTATTAGATAGGTTTACGTTGACTAACTAGAATTCATAGAATACACTTGTTAGAGATACACGTTTTTGCATTAACATTTTATGTATCATACCTCAGCTTCACGACCTGATGATCCTAATAAATGGATCAGATTTTTTTTGTATTGCTCACAAGTCTTGTAATATCCATCAGTTATGACAACTGTATGAGCTAGTGATAAGCAAGTAATTAACGCAGCTAGGAAAGTGGTTGGCATCCAGCTTTTACAAGAAGTACGTCTCTTGGGAGTTATCACTACAACATGTTCACTATTATTTTCCCTGTAAGTATTATTAATATTAGTTTAATTAAACTGATAAACTCAAATCAATTTTATTTAGATTATTTATCAATTGATAGAAATTATCATACCTGTTATAGCATACTGGTTGACAAGCAACAATTCTAGGGTCACTTAATTTTTTATTAATTAATGATCTGTAGCCATGGTAGAGACCGAACATCAATCCAAACACTATAGCTGGAATAGCAGCTAATGAAACGAAATGGCAGATTTTCACATCACCGCCCATAAATTTACTAAAAGTATTAACACTGTATAAAATACACCCACAGTCAACATCAATACAGAGATTCAAGGTCCGAGTCCAATATTGCCAAACAGTCACAATACATATTACTGATATGACAGACAATAGTGCAGATACTAAGTATAAAACTGCCAAAAATTTTTCTGCTTGTGCAAAGTTCATTTTTGATTACTTTTATGATAGATCACAATGTAGTTTTCAGATCGTGGTCATCACTTTTTGATTTTTTTCAAGTTTTCAACATGGTCACTTTAAAATACACTGAAACATGAGTTTGAAAAAATACATTTCAATTATTTACACAAGAAAACATTCCGGATTTCAAAAGTGTGAAGAAACTCTAAAATTAGTTATGACAATAATCAACATAGTTTTTATTTGGTACAATTTGTATTTTATTAATATTATTTTTATTTCATATAACATTTAAGATAATGATATTTTTTTAATTATCAAGTGTTTGATAAAATTTAAACGTTGTAAGTTTATTTGAAATATCTGGTACGATTATAAATAGTTTGTTTAGATTAATGAAATTAGAACGAATCCATAGTTAAAATTTATAATCAACAAAAATTAAAAAACAAACCCCGCCCTTTGTTATATTAACTTTACAATTTTCAATGTATTCCTATCAACAAATTAATATCTCACCATTAAATAAAGATCTTCACTCGTTATCGTCATCAGGCGTAAATAGACATACTGTTCCACACCAAATGTGACATCTAATATCGAAGTTCAAATATTTAATCAGTATTTGTAGAACTTTTATAGATGAAATCAATTAATTATTGATAAAATTTATTATTCAGAATATTGAGTTGATTAACTTGAATCTATCATCTATGATATTCAGATTAAAAGTAAGCTATCAAGAAAACTTTTAGAAAAGAAATTTTACTCTTCGTAGTACTCTGAATTGATATGCTTATCATCACAACACTCAACCTTTGTTATCATTGATGAAAATAGTCATTCAATACGAGACACTTGTGTATTTTAACCATTTTTCTCAATTAGGATTAACACATTTAAACTTTGCACTCACTAGTTCATCTATGGATACAAAGTGAGTATTTTCACTTTAGCAAGGTGCGTCTGATTCATATTCTGATGCATGTGTAGACATAGTTGGTACCATGCCCCTTTTGTAATGTCAAGTTATCATAGATATGATGAGATAAGATTGTGACATGTTGAACAATATTGTGTAGAATAGTGTCAATAATTATCGTCAATAAAATATTTAATTAATACACCTGCCTAATTAGTTATAAAATAATATACGCAGTAAATTATAATAAGTAAAAATTGTTCTAAATTAAGTATAATTTATATTAACGGTAATAGTAAAATACATTATTACTATTATTTTGTTGTGACAGCATATACTATATTTATTAACATAATATTCGTTTATGAAATTCACTATTTACATGATGTTGGAGATTTCGTTGCCAACGCAATATTCATCGGAGAACGATACTCATTTAGATCTACAAAAAAAAAAATTATCTAATTAAAATAAATTTAATATGTTATCTTGAGGAGCTAATAGAAATGTTTGGTGTCAATAGATAAACACTGAGACGGGACACACTTTATCTATTTAGAGGAAATTCAACCCAAAAAGCATATCATATACTAATAAATGCATTTCTCAAACAGTATACTTATTTTAATTAAAGTTAATAAATGATTCATTTTCCTGTTCATAGTTGTTCATCTATTGACTGGAAAATTCAGTATTTTCATTTGATAATATTAGTAAAATAAAAACTGTAAATAATGATTTTTTATCAAGTTGCAGTAGTATTTCTCAATATTAAAGCATGAGTGTTTATTTCTAAATTCTTCAAGAATTGATGATACATGTTTATAATCAAGATATTTCAATAATTAGAATATTTAGATAGCTTGTCATATTAAAAGTTTTTTTTTAAAAACATTTATGAGAGCCATTTTGAAAATTGAAAACTTGTATAAAATTAACTTGGGAGTCATTTATTCGTACTATATACATAATTAATAACGATCAAATTTAGAAATAATCTTAAAATCTACAGATTATTATATTCTACTCCTGACGTTACGAATCAATTTTTTAGGATAATTATTGTGATAATGTGGAATATTTTGTTGTGGGAAAAATATTTACGAAATGATTAAGTTTCATATAAATAATGAAGCTTCAGCTTTCGAAACAAATACGAAAATTTAGATGCAATTGCTGACTAATGGTACTTCTGGTACACACGTGGTCTTACGCTGGATTAATGTTGTGATGCCTGAACTCAGCAAGAACCTCTCGACTGTTCCATAAACAATACATAGATGCTATGGCAAGACCAACTCCACCACCCATCATACATTTTGGTAGTCCAGCTGTAAATATAAATCAATTGATTAAATCCATTCTCAGTAATTTAAGTCTTTAAATATAAATTTATTAAAAATTAGACTAACCTGTCGATTTAAAGAGCATCCCAGTAGCCGTTGCGGCTGCGAGTGTATTTAGTGAATCATCAGTACCTCTTATCCATGAAAGAAATACTCCAAAACTACTATACATCACTGAGACAATTCCTAATGTGTTTGCAACAGAAGCACCATTTTTCATAACATGATTGATTAATCTGAAAATAATATATATGTAAAATCATGATTGATAATTGTTAATATTTAAAATAAAATATCATACTGTGTTCTCCTAAGTGCTCCAGTTTGACCTGCCAATGTTGTTGCTTTAAGTCCTTTATAGAAACCGGCTGATCCACCGATTCCTGCACCCAATATACATGCAGCCCCAATTTGACTAAATGCTAACTCAAATCGTCCTCTTTGTTTTGCAGCTCCTTCAGGAAATATAAATTCTGGTTGGCTAGTTGGTATATATGCTGGATCAAAGTTTAAATATGGACTAAATGGAACCAATTTTTGTTGCGAAGATCCTGAAAATGAACAAAAAAATTATTTATTCTTAGAATAAAAATATAACATCAACTAAATTTGGTGGTTTTATTATAAAAGTGTTTAATTATTATTTATTTTGGAAACCAAAGTAAATTCTAAAATCAAATAGTGTATCAAAAATAGTAATTCTTTATGTAGCATGCTTTGAATCATATAGATATAGGTTAAAATTACGAAATTTTGAGAAAGACTACATTTTTTATAAATAAAAATATACCATACCAGGAATATTAAGATTATCCTTGTCCAACGGCGATCCTGGATAAGTACTATCTGGTATTTGATTATTTATTTCTATCATTTTTCTGAATTTATGAAACTAATGGAGTTAAATAAGCAGTCCGCAAATGTTAAAACATACGAATGAGCATGTAATATAGTTTAACACATATAGTTCAACGCAACACAAAATTTAAGGAGAGGGGTGATTATCGTGTGAGGTTTTTTACTCAATACGAGTAACTAATAAAAATGAGTCCGTTTGAATCTTTGTTTTCATATTATTTTGATAATTTTAAACTTTCATAAATTTTATTACATTTGAGCTGAGTACATAAATCAGTCATAAAAGTAACAATATGGGAATCTTTATCTTTCTGTTTTCCACTTTCATAAGCAATCACTAATGTCATTTTTGCATCTATATTTGTTAATACATATGTTAATAAAGTAGATTGTGCATCTTTTATATTTTTAATATAGGAAATTTTATCCATTTGCATTAGTTCTGCTTGACGTTCTTTTATTTCTTGTCTAATGTTATCCCAATAGATCGTTGGTTTTTGAGCTAATGCCTGAAAATTTTAATTAATAATCAATTTTTAAACAGTTAAAGAAAACAAATTTTCTAAACTTACATTTGGACAACTTATAACTATTGGGAAGTCCTCAGTATGATTGGATTCTCGATCAGGATGTCGATATCCAGGACCTGAATTTTCAGTACCTCTTGCATCAAAAATAATCAGTACAGCAGATAAATCCCACTTTCGTTGAAAGCTCTGTATCCTGAAATTAAAAAAAAATCGAAAGAATGAAATAACTAGATAGAAAATGGTATCAAAAAAAAATTGATGATTTACTTGTGATAATAATCAAGATTTTGTTTGCTCATGATATTTCTCATTTCTCCAGGACTTGTTTGTTGACTCAATGTCGTATGAAAATATAAAGAACATTTTGCTAAAATAGCACTACGTAATTTCACAAGCCACTGGTACAGTGCTGGTTGCTGATTCGCTTTCCGAAATGGAGCTCCAAAACCTAATTTCCATGACTGTTAATAATTCAGAACATTTTAAGTAGTATTATTCATAAATTTAATGAATGTTATTGAATAATATTATAAATTTACCTCTTTACTTTGTAAAGTCCTCTCCCAGGCAGACATTCGAGTTTGAGCACCATAAAGTGCCATTAATGTAGGTAAAAATCGCCAGTTTTGTACTTCTACTTGAGCTTTTGTTAATTGATATAATATTTCACATTCTAATCTGAAACAAATTTCTGTATTTGCATATATGAATGAAAAGAAAAACTAATCAAAGGCAAAACTTACGTAAGAGTAGTTTTTATAGCAGTTAACGCTAAATGAGAGCATGATAGCAAATGCATTTCAATAATTCCTTCAATGATTTTCAAAATTTCTTGATGTTTCATTGCCTTATTTCCAATACTCATGTTATACATTTTCTCATAGCTTGAGTAGAAAAAAAAAAATATTTTATTCTGATAATAACCAATAAATAAAAGTTCAGTACTAACAAATCAATAAGCTGAATGCGAGCAGTGATAAATTGGCAAAGTTGACTAGAAGCTTCAGCTACTGATGCACCACTAGAATTTGTTCCTCTTGTCATATCTTCAACTCTCTTAAGATCTCCTTTTAAAATTTCATAAATTGTTTTCAATGAATTCTAAAAAGAATAAATATTTGAAAATAAAATATTTTGTACCATTGAAAAAAAGGAATCATACATCTTTTCGTAGGAAGCCTTTGTTTTTTGTATGTAAAAATCCTAGATCAACATATGATCTTTCTGCTAAAACAATTTGAGGCAGGTGCATTAACAACATTCCCCATGGTCCCATTTGAGTTGATTTACATGATTCTCGCTCTTTTTCCTAATTATTTGTACAATTTTAAAAAACTTTACATCATGTCTAAATTAATCATTATAAATTGCATAATTACCACTGATTCTTTGGCTTTTTCGAAGCACAATTGAGTTACGTGTGTAAAAAAATTATTTAAAAATTCTTCTTCATGGTCCATTTTCAGTTATTAATTTTTTAAAACTAATTAAAATTTAAACTATCTTATTTTTATTATTATTGTCTTGTTTTTTATTACAATATTACTTAGTAAATATTTCATCTTATACATATCTCTATAATATAGTTTGACTGATGAAAGAAGTGGCTTCGGACTTTGAGCTTGACTATCCACAAAACATACGCCAGCGCAAGCGCGTAAGGATTTTTATGAAATGATGTTTTGAATGATTTATTTTACAGTACTTAAATTCATTATAACAAAAAAAATTATTTATTAATTTTATCTACAAATAAAAATAAGATAAAAGTTAATTACAATCATTTACAATGCCAATATAGCTCTTTTCAAGGCACGTTCTTTGTTTTTGCGTTTCTTGTTGGTTCTTCTTCTTGATAATGTTGCATTGCGGAATAACTGTACTTCTTCTTTTTCTTCTAATTCATGTTGTATGAATATCATCCCATAAAGATTACGTCCCATAGTATCCTAAAAAATTGAATTTTCAATCATTTTTTTTTGAGAATTTAACGTTGAATAATATGATTACATGAACATGCAAAATCTGAACTTACTCTTAATTCAGTCATTTTTTGTAACGTTAAATCTCTGATTTCTTCTAAAATAGGTATCAATTTAGCGTTGGCTACTATTGGTCCATGATGAGCACTAATTAAATGCAATGAAATTCTGGATAACAACTCTGAATGATAACCAGCACGTAAAAGTTGTGGTAAATAATTTAGGATTTCGCAAGCAGCAGAATACGGTAAAAGTGAAAGAGTTTCTTCCATATCACTGAAAGAAATTACATAATTTGAAAATAATTGTCAAAATTACGTATACTAATAAGATTTTTTCATTTTATAATTTGTTCTATACCTTGCTCGAACTCGTTTGAAAGTTTCCAATAAATAATCTTCCGTCGTTTGAACATTTAAAGCTTGCATTAATAACGGTAATGGTGGAGGAGCATTTGGTGGTTTAATTTCAGCACATTCTTCATTGTAAGTTTTTGTTATTTCCAAACACTCTAAGATCAATTCTGCCTATAAATGAAAAAATTACATAAATGAGGTAATCATGTAAATATTTTTTTTATTTAGAATCATTCTTATTACTTACTGCTTTCTCAGTATTGACTGTTTTTCTGGAAGGAAATAATTGCTGTTTTTGTCCTGAAACCATCGTTGTTTCACCTGAAATCATTTCATTTTCTTCTTTCTCTCGCTCTTCTTCAGCTTCATCTTCTAATACCAATGGCTCTGATGATTTTTCATATAATCTAATTGCTTTATCTGAACCTGAAGATGCAACCCATATACCATTTGGTGATACAGCACAACTCCAAGCTTCTCCAGAATGGCCTCGTAATGTAGTAATCTTCCGAAAATTATCAGCATCCCAATATTTTATTTTCCCATCTTTACCACAAGTAAATAAATAGTGCGTCTTAGGAACAAAACACAAACCCATTACGGAATCTTCATGTGCAAATAGAGATTTATGACAATCTCCAAAGTCCATTCCCCAGATTTTAATATTTCTGTCTGCAGATCCAGTTGCAATTAGCGTACTGTCGCTAGATATATCCATGCATAATACTGGCAATTTATGTCCGTAGAGAGAAACAAAAAACTTGAAAGTATCCATATAAAAAATTTTTACGGTAGAATCAAGAAGCGCTACGGCTATGAATTTATTATTAGGACTTATTCTAATGCACAGTACACCTTCATCTAATGTCAAAGTCTTTAAATGAATCAAGGATAAAACTTTACCCTTCACTTCAGGATCTGTATTATCAATTAATTCAAAATCCCAAACTTTAACAGTTTTATCGCTACTACCGCTAGCAATTCCTTTCATATTTGGAAGTAACACAATGCTCCATAATTCTGCAGTGTGTGCTGCAATTTCTTCCAGAATAATACCAGCGGCAATATCCACAATCAACATTTTACCATCTTTCATGCCAACAATGAGATGTCGATCACCAGGTACAAAAATTAAAGATACTGCATAGCCACATTCTACTGTTCTTAAACAAGCTAATGATGGTCTGTTCCATAATTTAATAGCATCACCACTTGCTGTCGCAAAAGCGAGATTATCTGAGCTAAAACAAATTGCGCGAATATCAGTTCGATGCCCATGAATAGTAAGAGAGCGCAATCGTGAAGCTTCATTTTTCTTGTTGTCTAGTGATAACGAATATAATTCTACACTGTTATTGTTTAATCCAGTACACACTCGGATTTCACCTCCTTTACCCATCACTAAATCTATTGACTTTGCAGCACTTGAAATTTGAATTGGTTGAAGACGTTGAACTTCATCTTTTAACGTAGCGGCAGCATTTGAACTAATTAATTCTCTACCTTCTTTCTCGGCTTCTTTTTTTTCTTTATTGAGGCGTTTGGTTAATTTTTTTTTCACTTCATCTTCCGCAGTGATAGAAAATAGCTCCACACTTTTATCAGACCCATGACAGGCAAAGACTTTTTTTAATGGATCAGCACGTAAAGATACAACTCGACCGCGACCAGCGCGGAGAATACTACCAACTTTCTCAAATTTCAAAGGTCCCTTTTCTTTGTCAGTATTTTCATCATTTATATTCAAGTTATCTAAATCAATATATGTAGAAGTTTCGGCATTATTAGGAGATATTTTCCAAACTTGTAATTCATTATTATTACATCCTGTAACAAGATACTCATCATTTTTTATGAGAGTAAATGCCCATACTTCTGAACGATGGCCAACAATTGTTTTGAAATTATATTCTGTATCAAGATCCCAGCATTTAACAAAAGTATCTTTCGAAGAGCTGATTAAAATATTATATTCTTCCATGAACATTACTTGAGTTATTATTCCTTTGTGGCCTGTTAAACGACAAATGCCTGTTTCTGCAATGACATCCCAAACGACAATATCACAATCCTATAAATATTATAACATAAAATTAATATTGGAATTCATTCGATTCTTAAATAACAATAAAAATTGTACAACCTTTGAGCCAGAAGCCAAACGATGACCCAATGAATCATATGCTAGAGTTGTAATATCACTTTTATGACCAACGAAAATACTTTTGTTCTCTGCCGATCGAAGATGAAAGGTCTTAATTATACCATCGGCATAGCCAACGGCTATATGTCGTTTGTCTGGTGATGCTGATAAGTATGAAACATCAGATTTTTCACCACTCAGTACTTGTGCCTAAATTGAAAATGAAATTAATAATCTAAGTTAATTAGAAATAGTATATTATAAATACCTTTTCTCCAAGTTTGAGATCCCAGATATAAATATGTTCACATCCTCCAACAGCAACAAATCTACCTTCTTGATCTTCCAAAGCAACAAAAACAACATTGCATTTTGCACTAGCAATAATATTTAAACTACCGGCTGGAATATAACGCAAATATTGCTTCGTTAGTCCCATGGTGAATTTTTATAAGAACTTTCAATAAATTATGGAATTTTTTCTTTAAAAATATTTTTTACACAGATGATTGTAAAAACGTGTTTACATGACGCTACTCCAAATTGGAGGTTATAAATACAAACTCACGTGTTGCTAATTTGGTATAGTCAAGTCTCTCAAAAAATCATCTTCGGCTGAAATCGGAAGACGAAAGGAGTCGCTACTAGACACTTCTCGTGTTTGCACCGGATTAAAGTGCTCAAAAAAATTGTTAACCTAATGCGAAATAATTTTTATAACTCATCACAAGTTGTAATAAATAAATTAATTAGTTCATTTGATTAAATTTTCAAAATGTTAATGATTCCATTACTAGAAAAAAATCCAAAGTCTTTTAAAGATTGATATGAGGTTACTCATGTTCCATTTACAGCAGGTATTTTAAAAAACTTGTAATATAAATCTTTTCTTCTATTCATTTAATTTACATTAAATTACAGTAATTACAAAAAGAGAGTTAAAAAAATATTATATTTTCAATATATAACGTATTATCATGTGATAACATGAGCGTATTTTTTTACAATTTCTCTGTAAAAGTCAAATACACATTGACTTGCATCACGACATTTTTTTAAAGATTCGATTAATTCTTCATCATTGAACCTTCCTGTTGTATAACAACTAATACAATTCTTTTTTATGTTGTCAAAAGCAAAGGTGAATGTTGCTCTAGCATTCTGGAATACATAAAGAAATTGAACCACGATTAAATATAAGATAATTTTATTTTTGAAAAAAAGGTAGAAGTATACCTGAAGTTGTACTTCACTAGGATCAATAATAATATTCCTGGAATCTTTATCTATCATACAATGTACAGCAGCTACAGTGAATTTCATAGGTAGATTAGAATTAATTAAAGCCACACAGGATGAATTGATAGAACAAGCAAGTAACTGTAAATTATAAAAAATTACAAACGTTTAGAATTTATTCTGATATAATAAGATAAGAATGTTAAATGGACTTACACCACCAGAATCTTCCATTTCTTGAACATTAATTGAAATGGATGTACTAGGATGAAGAGATACCATAAGAGTAGATTCAAATGTTTCTTTAATATATAGCTCTTTCACTCTATTGTCAATACCTTAAATAATAGATTTGATAATAATTGATCTGAGTAGTTTGATTAGTTTAATTCAATAATCGATAAAGTATTTACTTGGAGGTCCTTTAACCGGAGTAAATATAACCTCTACACTTGCTTTATCATGCATTAATTTCTGTAATTTAACTTCGATAGGTCCATAAACTCCTGTGACTGTGCATGTATTATCTGAAAATAAATTCTAAAACTTAACATTCTGTTTCGTTTAATACTTTAGTTAGAAAACAAATAAAAACCTTTTATGAATATTGAAGAACCATCCGGCATAGATAACAGATTTGTTTCACAGTTCATCGGTTGTAAAATATATTCAGAATTTTCCATCTTCAACAATTTATTTATTCGGACATAAAAGTGTATTGAAATGAATTTATTTAAAATTAATTTAAAGTTTAAATATAATAGCTCAATAGGTACATGACATGTGACAAATTCAATGAGTTCTCGCTTTTTACTATAGTCCAAACGCTCATTGATTACGAATAAACACATGTGGTATTGTAAAGCTTCTCTCATTTTGCATAATAAAGATATATCTTTTTTTAACTTTGTTGAAAAATTTAATATTAATATTTTAAAAAAATATGCAATGCATATTACATAAAATCGATTATTTTAATAAGTTTGAATATTTAATAAATTTACATAAATTTTCATTTTTTTTCTTCATTATAAATTTTAACACTTTCACAAAGTTTAAAAATTTTTATGCATAATTTATGGCTAATTAAAACTAAAATCTGAGTTAATCATTAAATAATTATAATTATGAATAATAAGAAACAAACTAAGATTTTCTTAACAATGATTACCTAAATTAATTATCATTATCTACACTTTTTGTAATGGGATCTTGTTGTTCCATTACTTCTGGTCCTATAACATATTGATTTTGGATAGGAAATTTCAATGGAGGATGATAATTATTCATATCATATTTCTGTCCAGTACCAATATATATATTTCCAATTTCTCTAAAAAAAAAACAAATATATAAAGTTAAAGAATACTTAATATTGAAATAATAATGAAATACGCTACTTATTCGTGGTAAAAGCATAAGCTCCTGGCCAGACATGGGATCTAACAATAGCAACGCCTGTATTTGATTGCATTGAAGTAGATAGTCTTGTGCTCCAGACTGGTATATTATCTGGAGTGCTATCATTTGATAATGGCGTTAGTAGTGGTGGTCCAACTTCCTCATGATGATCCACATGCTTTTCAGATTCTTCGTCATTTTCACTTTCTTCATCCTCAGTTTCTTCGTCTTCACTCCTTTCAGTCTATGCTGAAAATGAGTATTTTAAACAACTGATATTTATTAAAGTGATGTTAATTTTAAAATAATATTACATTTGTTCTTCTTTCTGATGGATTCCACCAACTTGTTCTGCCTTGTTGAAAAATGTAAGCACTGTGGTGGCACCAATTAGATAATAGTTGATACTTTCTTAGTGGCAGTTGTTTAAAGTCTGGATTTATCTCTATTGTAATTTCTGAAATTTTATGTGATAAATTAATTTATATAATAAAAGCTTCTATTAATCTGGTTGCTTTCAATCATTCAGTATATATTATTGCTATAATTTTTGTTTATGATCCAGGAATCAATGATAACTGTTCAGAGTCATCTGGTTATTGTCACTATTCGTTTATAAAATAAGAAGTACTCTCTAAAAATATAACCTTCTGCATTGTCTTCTGTTTCCTCAATACTATCGGTTGAATCTTGGTTTAAGGTAAAGTAATCTTTAGGTGACACAAGTGTTGCTGCACTAATTCTTGCAATTTGAGCTCGAAGGTAGTTACTTTCATTCCCAACAAAAGGTGGAAGCGTGCGCACCTAAAATAATTATCTCATATATATTTATAAGCATACTTGTTAGATTGACACACGTTGTAATTAGGAAATTGCATTATTACCGGAGCTGTTAGATATCCTGTAAAATTCCAAGTAATCTGTTTTGCTAATACAATCTGTTGTGGCGCCACCAGAGGTAATTCAATCCAATCATCTATGCCAGGAGAGTTGCAAACAAAATAAATCTATCCACAGAATGTTATTTAATAACCAAATGTTTTACTAATCATAAAAGAATGACGAAATAAAATATAAACATTTACAGTTTTATTCAAACCCGTTCCTATGACTTCATGAGGAATCGGCATTGAGGATATTAAATCATATTGGTATGGCTGAAGAAATGTTGAATCAACAATTTCTTTTTCATCATGAGTGAGTTCAGTATTTTCTATTGGATCAGTTGCAGAATTAGAATTTTCTTCGCTAGTTCCATCATCATTTTTCTGTGCTTCTATTCGATGAACAATCTCTTCATCATTTAACTTAGCTTCAATGATATAATAATTCTTGACACTGCCAAGAATTTTACCCCAAAAGCGTACATCTGTGATCGGTTTTTCTTGAATAAGGTTTTGTATGGAAAAATTGAGTAAAATGCATTCTGATCTAGATAAAGCAATATCAAAATGTTCTAAGCAATGGATTATATCTAACAAATTTGGAGTAGATGTCTTTTCAGATTCATTGGAAGGATTGTCATTATCTTCATCATCATTATCATCATCTTCATCAAGCTCTTTTTCATTTTTCACAGATAATACCTTGAAAATAAAATATAAAATTCACTATAAAACCGTTTTCCTCATAGAGGATTCATCAATTTGCATAATTTCACATACCTGAAAAAGTTTTGAAAGTTTTTCAACTTCTCCATGTTCTATCGGTATATCAAAAATTTCTCGATGATTCAATTGATGTCTTAACCTCTCCTGCTTTAGACGATAACTATATATTTCAAAATTGTCCATGACATTTTCAGGACGTTCTGTTAGAATTTTTGCCAAAAGCTCTGATATATGGGTATACCTTATTTATGACAGAAAAATTTTTTATTCACAAATCTTAACATGTCATTTTCAAATAATATTACAAATAAAAATTATCATAAATTACAAATCTTCTCCACAATGAGAGCTTTGTTTGTGAAGAAACATCTTTGCTTCATGAAGTTTAAGTTTGGTGCTAGAAGTTGATTGAGACTCGTTATCATCATCCATGTCATTCGATGATCCTAAATATTGGTGATCCATGTTCATGCAATGTTAGTCTACTAATTTGACTATCGTGAATCATTTGTTTATCTAAACATCAAATCTATTGTGGGTAGCTTTTTGTCACATGATCATTTTATTTCATATGACTATCACATGGAAACCACATACATTTTTATCAAAAATCTGACCCAGTTAAATTAATGAATCGCACTTCCAAAATGGGAGGATTCGCTAATTAAAATTTAGGCATTGAGATAAAATGTGATATTAAGAGAAAAGAATGATAATGAAACAAATCAAAAAACCTCATATAAGATAAATTAACGTAATTTTTTATTGTACTAGTGCAATGCTTCAATGAATGAAGTGCATAATGAATGAAATGAAATGGATGAATTCTATAATGGTATAGATTTTTTCATTTCCTTATTCATTCAAGCATTTTAGTGATAAGATACCATATAAATAGCAAAATTGTGTCATCAACGACGAAAAAAGCTAGAACTTTAAAAATTTTTAAAACAGATTTTTATTATAGAGTGAATCAAATTATAAGTTAATCTTGTAATAATTTATTCGTTGTGGTTTAAAATTTATTTTTGTTATTACAATAATAAATATATTATTGTAGACACGTACGTATGAAAATAAGTGCGTGGACAAATCTATTTATCACTACTCCGCACATCCTGAATAGTCGTCTAATCAGGTTTTCTAAATGAGGGCAGTACCAAGGATGATCGTCATTTCCTCTCCTGTCAGATACCACCTCCGCATAATTGTTCGTAATTATAATACTGTCATTATTAACACTCGTAAAAAAGAATTGATTCAAAAAACCTACTGTTTCTGTTATACATCAGAGGTCTGTTAGGGTATGTTCTAGATGTATCCACAAAACTTGCTTCGCAATTAGTCTAGACAATAGTACATTTTAATTCGTAGATGTTAATTGAATTGATTAAAAAAGGATAATATTTCAATTATCTTAAGAAGCACGAATCAAGTACATAAAACTTTATCGTCTCATTATTGCATCAGATTAGATTGAATCATTGACATGATAAAACGAATCAGGATGTAATTTCACTCGTTCTTTAGACCAGAATCCGTCTCGAGTAAATTGTAATGTAAGAAGCAAGGAAGGAAGGAAGTATGAGTATAGGTTCGTTTTGTGGTCCCTGACCAGTCGGCACAGCTTCTTGGTCTTGGTCTATCCGGCAAGCAGAGGCCGGCGCAGCTGCCCAACGCGGTACATAGAGTTTGCTGGAGTGATTCGTTTTTAGTTGGTGGCCGACTTGCGTATGCGGAGGTGGTGTTTGCGCGCGTATATTATATGATCTACACGTAACATCAGTTTGTGTATTCAAGAGAATTTTAAATAGCAAGAATTTACAGAGATTTCAACATATCTGCAGTGGTTTTGTCTTTGTGTCGGCAATGACCAACGTCCATAGAACGTGGTTAGTTATTTTTATTAAATATTTTTTTTTTTCATCTATTATTGAATGAAAAATTGATTCACTGAATCAAACGTGTTTGACCAACATCGAATACATTTTTTAAGTTAAAAGTATATTTGCAAGAATTATTTGATTATTGAAGAATGATTTAGCTTTCTTGATGATGTTCTGATGTTGTTTGATGAATTAAATAATTTCTGAAATTTATTTTCAATTTCTCGTGACTATTATATGGTCATGAACAAATTTAACATTCATCATTTTACAAATAATCAAAATTTATCGTATCACTAGACTCTTCAGTGAAAACTAAACTGCCTTCTCGTGACTCACGAGGTCTTCTCAATTCTTAAGAGTCTAAGCATGCCGTTAATTCGTGCGCTAGGATGTATATGTATATATATATATTCTACGAACTTTCAGAAATTACTATGTAGATACACTTTCAAATACTATTAGGTTTTTATATAATTCTTAACCTTGATTTTTTATTCGCGCACAACTCTTTCAGGAACCTCAACCAACTTACTCTGCATTGATTATTTATTTTTCTATTACATCATATCCATCACCATTCATCAATTTCATTATAAAAATCCCTTAATTGTTTTGATTATCTTCTATCAAAATATTATCGTAGATTCATAAAATATTTTATTTCCTGAATTAAAAAGTTTGGAAATTTTTTCTTCTTTAACTCGACTTTTTATATCTGTGTGAAAAAAAGACATTTAGAGTATTAATAACTAAAGTTTATTGGATAGAAGAAGTAATTACAGCTTCATGTTTGAAAGATTGTAAATGAATGTAAAAATTCAAAATACTCAAATGTTTAATTTGTCTATTCATTGAACAGAAGTTAAAGAATTCTGAAAAGAGGCAAAAAGAAAATACAAGAGGGATGTTACATTCAACACGCTAACTCCGTTACATGTTTTTCTCGTGTACCCAAGTAATGGTTTGGATAACACGTGTTTTCCAGTGTCATTCTTCACAGCATTTGTTAGAGAAATTACGTTGGTTGACCTCCCGCATTATCCCTATTTTTTCTATTAACACTTCACAAAAAACGTCGATTTAAATTTTTTCATTCATCTTAGAAATAAAGTCTCGTGATTCTCAGCCCTTTCATATAAAAAGTTAATGCAATAATATGCGTATCAGTATAAATCAATTGGGTAGTATTAATTATGATAATAAACTAAATGATTTTCTAAATCAATAACTGAAGAAGTATGATTGTTTTTTATTCATAAAATAGATCTTATCTCATAAATATTCTCGTAATAATTTCAAAGAAACCTATATATTTTAACAAATGACACATGATTGTACAAAGATCACTTTTATCTGTAACTTAGCCGCCCCTAAAAAAGTTGAGGAAAGACATTCCACACATGTTCATTGATGCAGTGCTTAAGTATTCATGAGAATTGAATGGTAGTGTTTCTTTAAAATGAAAAATATTTATGTCTGACATGATTGAATGAAACTTATGCACATAAATTTTTCATGTATTTATTTAAGATAGTTAAGAGTATAACACATTCATTTCTAGATTTGTTACTACTCAGAATTTCATCATGATGCTCAAAAAAAAATAAATTCTTATTTCTTTCATTAATTATTGTTCATAACGAAATTAAATCCCACAATCCTAGTATTTCAATGATTATTCATTAATTAATTTGGCAATAATTAATATTCAAACTCGTAAAATTGAAAAAATGAGGAAGAGAAATTTGATGTATTCTGTGCTAAAATATTACCACCATAAAAGTCGGGTTGGGAGGAAGTGATGACTTCTAGGTACAGATAAATATTATGGTGTAATATTTATAGAACAATATAACATTGACGTAAGCTACCGTTGAAAATTTTTTTTTCGTTTCACAAATCAATTTTTTATTTTTTTTGGTATGAGTTAAATCATATTGATTTGTAATGTTAACATTTCTATTTTAATATTTGTTTATTTATGTATTTTCGCTAATGCTAAAATGAAATTACATCTGTAATCTTTTTGATATTTATTTGTTTTAATATCAAAGCATGAATTTAAATGACTAAGATTTAAGTTATTTCTTCCACGCGTTATTTTATCTTTTTAACTCTTAATTTCGTACGTTCAGTTTTTTATTTGCTTAATAATATGATAAACATGCAGGGTATTCAAGTTTTATCTATTTACATTTTTTGCTACAATGCTTGTTGCTATCATGTGTAATATATCGTCTCTCATATATTCTTTTACTAATCTCAATCTTTTTACACTATAAAATTTCATGATAGTTTACGTTGTCGTTATGTTTATTGCTAAGCTTCGTCAGCGTATGTTACTCTGATGTTGCAAAGACCTCAAACGCGCTGTGCTTGGTTGCTTTTAAGTTACTTGTATTTCCTCGACGCACCCAATATATATTTCTCACCATAAAATATCTATCTTGCTCCTTTACTTATGTACATACGTTGTTTTCACTTCTTCTTTGTGCCTTCACATGCTTAGCTAGTCAGTTTTTGTTTGCCAAGTACACGCGAAAAAGCCTCCTTTCGTTGTCATATCCTTTTTTTTCTCTTTACATGCGTGTTGTTAAACAAACCCGGTGGTATTCTACTGAATTGCTCATTTATTATCAAATATACTAATAACTTTAATTTTATCATTATTAAAATAAGCATAATAATTTTTTTTTATAAAATGAAATGATTATTTTTAATAATCATTAAATTTTTATGTCTAAAATGAAAAAGAATGTAAACCACCCTTGGGCAGACAGAACAGAGTAATTTTTAATTTTTTTAAATCACTGGAAATCTCGAGAAAATCCAAATGTTTAGTAATAAAACGCTTAAAGTGTTTAATAATAATAAAACACCTGTTTACAATGTTAAACACCATGAACAAGCGTTTAAAATTCATCTACAAAATTACTATAATTTGTTTATGGCATTTAACATTATAAACACTTTGAGTGTTTAGTTTCTAAACACTTGGATTTGTAGTGAGATATACTAAAATAAATTGATAGATGTAGAAACAATATCGGACTCCTTAGATGAACTATTTAGCCTTTAACATCTATAGTATTGCTATCATAGCAATATTTCGCTGGTTCATACGATTAAGATAGTTGTGACAGCTATCTAGATAGTTATAATAGCTATCCAAATAATTAGAGTAGTCATAAGGATTGATGTGATAGCAATCTACTGAAACTATACTTTGGATTGGTCCTACAGCAATATATTATCTCGTGATAGTAAAAGTTATCTTGCAAAATAGTAAAATTGTCTCTTTACTTCTATTCCATAAGTACTCTAGAGTACAGCTGTTCTTCTCTTGCAGAGTAAATTTTATTTTATCTGTGTAAAGTATGATGGTTATCCTAAATGGCAAGGAAATTTTTATTCTATCCTTTTCTCCATGTAGAAATTGAACAAAATTAGGAATATTTTTAAAATTATTTGTTACATTTTCCTTTAGAAATAATACGATTTTCAAGATTATACTTGGATTATTTTTATGACTTTTCCTTTAAAAGAATCATGACGCAAGTGCTGTCTCGCCGTCTTCTCGGTGCAGACAGCCTGGCGTCGATTTGAGATTGACCTTCAGTTACATACATGTGAATATGATAAAATTGTGTTCTTTTACGATATTCCTAATTTTACTTAAAACAAAACGTATGATGTCACTGAGAAACTAAACTTTTTAGATTTTAACATAATTAAGCGTGGCGATAAGTGAAGACTTCTCTATCTCTGATTGAACTCCGATAGAGAAAGTCACGCTTTCGTATCAAATCTCGATTAAACTGTATAAAATTCATAAACTTAGTAAATCAAAAAATAATTTATATCTAAGAATAATGAAAATATTTAAAATTTTCTTGAAATACCTCGAAATGTGCAATTTTATCTCCAAGCTTTCTCCAATAATATCAATAGTTGTAAATAATACATTTTTTCATGATAATTATGATGATTATTTGCAAGTAATTTAGTGATATAGTAAATTTAGAGAAGTAATTTTAATATAAAAGGTGTAGTATAAATATATACATAAATTGAGAGTTAATTTATATTGGAAAGTAATCATGGTTATCTGAATAAATATACTACGAGTCATTGAATACTATAATGCCTTTACATTTACCATGTCCTACGTGATACATATCCTAAGTTAATGGAGTACAGATATTACGATCAGTAATCGAATAGCCATGCATGAATAAAAAAGTTGAAAAAATTGATAAAAACTTAAGTAAGCTAGCAGGGCATGACTTTATCATTAATGCTGTAATATGATTAAAATACTTTTAATCATACAAGCATTCAACTTCTTTTTCACTAATTTTATTGATATTATGCAGAATTTTGAAAAAAAAAACACCTTCGATAGTTACAACTTGAGGAGTAATTAATCAGAAAAAAAAAAATTTTAATATGAATGATAATTTAATAATAATAATGATAGCAATGATGAGGAAACTTAATAAAAATTTAATGACATTAATTACATCAGAGTTAATCAGGCTGCGGCTACAAGAGGTGTTGTGGCTGCAATCTGTGTTAAGTGGGTAATTCCCAAGATCAGCATCCACGAGGAATTTTTCACTTATTAAGAATTTCTTTGATATAATTGCGTAGGCTGAGATACGAAGAGTAATGTCCGTCCGGATAATGTTTGTTTCCCGGATGTAAATATGCTTCTATCTCATCCCCCGCATTTCCTTATATCCTTAAGTGTTTAAATTAAGTTGCGTACTCAGAACATTCTTCCATCTTTAACTGATAAAAAAATTGAAATAAAATAAGAAAATGTTGTTTAAAAATGTTAATATTAAAAAATAATTCAGATGGTTTAAAATCGAGACATTCGAAATGTAAGCAGTCCCAATTAGTCCAGTCAATATAGGAGGCTTGGCTCCATTTGTCTTGAAAATTTTTGTACAAAGGGCAATTTTTAATTTTCTAATGTCAAAATATCCGTAATGACCTGTAGAAAAAATGTGCCCAAAAACGAAAGTGCGCTGATTTTTTTTTATATGATTTTTTCGCATTTTAGTGGTCCCGTGTATCTAAGCGAGACAGCACTATAGGCGGCACCACGTGCTAGAGAAGGACATAACTATCGGAATGAAAAAATCGTATTTTCGATAAAAAAAATGGAGTTTTCTTGTTCAATATTATTTTATTAATTATTTGATATTATTATTAATTTGATATTTTTTTTTATTTTTTGGGTCGAATATTTGCCTAAAATAAGTAAATAAATAATGAATGAATATAATAAATAAATATATTATTTACTATAATGAAGAAATTTTTTATACATAAATAAAAAAACAAATTTTTATAAATAAATGAAAAAATTACCAACTTTAAGAAATTGATGATTTTGTAGGTTTTTTTGTTCATCAAATAATTAATAAAATAATATTGAACAAGAAAACTCCATTTTTTTTATCGAAAATACGATTTTTTCATTCCGATAGTTATGTCCTTCTCTAGCACGTGGTGCCGCCTATAGTGCTGTCTCGCTTAGATACACGGGACCACTAAAATGCGAAAAAATCATATAAAAAAAAATCAGCGCACTTTCGTTTTTGGGCACATTTTTTCTACAGGTCATTACGGATATTTTGACATTAGAAAATTAAAAATTGCCCTTTGTACAAAAATTTTCAAGACAAATGGAGCCAAGCCTCCTATATTGACTGGACTAAATCCCTTGACTGAATAGTGAAGACCCTTTTTTACCTTTGCGTCTCATAAATGTCGAGATGCTGTTTCAATAGCGTGCCTACAACCGATTATTTTCCGCACGGGCCATTTTTTGCTCCTCAATCGTGGCTAGACGGCTTCGCTCATGCCTCTATCTAATTTTGCTTCCTTCTCCTCTTTTTACATTCTCAATCGTTTGATGAAATTTTTTTCTTATTTTCTATCTATTTAACATCGATTAATCATTATACAAAAAATGTAGAAAAAATGTCTTTTCTACATTTATTATTGTTAATATTTCACAAAACTGATAAAATTATCTGATGAAATATTCATGAAGTGTCATGTAATATGACTTTACAAACACTCGTTGAAGATAATTTAATCATGATTTTAGTCTTGTTATTAGCGAGGAATTGAGAAAGTATCAGTGAAAAAACTAATATGCTACTACGTTAAATGAATAGAGATTTAAACATAGTGTCAGCACAGCAGCATATAATAGGGTAAAAGTTTTGTTTGCTCTTCCATGAATATGTAAATTTATCGAAGACACACTAAGAGTTACATAGCTGGTCTGACGGGATACCAGATATCTGTAACTATAGCACTAACGAACAGACCGCCAACATCAGGTGATTCTTCTTTATTCCTCTTTTATAAGTCGTGAAAGTTATATTGAAAAATATGCACTTACCATAGTAGCTGTGCTAAGTTATTTAAATTGTTTTTTTACATTTTTCCCTCTTCAATATTATTCTAAAGATTTTCCCTTCAGCAAACTATTACTTAATAAGATAAATATTGAGAATGGCAGAATTTTTAGAAAAATTTATCATGCATTAATGTTTTTTAAATAATTTTAATTTCAATTGGTTATTAAATATTGTCAGCTAAGGTAAATGGTTTTAAATTTATTTTTCATAACCCTTGAAAAATATATACCATTGAAAATTGAACATTAACATAATAATATCTTTTAATTTTTATCAGAACCGGAAACATCATGAAATAAATGATTTAATTCTGATTCATCTTTACATTGGAAAACACAATCACCATAGATAAAGTTGAATAAGCTATGATTCTTGGTAAATTATCAAATCAAAATACTGCATTTTTAAGTCATCGATTAAATTACGTAATAGTTTATTTTATCTGAATTGTTAGAAATGAAAGAACTAAAGTTTAATTTAAAATAAAAAAAAATTCTATCTATTCTATGTAGCATGTCTGTATTTTTCTTATTTCTTAATATTATCTCATATAAGATATATCTGTAGCTCTTGATGCAAGTAAAAACGAAAGAATTCAAGTACTAAAAAAAATACAGATAACTTACAAGGCTTGGTGGATAGGAATAGAAAAAAGAGCGGAGGAGAATAATGAACAGATGGTCGATGATATAATTATAAGAAATTCTTTCCAATGTTTTATGATCATTTGTTTATTTAATTTTTCATTTTTAAGCTTCATCAAAGTTTTCTAAAACAACTTTCATCGTTAGATGTAAAAAGAGATGAAATAAGTTAAATATTTTTTTTAAAATGAACTTTTTTAATTACAGGTCATTGGTATTATTAGTATCAATAGCAATATGGCAAATCACCGACACTGCAGCCAAATATGTAAGTAATAATAAATTAATAATCAATTAAAATTTTTTATTTTGTTCAATCAAACATAAACATTTTTTGTTACAATCGTGTATTTGCTAATCTTATGTAAAAGGGCTTGAAAGTAGATTTAATCATGACCTTGGAGGAATAAAGTTGCAAGTGTATAGCAGAAAAAGAAGGAAAATAAGATGAAATAGGAGGAAGAATGTCTCGCAGCCTGAACGAGTCCCGCCGGCATTCTTCTAACTTTTATTACCTTCCCACATAAACGCCAATAAGCTGCAGCTTCGAGTTCATTCGATCACTGTTTTCCATTCTTATTTTGTTTTTTTTCATCAACTCTAACTGTTCGAAAAATCATTCATTAATATTTACACTGAATTATAGTTTATATAAAAAAGAAGATATGCTAAATGACAATTTTTTTAATCAAACATAAAAGTTTAATGACTTGCACATAATTGAAATATTAAAAAGCAATTTTGTCGTATTACTAAAAAATGCCATAATAAAAGTAATCAATTCAATATTAAGATGCATCATAAAAGAGGCCGTAAGTAATATAATGATATAAAAATGAGTAAAAAAATTTTTGTACATACACTACGTTTGATATTCACCTCTTCATAGCATTAAATTCAATTTTATACCATGAATAAGAATGTGGCTCCAAAAAAAAAAAAAATTAATTTTATTCTGAATATATTGATGACTAAAATATGTAGTACGTGTTTGTAGTGATTGAATCATCTTCATCTGTTTAATTATTGGTAAACATAACGCAATAGTGTTTGACAAACTGTGACTCAGAGTTAATTTAGTACATCGAAGTCAAGGAAAATAATTATTTCCCCTAAAGGCAACTAATCTCTGATGATAATAAAATCATGACATGTCTACGCTATGTAACTTAATTTTATTTATGACGTGTTTCAGCATCATATTAAATTTCGACATGGTAAACATAGAAGACGACACACGGAAGGATATCTTCCAAGCAGTTTTGTGACAGACAACAATGATCCTGAAGAAGGACTTTGGGGAGCATGGTCAACACCAAGTTCATGCTCTCGATCCTGTGGTGGTGGTATTGCTTATCAGACCAGGCATTGCTTGGATGTTGAGTAAGAATTATAGCCTTGTTATTTTTTATTTATATATTTTTACATTTCCAGCACCATTAATTTCGGATTTCATCACTCCAAAATCAGAGATAACTTATTTTACAATCAGATTTCATTGATTATTTATGATGATGAAAATTTTTAATTAATTTAACACATAGATTGTGATAGTTTGGTGATTGTATGAAGAAGACATGAAATTGAAAAATTTGTGAAACAAAAGATTATGAGAAGAAATTAATCGCCAGCAGTGCATGAAAGAATCACACGAGTGTGGTGGTTTGTTTGAAATATTATTCACTAGAAACCGGTTTTGTCAGTAACCCAAATTTAATAGCGACCTCCTAGCAACTCTCGTGCAAAAGAATTGAATTATTAAGAAGTAAAATAGAATGGAAGATTCAAACAATAATGAAAGAGAGGTGCAGAAAAAGGTCCCACTTTCAAAACATTTTCCATAGGAAATTTATAACTCATTTTCTTTTATTTCTTTCTTTCAAATTTTATTTTTATCCTATGGGATATAAATTATTTCTTCAACTATATTTTGATAATGACTTAGAATAAAATTATGAATGCAACCTGTAAACATTGAATGAATTGCAAAAGTGTATAAACTACAGTTAATTGTCATTTTTAGATCTAAAACCTTTTAACTTTGCTAGAATTGTTTTGAAACTTGATTTTTATTTTTCGTTTACAGTAGCAATGGTTATGACAGGTGTACAGGAGCAAAAAAAAGATTTTTTTCGTGTAATATCCAAGTAAGTGAGCTGAAAAAGAGTTGTAATTCATAAAATAATAATTCTATTCAATAGTCAAAGAGATTTATCGATTGAATGAACTTTTATCATAGCCATGCCCCAATCCAGTGGACTTTCGAGCTGAACAATGTGCTGAGTTCAATTCTAAACCTTTCGAAGGTGTATTTTATGAGTGAGTATTATAAAATAATTTCAAATTTAAAAATATTAAATCAACATTACACATACAAGTACTCTTGAATATCCATATGTTGTTGTTATGGTTTGATCGTGCAAATTTGCAGTTCTTTGATATAAAAACATTGGTGGAAATAAAATGATTTTTTTATTGCAGATGGATCCCCTACACCGGTGCACCTAACAAGTGTGAATTAAACTGTATGCCTCGAGGCGAAAGGTTTTTTTACAGACATAAACGCAGTGTAATCGACGGTACGCCGTGTGATGTCGAAAAAAATGATGTTTGTGTGGAAGGAAAATGCATGGTAGGCATAGCTTAATTTTACTTTTTATGATTACTTTCTCCCCTTCTATCAAAAGAAATTACAATATTTATAAAAGTTCGAGAATGATATTACCCGTTACAATAATTCTAGGGAAAAAATAATCTAATTATAGTGAACCAGGGTGTATTTTATCTTACAAACCTTTCATTAAAATTTTTTATCACCTTGATATTTTGTAAAAACATCACGAAGACGAGTAAATTTGATCGATTTCATGGTACCAAAAAATTGGATTCAGCAGATTGGCGTAATGAATTTTTATATGATTTTTAGACAGTGGGATGCGACATGATGTTAGGCAGCGATGCACGAGAAGATGCTTGTAGAGAATGCGGTGGTGATGGTTCCGATTGCAATACTGTCAACGGCTCCTTCGAGACCAATGACCTTCAAGCCGGTAAGTAAATCTTGAGATTAGTCTTATGACCTTTTCCCACACTTTATAAGCATACATAAGCTTTGTTATTCTAATTTTTATCTTCATATGCTTGGTTCATTTCTTCTAGGATATATTGACATACTTCTTATCCCTGAAGGGGCAACAAATATAGTTATTAAAGAAGTCGCACCATCCAATAACTATCTTGGTAAAACTTTTCATTTAATTCACTTGTTTTCTAATACTATATTCATAAATTATCGGTATATCATGTATATTATTGAGATTAATGAGATGATTAAATAGTAATTTTTCTATTTGAATGTAACTAGCAATTCGTAATACAACGGGTCATTATTATCTAAATGGCAACTGGAGAATAGACTTTCCCCGAAGCATAAAATTTGCTAACACGATATTTCATTATTCAAGAGATCCACAAGGTTTCTCCGCACCAGACATGATTACAGCTTTAGGACCAACTAATGAAGCAATTTACGTAGTGGTAAATACGTACAATTATTATATACTTATTTACGAGTCGTGTTGAAGAATATTCATTGTTTTCTTTTACAAAAAAAAGCTCTAAAAAAATTTTCTCCCCATTTAAAGCTACTTTACCAAGATCGAAATGTTGGGGTTCAATATGAATATAGTATTCCTAAAAAATTGGCACCTCAAGCTGATCCAGATAGTTATACTTGGACTGCTGATGAATTTTCTGAATGCAGTGTATCATGTGGTGGAGGTAAAATTTTGTAATTATTTTTTAGAACTGTTATTATTTCCGTTGAAACAAATGTTAAATCGTAAAAAATGAATAAACAGGTTATCAATCTCGACAAGTAATGTGTATCCGACGTCGTGATAATGAACAAGTTGACGACCATCTATGCGATCTACAGTTGGAGCCAGATGATACTCAATCTTGCAATGAAGAAGCGTGTCCACCTCAATGGGTTGAAAGCGAATGGACCCCGTGCAACAAACTTTGTGGTGAGGGCGGTGAACGTACGAGAGAAATCAAGTGTGAACAAATCATCGCTGGTGGTATACCCACCGTTGTCGATGACTCTGTGTGTATCGAGAAAGTCGGTGTTAAAAATGAGACCACCCAGAAATGTAATGAAAATGTTGAATGTCCTATGTGGCATATCGGACCTTGGAAACCAGTAAAATTTATTTTATTTTATTGAATTAAAATCCAGACTTGTAAATAACAATCACAATTTTAATTACAATTATTTTATTATGTAGTGTGATCATCTTTGTGGAAAGGGTAAACAAACAAGAAAAATAACATGCTACAGAAAGAATGAATCGGGTAAAATAGAAGTTTTACCCAATTCCTCATGTGAAGGTGAAATGCCAGAAAGTGAAAAGCCCTGTGAGTTGAGGCCATGTGCAGGACTTGATTGGGTCGTATCTGAATGGAGTGGAGTAAGTTCATTTATTTTACATCTCTTGAATAAATCTCAGAAAATGGCTCTTTATGCGGCTTTTCTTCTAGCAATTATTTTTATGGTGTTTTTATTATTGTTATTAGTGTAATGATAAATGTGGACTAGTTCAAGAAACAAGAACAGCTCATTGTACAACTCAGGATGGTACAGTTTATCCAGATGATAAATGTGATCCCGACAAAAAGCCTGAATTAACACGAGAATGTGAAAGTGCTAAGGACTGTGAATACCAATGGTATACGACTCAATGGAGTGAGGTAATTTACAATTTTTTTAAATTATGAAATTACATTGGATGACAATATATAAATAAGAACATATATTACAGTGTTCAGCAAAATGTGGAAAAGGTGTACAAACCCGTATAGTTTTTTGCGCTACCTTCGAAGATGAAACGACTCTGAAAAAAGTGTCAGATGACAATTGCGATGCTGCAAAACGTTACAATGATACAAAAGAATGTACTGCCGACATAGTTGAGTGTAAAGGTGAATGGTTCGCTGGACCGTGGAGCAAGGTTTGTTTTTGCTGATATTGATTGATTTTATCTATTTTATGCATCATACATCATGTGCATTATTACAGTGTTCGAAACCGTGTGGAGGCGGCGATATGACTCGAAAGGTAATATGTATGAAGAACAACATGAGTGTTTCAGTAAGTGAATGCGATGAAGATTCTATCATGTTTTCGACTGAAGAGTGCAATAAACATCCTTGTAGTGAAGGTAGTGAATTGAGAAAGTTTTTTATTTTATTTATTACTCGACTGCCACTCAGATCTCTTTTATATGTTTTTTATTTACAATAGGAATGCCAATTTTTTTATCATTGATTTGAGTTAATAAATTTTTATAGACGAAATTCTACCGGTAGAGCCCATGATGAGTACCATTCCACCTGATGAAGACGATGAGTGTGAAGTATATGAAGATGAAGATTATGTTACAATGACTTCAATATTAACAAGTGATGAAGATGAACAAACTGGCTCAACAGAATCGTCTAGTGATATTAAATCATCTATGGACACCGATTCTACAGTTTCTGATGACATTATGCTGAGTGATTCTCCACGTGGAGATACAGCACCTACAGATATTGGAAGTGGTTATGGAAGTGGAGAAGGTAGCGACGACGATATCCTTAGTACTCTTTTTACTAATATTCCGGTATCAGGCAGTGATTTATCTACCTTCGAAGGCAGTGGAGCATCTGTCGATGATAAGCTTACAACTATAGATATAAGTAGTATTGAAACCGTGAGTGCTTCATCAGAAACTTCTTTAGGTATTACTGATACCACAGAAAAATCGACAACGGTAGAATCATCAAGTTACAGTGGTATTACTGATGTTACATTCGATGAAACTTCTTCTGTCACACAGCAATCATCCTCTGATGAAACATCATCAATATTTTCAACCTTGTTCTCATCATCTACTTTGTCATCATTATTTTCCTCATCATCAGATACGAGTACTGAAATGGAATCATCAGAATCTTCTAGTTCTTCACCTTTATCCACTGATAGTATAATGACTGATAGCTCCACTGTTTCATCTGCATCAGAAATAACTGACGCAACAGAGTCAACATCTGACTCATCTTCAGATGTGACATCAACCGATGAAACTCAATCATCAACTGTGTCATCCTCAGATACAACACTATCAGCATCTCAATCATCTACAGTATCATCTTCTGATGAAACAGAGTCAACGTCTGAATCCTCTACAGTGTCATCCTCTGATGTAACATCAACTGATATGACGGAATCAACAATGTCAACATCTTCTGATGAAACAGAATCAACATCTGAATTTTCAACAATGTCAACATCTTCCGATATAACAGAATCAACACCTGAATCGTCTACAATGCTTTCTTCAACTTCAGATACATCATCAACTGATGCATCACAATCAACATCTGAATCATCTTCAGATGAAACATTAAGTACAGATGCAACAACAGAAACGAGTGATTCTACTACTGATTTTAGTTCTTCTGAAATTTCGACTACATCAGATCGATCAACAGCAGGGACTACTACAAAATTGCCTTTCAGTATTTTACCCATAGATGGAGAAAGTGAAATTGAAAAACCTCATGAAGGAACAACAAAATTGTCAACGAGTGATGTAACTTCTGAGTCGACATCACCGGACATGAGCACTACTGAATCTTCAGGTTCTACCGAGTCATCTATGATGACAACATCATTTGAAGATTCCACAACATCTAGCAGTACCGATACATCTTTAAGTACATCAGAGGAAACAACTTTAACAGGAATTACAGAGTCATCTTCATCCAGTACAATGGAATCTGAAAAAATGACAGAGTCCGGTGAAACGACGGAAACAACAGAATCAATGGAAACATCTACTCCGTTTGGATCTAGTACAATGACAAGTGAATCCGAAAGTTCGTCTGTATCAGAAGAGACAAGTCAATCAAGTGTAAGCACAGAAGTTAGTATGTCTACTGAATCTGTGACAGATGCATCGAGTACTTCTACTGAAACTTCAGTATCTGGCGTTACTGAGATGACTGATGAAGAAGATACAGATTTGACCAGCAAATCAAGTGTATTGGATCTATTTACTACAGCTAATCCTCTCAGCACAGCAATTGCCAAAGAGCATAAGCTTCGAAAATGCAAAATTAAGAGGAAAAAGAAGACTTGTAAAACTTCTAAATTTGGTTGTTGTTACGATGGTGTTAGTGAGGCTCAAGGGCCATTCGGTAAAGGTTGTCCTACACCTGAAACCTGTGCCGAAACTAAATTCGGATGCTGTCCAGATGGTGTTTCTGTTGCAACTGGACCTAATAATGACGATTGTCCATCATCACATTGTAATGAGACTCTTTTCGGTTGTTGTCAAAACGGAATAACTCCTGCTGAAGGCAATGATTTCGAAGGATGCAAAAAACCTTGTAATGAAACTGAATTTGGTTGTTGTCCTGACAAAGAAACACCTGCTAGTGGTAAAAATAATTATGGCTGCTGCAATACTACCAAACATGGTTGTTGTCCAGATGGTATAGAAGCTGCAAGTGGTCCTAACCAAGAAGGCTGTAAAAAGAAATTAGAAGAAGATAATAAGACTGATTGTTCAAACTCTACTTATGGTTGTTGTCCTGACGGTCAAAAACCAGCTACTGGAATCAATTTCGAGGGATGCGGAGTTATTAACACCGATAATTGTTCAGCTTCTTACTTTGGATGTTGTTCTGATAATGTAACAGCAGCATTAGGACCAAATGGAGAAGGTTGCCATGCTCCATGTGAATCATCAGAATTCGGATGTTGCCAAGATCGAGTAACTCCTGCTCATGGTCCTAATGGTGAAGGTTGTTGTTTAACTTCACCATATAAATGTTGCCCTGATAATATTCTTCCCGCACGTGGTCCAGATCTTTACGGTTGTGGCTGTCAATACACTCGTTTCCGGTGTTGCCCAGATAACACCACAGCTGCACGTGGGCCTAATAATGAAGGATGTGGGTGTGAATATACCACACATGGATGCTGTCCAAATAAATTTACCCCCGCAACTGGACCCAATTACGAAGGATGTCCGTGTTATACCTATCAATTTGGTTGTTGTCCAGATGGAATAAGTATTGCTAAAGGGCCTCGTGGTCATGGATGTAATTGTGAAACCACAGAATTTAAATGTTGCTCAGATGGAAGAACACCAGCAAAAGGACCGAACTTTGCCGGATGTGCATGTGATGCTTCTAAATATGGCTGTTGTCCAGATGGTATTGAAGAAGCACAAGGTGACCACTTTGAAGGATGCCGAACTGTGCCAACTCCGCCAGGCAGTGCTTGTTCACTTGCTAAAGATCGTGGATCATGTCGTGACTTTAGTGTTAAATGGTTCTTTGATACTGAGTATGGTGGATGTTCAAGATTTTGGTATGGTGGTTGCGAAGGCAATAACAATCGCTTTAATACTCAAGAAGAGTGTAGACAAGTTTGTGTCGAACCGAAAGGACGAGGTAAATTAATATATAATTTATCTTTAAACGATAAAATTTTTTTCAAGTTAGGAGGTTTATAATAATATTAATTGGATTATAGATGCTTGTTACCTTCCAAAAAGCACTGGCCCATGTGAAGGATATCATCCAATGTGGTATTACGATACTGAAAGAGAGCAATGTGGCCAATTTATTTACGGTGGCTGTCTCGGTAATGATAATAAATTCGAGACCCGAGAAAAATGTGAAGACCTCTGTGTTATTCCTGATGACATTGGTACTATTGAATTTAATTAGCTTTAAAGTAATAAGTAAGATTTTTTAATGTTAAAATTTAAATTTTTATTTTAGATCCTTGTGAGTTAGAGAAAGAAAAAGGTCCATGCAATGGTAATTATACTCGTTGGTACTTCAACAAAGAATCTCAGATATGTGAACAATTCCAATATGGAGGTTGCAAATCCAATACAAATAACTTCCCGACTGAAGCTGCTTGTCATCAACAATGCCTTCAACCGGGCCGCCGACGTGGTAAATCATGTTTATATTTTTTTAAATACAAGTATGAGATGCAATAATAATTACATAGAAGTGAAGAAAAAATAACTCTTGAATTGCGATGAATAATATTATTATTATTATTATTCAAGAAATTCGATTCAATCATTTTTCAGTAATTAACGAAGTTTGTATATTGGAGAAAGATCCCGGACCATGTTCAGGATCTTTGCTGCGTTGGTATTTTGATGAAAAACTTGGAGCTTGTAGGCAATTTGTCTATGGCGGTTGTAAAGGCAACGGCAATAAATTTCGCACACGCGTGGCGTGCGAACGACGTTGTCTGGTTCGAGGTACAAGCAAAAATCAAAGCTTCACACTTGAACTGATAACTAGCCAATTTTCGTAACACGCTGGACACAAAAATTGTAATGCTGTATTTTTCGTTGAACTAATTTTTTCTGTAGAATTTTTTCAAATTTTTTGACACTATCGACATTGAAGGTGGTGGTTTTAGAATTCGTACACGTATTAAATTAATTATTACGTTTCATTCAATTGATAAAATTAATTATACTTTCATCGACCGTTGCCTTTCACGTAATTGTTTTTAATGCCTATATCAGTTCCCTCATAAAATATGAAATTCTAAATACTGATTTTTATTCAATATTATCGTAACAAATAATTTATATTGCACCATTAGCTTTTTATGCATGTTAAAATATTATTTGATAAAATGATACAGATTATTGTTTACTGCCACGAACCGAGGGTAATTGCACAGAAAAATATCCTAAATGGTACTTTGATCCATCGGAAAATCGATGCATGCCATTTTATTACACGGGATGCAATGGAAATAAAAATAATTTTGATACTAGAGAAGCATGTGAACTTGATTGCCCACCCAAGATTGGTAAGCATGAGATGTTTAAACGGCACGAAAGTTACTTTCACTTATCAAATCTCACTATCACTTTGTCCTTTAATTAACAAATCATTTATGCTAATTAATAAATCTACATCTTGAACTAAACTATTAATTTAGTGTATAAGAAGAACGTTGATGCACAAGACTAACTCACTAACTGTCTCTTTGATACGTAGAATATCCATTTTAATCAAAACAGTAATGGAAGAATCTATTCATTAGTATAAATCAATTTTTATATTCGTTTTTTTTTCATCAGCCACTTAAACCTCCACTTGTAAACAAATACTTAATATTGATAAAAAAATTCTCATCACGATTTGTATAAAGTAAATAATTAGCTTTTCAATCATTTAGAGCAAGACATCTGTCTTCTTCCTGCTGTGCTTGGAAAATGTCACAATTACACTCAACGATGGTACTATGATTCCTTCGAAAAACGTTGTCGACAATTTTATTATGGGGGATGTGAAGGAAATGAAAACAATTTTCTCAGCGAACAGGAATGTTCTAACCGCTGTGAAACCTCAGGCACTCCACCGCCAACTCAACCTCAAAGATTTTCGCCAGGTAAATAGAAAAAAAAATATTCTAGAAAATTATTAACAGAGATTATTAATATCTTCATACATTACAGCAATGTGTTTCCTTCCATATGAGCATGGACCATGTACTAATGAGCAAACCAAGTGGTTTTATGACAGCCGAGACGGTACATGTAAGCAATTTAATTATGGAGGTTGTGCAACTAATGGGAATAAATTTGAATCTCTTGAAGAATGTGAATATCGCTGTGGCAATATACAAGGTATGTAATTATAAAGTTTAAAATATATAATAGAAGTTAATTTCTATTGGAAATTATATATTTATTCTTAATAATAGATGTATGCAGTATGCCGAAAGTGATAGGACCTTGCAGCGGATCATTAATGCAGTTTTACTATAATCGTGATACTGACACTTGTGAAGAATTTGAATATAGCGAATGTGGAGGCAATAAAAATCGATTCCAAGACCGTGAAACTTGCGAATCTAGATGTAAACGAAGACCAGCAGTTGTTAGACCTGAACCTCCTACATCAGCACCAACACCATCTTCTGAAATTGTACCTAGTAGTCCTATATGTACAGCTCCAGTTGACGCCGGATCATGTGATCTAGATATTACTGCTTATTATTATGATTCGAGAACTGGTGTTTGCCAAGCTTTCTTATATGGCGGATGTGAAGGAAATGCTAACAGATTCCAAAGTGAAGAACAGTGTGAACGACTTTGTGGTCGCTTCCAAGGTCAAGGTAATAAAATAATCTTTTTATGGCACAATTTTTTATAAAGCCAGCAACACTAATACATTTGTGATTTTAGAAGTGTGCAATCTTCCAATGGATAGTGGGCCATGTAGAGGCTCGTTTGCTAAATATTACTATGATTCAAATGCAAGAATTTGTCGACCATTCTACTATGGTGGATGTGACGGAAATGCTAATAGATTCAGTTCAGTTGCTGAATGTGAATCAGTTTGCTTACATCGTGAAGAACCCACTCCCCTCGGCAACAACACGGGACTTTCTCAACTCGGTAAAATTTAATGTCTAAACTTTTAAAAGTCTGTCATGTTAACTAAAAAACTACAAAATTAACAAATGGTTTGAGAATGCTTACAAATATAATTTTGCCAATAATTTAGCGATTTGTCATGAACCAGTGGATGTTGGGTCTTGTCTAGCTGGTAGTTTTAAAAGATTTTATTTTGATGAAGAACGTCAAACTTGCATGGGTTTTGTATATACTGGTTGTGGTGGGAATCGTAACAGATTTAAGACATTTGAGTCTTGTATGAATACCTGCTTTAGATGTGAGTTCTTTATTTATTTCTTTCTTCCATTTTTCGGACTATTGTTAAATAATAATTCGATTAATCATGAAAATAATAATTATTTGCATGTTTCTTTTTTTCTTTAACATCTATTTTGATTAATCACAACTGTTTAACTAATAAAAATTACATAAAATTAATTCATTTCATTTTTTCTTCATCTAGCCGCTAATAATGAGCTAAGTCCAGATAGAAATGAAACAAAGGATCCATGTAGCGATCAGGAAGACCAATGTAATGTTATTCAATGTCCTTATGGTAAAGAGGCATTTGTGGATGAACAGAACTGCGAGCGTTGTCGATGTGTTAATCCTTGTAGAAGCGTCCAGTGTTCTGAAGGTTCTCAATGTTCAATAACTTTAGTAGCTTCACCTAGTGGAGGAACAGAATACAGAGCAGTATGCCGTACAAGTAAGTATTGACATGATTTTATATTATTTTCAACTGAATACAATATTTTCTATAATATATAACTAATAATTTTCAGCAACAAAACCGGGACAATGTCCTCAGGTATCGAATAGTACTCGATGTGAAAGAGAATGCTCAAGCGATGCAGACTGTCCACAAGATTGGAAATGTTGTGATAATGGTTGTGGTACATCATGCTTAGAGCCAGCACTTGAACAACCACCTCCAGTACCCGTTCACAATATTACTGCACCACCGCATGGTGCTGAACCAGCTGCAATTCAACAACCAGAACAACCTCATGTTAGTGGCGAAGAAGGCGGTTACGTTCAAATGAAATGTATCGCCACTGGTAATCCTAAACCAGTACTAACGTGGAAAAAAGATGCAACAGTAGTAAGTATTTAACTCATACTATCAAGCACATAAATTACTGAAGTCTAGAGAATAAAATAATATTTTTATTAGATTAACGTATCGGAACCGAGAAGAAGAATTTTAAGTGATGGAACGTTAGAAATTATCAATTTATATAGTTACGATAGAGGTATTTACATTTGTATAGCTGATAACGGGCTCGCACCACCAGTTAAAACAGAATATCAATTGGAAGTAACAGGTAAAATTTTTTATAATTTGTGTATTTTTATGGTGTGGGAATTTATTTGTAGTCTTGTATTTAACAAAAACTGTAGTTAATTAATTTTTACATAACATTTATTAATTTACTTGAATGTATACTAATTAAGTTTGTTTGGCATGTGATTGTTTCTCGATACACTAGAACCTCATGATCGTTCAGCTGCTATCGTTGGTGAAACAAATTCATCTATAACAGTAGTCATGAATTCTCCAAGTGTGTTACATTGTTATGCTATGGGTTGGCCGCGACCTTCTGTTACTTGGTGGCATGGTGAACGTTTGCTTCCACTTTCCTCAGAGTCTTATGAACAAGACTCTGAATATACCTTATTAATCCGTTCAGTCACTATAACAAATCTTGGTGTATATACTTGTCAAGCATATAATGGTATTGAACGTCCAGCATCTTGGTCTATAACACTTCAAGCAATTGGTCCAGTTTATAATGTAAAACCTGAATATGCTGAGTATACTAAATATTTAGTTCAACCACCAAAAAGTCCTAACATAGATAGACCGCAATATCCTTATCGGCCTTCAAAACCAAACGAATTAGATACTTATCATCAAACTTATGCTCCAATTTATTCAGATAATAAACCTTATATCCCTCCAGTTATCTCTCTAACTGAATCTCCTCCACAACCAACTGTATTTAAAGGTAAGAGGGATATCTTCATGAAAGTTTATTTTACTTTACGCATTTGTCTTGTGCATCTATCTATTTTTTGCTTACGCATTATTTTAGAGCTTTTAAAGTATTGCTACCATTTTAATAAATAGATAAAATTATTTCCAATTATCTCAAAATTGTTTTTCAAAAATAGTACCAGTATCAGTGAACGTATCAACACCAAGCAATGAAGTTCAACATGGAAGTCAATTTAGTATCACTTGCAAAGTTGATGGTTATCCAATTCCACAAGTATTGTGGTACAAAGACAATGATATCATCCGTACCGATGGACGAGTCAGCATTTCCGGTAAGCATTTAAATTGATTAAATTTCATTTACCATATATTTATAACTATATTATTAAATATATATTTTCCTGTTTTAGAGTCAAACACACTTGTTGTTGATAATGCTGGTTCCAATGATACTGGTGTATATCGATGTGAAGCTTATAATGCATACTCAAGTAGTTCAGATTATCTAAAAATATCTGTTCAAGGTATGTATTGTTTTAAATTTTAAGCTCTGATAAATAATTAAATTTAAAAAAGATTACTTCATAAGAGTTTATTAATTACAGGTTCATATATTAGTGCAGACTGCATAGACACTAAATTCTTCGCACGCTGTGATTTAATTGTAATGGGAAAATATTGTCAACACCCATACTACGCAAAGTTCTGTTGTAGATCATGTACAGAAGCTGGTCAATTACCTGGTGGTTATCACAGTGTTAACAATGTTGTTAGAAAAAGACGATCCATAGGACATTTCTAGGCAGATAGTCAAGTAGATATATTTAAAAAAAAAATTAAAACTTGACGAATTTATTCAAACCCAATTTTAATAGTTCATTCAAGACGTATGATTAAGAAAGAAATTTCTTTGAAACGTCTAGAAAAGTAAACTGCATTCAAATAAGTCTCGTTCACTGCCAAAGTCTCAGAACGTTTATACGTAGATACTCATTAGAAGCAAAGGATAATTTTGATGAATAATTATGAAAATTTTTATAAACACGATCTGAAACTGATTAACTAGTCGTTAAGAAACTTCACATCAGTATTCTCTCAAGTCATACATAATTATATGAGAGATCATCAATACAGTTTTCATAATTACAGTTTTCCTCATAAATCTTTTTGATTAATCGTAACTAAATAATAGTGTCCATGTTCTGTAAGTACTGTTAACGTGTCATTGGAATATTCAATATTTTATTATATTCTATAATAGCATAAAAATAATAGACAATATACATCGTTCAATCAGAATAATATCATAGTTGAATATTTTGAAGTTTCTAAAAGTAATATTCTTATAAAAGATGAGAAAAAAGAATATTATCAGTAATTCGGAGGTGAAAACAATTTTTTATAAATATTTATCGATCGATATGTTTTTAAATAAAATGATTATTTATCGTCTTGATTATTTACTAAAAAAATCACTAATGAGCATTTCATATGAAATTTTATCATAGTATGTATAGAGATTTATAAGGTAATATTACTGCTTATTTAATAATTTTTTATGGATTAAATATATTTTATTTACATTATCATCGTTTTCATATAATATTGATAATAAATCAAAAAAATTTTGTCACAACTTGGAATTTGTTTATGCTAAAATATATTGAAAATAAAATTACGATTATAATAAAATTTAATTATTTGTTAAACATCTAATCATTCATATATTTCTAGTATAACAATGAATATTTATATGTCTTATTTGAAATTAGTGCCTTAAATAAATCTGTAAAAATATATATCAATATAAAATGCAATAATCTTATTTCTTAAAATGTAATATTTCATATATGATAGTAGTAAAATAGATTTAGAAAATATTTATAGTTACAATGTTAGGTACTTAGAAATATGTATAATGTAAAATTAATTTATGTATTCATATAAAAACTGCATGTTTTCGATAAATGTTTATTTTTGGCAGCACAACAAACAGATTCTTTATTTCTCTATTTAAAAACATCTATCATTAATATGATAAAAATAAAATAAAGAAAAAAAATTTGACTATAGATCTATGATTTGAATAATATGTTTTCATAAATAATTAAGATCTATTACAGAGCAAAAAATCTTTGTTGTACTGTCGATTTTTTAGACGTGTGTTTTTTATATTTGGGATGCTTTATATATTATGTTATACTAATATTCTTTTTAATTAAAAATACAATTTGTTTCACTTTTATACATGAAAAATAAATATTTTTAACCATAAGTAATTACAATAAGTTTATATTTATTGAAACATTAAAATAATATATCATATAAAACAATTGATTTCGTAATAAAATATTAATGATGTCGAGTTTCTATAATATATTAAATTTAATACCAAAATTTAATAATCATATACCAATTTTCGTACCGTACGAAGCCACTTCATTGAATGTATTTAAAAAAATTAGACTTGGATGTCTAGCAACTCATAAACATCCAAAAAGTTATAAATTTTTCAGAAGTGTTGCATCTATTAACAAAGAAAGAAAAAGACAATTTCTGTATTCAAAACCGTGGATTATTCATCCATTTAGTATTATCAGGTACAATAATATTAGTGAAATAATACAAATTTAATAAATATTATTTCGTAATATATTTTTTCTTTTTTAGATTCTATTGGGAGATCATAATGACATTTACTTATATGATTTCTTTTATCACTATTCCATTTATGATAAGTTTTATAATATTTGATTATGAAAAAATTCGTTATGACGAAGTAAACCCTTTCTTGTATATATTTTTTTGGCTTGACATTTGTTTTAACTTAATCACAGGAGTTTATTATAAAAGTAAAAAAAAAATCAGTTTACTACAAAAGGAAATTTTTATGTTTGTAGAGCTACTTTAATCTCTTAATCCTAGTGGAAATTTTATATTTAATATAACAAAGGGGAATTCTTTTTTTTTAAAGGAATTATCTCAAAGGTTTTCTTATCATTGACATCCTTACGTCATTGCCTTACGACCATATGTTTCATCAGTGGCGAAATATTCCTGGACCAAAATCTTCCGTATTTATCGCTGTTCTTAATTTCCTACCTGTGTTGAAGATTACAAGATTTATGACCTTTTATTGTTACATTTCCCAAATATTTGAAGTGAATGTTTGAGTTCTACTCGACCTATTATAATAATCTAGTATTTTACCAACTGTTTTTTTCAGTATTTTCAAATAAAGGATTTAGTTTATCGTGTGACTAAAATATTAATCCTATCATTTTTTTTAATTTATTGGATGACATGTCTATTTTATCTAACTACAGTTCTTATTATGTATTTAAATCAAGTTTCAGTTGATGTAAAATCAATTCAATTTCTGCAAAATGAATAATTAGCAAAGAAAAAAATTAACTTTGTTCTTTTTTAGGAGTGTGATTGCTGGCTAGAAGATACTGTAAATAGAACTATTTCAATAAGATTTAAAAAAGCATTTTTTATTATACTTCAAAACTTCATGACAAGTGGTTTTGATGAAGTTGAAGCTGAATATACTATTCATACTATTATTTGCACTTTTATGATGATCATGGGAATTTTTTTTGAAGTATATGTAATCAGTATGTGTCTATTTATTTAACTATGAAAACAAAATGATTCATCCAGAGCAATTTTTTTTTTCAGTTATGTTTCTTCAAATATATACCAATAAGAATGCATCTGAGTACAGTTATCAAGAAATTATTAATCAAATACAAGCATACACAAGACAAAAGCAAATGCCAGTTGACATGAAAAAACGATTAGAAGCTTATTACTTTTATCGTTTTGGGAATAGTTACTTTAGAGAGAAGAAAATTTTATCAAACTTATCAAGTACGTTGTTATTTATTATACTTACTGAACTCAGAAATAATAACATTGTTATGCATAGATATATTACGTGAAGAAATTGCTCTACATTCCTGTCATCATCTTATACAGAATGCCATTCTCTTCAGAAACACTCCAAAAAATATAATTACTTCCATCGTCTCTCAGTTAAGATGTGAAATTTATTTGCCTAATGATGTAATTATAAAAGCTGATAGCTATGGAGACTGTATGTTCTTTCTAGGGGGTGGAACAGTAGCAGTTTTTACACCAACAGGACATGAAGTTTGTTATTAAAAATTAATAATGTTAGTCATTTATAAAAATATGACTGTTCGTATTCGATAATTTTCTAGATATGTCATTTAGAAGTGGGCTCATACTTTGGAGAAGTAGCATTATTAGTCCAAGATCAACGAAGAGTTGCAACAGTTATTGCTACTGAAGTTTGTGAAGTATACAGACTTGATCGTCGAGATTTTCGTAGATATGTTGCTGTTCATTCCGAATTATTTGAAGAAATTGAACTAACAGCTACTGTAAGAATCGAAAAAGCAATACTCGTTGAAGAATACTATAAAAGACATCCTGGAAAAAAATTTAAGTAATCAAATATTCAAATAGATTTTTAATCACCTTCAATAATAATAATAATAATGATAATAATGGAGTGTATCTCTTCAGAGGCACTTAAGGTACTATTTTTATACTTTCAAATCAATAAAGGTTTATAAATATAAAAAATATATATGTAAAAGTTGATTCTATTCTAAGCTTTTTTATTGTTGAACACAATATATACGATAGTTAAATATTATGAGAATAAAAAATTCATTTCCAGAGTAGCATCTTTAAGAAAACTAGTCAATATATATTATTTTATGTAAAAAAAATTTGTTTATCATATTTAGTCGATATGTTAACATAGAAAATGAGTCAATTTCAGAATAAGAGATTAATCAATAATTAACTAACATAGTAATTTATGTAAATGATTGTAAAAATTTAGATTTGCATGAGTACACTGACTACTTTAATGTGTATAATTATTTTTTCTTTATATTATAAAACATTAATATTATTGAAAGAAAACATAGTTGTTCTTTCTTTCATGTAAACGTCAATTTTTTTCAATCATAACAAAATATCTTTACACATATTTAATTCCATTTTCAAGTTTTCTAGACTACTAATTATATATAGTAAAAAGACCCTTCAATGTTAGACATTTTAGCAGTATTAATATTATAAAGGACTTATCACTTTCAATATATATAAATTATAGTAAAAGACTTTATCAAACTGATGCCCTTTTCAAACGTAGACTTGTAGTACTTGAAGGCGGTCTGTAGCCTTGATAACCAGAAGGATCAAAAAGTTCAGTATTAGCGGTTCCAAGGCACGTACATGAACACACACTCACACAATCATCTGTATCATGTATCATTGGTATATGACTTGCCAAAACTTTTCCATTTACAGCTACAACCTCACCATCAAGTGTGAGAACATGATGTGATGTAGCTTGAATCTCATTATCATCTCTAAGACCTTCTCCAGCATTCCTGTGAATTTATTTCGAATTAATTTGATACTAATTTAGATATAAAATACTTTTAAAGATCTTTTAAAATTTCTTACATTGTCATAAAACGTAAAACTAGCAAATTAATACTGGCTGCTACAACTGCTAACCCGAACAAAATAAATACTAAACTTAAAGCAACATATCCTGGTTTCGTTGATAATGCATGATCATTCTATAAAATAAGAAGATGAATAGTGAGCAATAAATTTTTGATTAAATTATTTATTTATGTCTGAATATTACCTGTAGAGCTACGTAGTCGCCAAATCCAATGGTAGTCAATGTTACAAAACAATAATAAAAACTATCAAAATAACTCCATCCCTCATATCGTGAAAATACAGCAGCACCAGTTGTGATAATAATACTTGAAAGCATTCCCGTGGCAAACATAAGATTCATTTCTGTTGCCTCAGTTCTATGACATTTCATATATTTTTTTGCTCTTCTAATTATCACTGAGGCACATTTATTTAAACGTTCACCAATACTTTGAAACATAACCAACCCTAATGGGATGCCAACCATTGCATAAACCATACAAAAAGCTTTACCCCATGCTGTTACTGGAGTCGAATGACCATATCCTGATTGATAATAAATTCTTTATCAGTATTTATGAATAAGTTAATTAATTAACTTTTTGCATCAGTTGTATTATTTTAAGTAAATAATATTTATTAAAATATTACTGCATTTTGAATGATTAACTTACCTATCATAGCAAGTACTACAGTTGCAAAATAGAATGCACCAGCAAATTTCCATTGAGGTCCAGCTTTGTTTGGTTTATTTTCTATTATCATTACTTCAACCATCCTATAATCTTCCTGAGAGATATTGTATTTTCTCATCATATTTCGTCGAATCTCTGTAAATTATTATTAAATATATATATTCTTAAAAATTAAATTGATTAAAAAAAAATATAAATACCTGATAAATATTCCCATCGTTTGCGCTCTGTATCAGATTCAAGTGCATCAAAAACAGCTGCTCCAATTAGTAAATACGTAAATGTACACACAACTAATGACAGTGTTCGAACATTTTGTCTTTTCATTTTAGAAACTGATTCGTCATCAGCCATTGTTGTTTATGTATATAAATTTCTGATGGAATACAAAATCACTTTTCTTAACTTATAAATTCATCATAAAATAACATTTGTTTATGTTAATTGAGTTCATAGACAGTGAGATAAGATAAAACTTATCCAACTAGTAAACTACACTGTGGAATAATTTCACTTCTTTATAAAAAACTATAAATTTAATCAAGCAATGAAAAATAGTAGTTGATGTTCGGCACATTATACTTCTTTACATGAATTTTGAATAAATGTGACACCAAAACATTTCACTAAATATGGATGCTGAGCAAGAAATGTCTACTCAAACTCGAATTATTGATCGTATCTCAGGCTTTCGTGGAACAGTTCTACAACGCATCAAGTTGAATGTAGTCATATAGATAATTTTCTATCAATAAAAAAATTACATTTTTATCAATAACGTCTATCCAATACCATTATAATTTTATTAAACAATAAGAAAATTTTTAGAATTATATGATAGAAAAATTGGTCATTTAAATACTCATCTTTCTAGATTTTAAGTCAAACTGTAGAAATGCAGGGTTCGTATCTCGAGTTTGCGCTGTTCTAGTTGTAATTGGAGATTGCGCAATATCATCCAATAAATTTAATTTTGACATCCCATACACATGATCAAAAAAACAGTGAAAAACAATGGGAAATAGAAATGGTAGAAATATCTTGGGTAGATTATTTTATTCTAGCACTCACTGCGTTAGAAGATGAGAAAAAAATGGTTGGGGAAATTTCTCAATCCCCTTTTTTAAATTTATAAAATAGTACCTTTGAAGAAATGCAACACGTGTTATTCACGTGTGAAATATTTGAATACAGCAATCAGATGTGTCGTCAAAGAGTTGGTACTTGTATTTTATGAAACAAGCTGTTGCTTTACAAGTTAATCCTTGCTCAAAGTGAATAATTTTATTGCATCTGGGAAATTTAAATTTTTTATAACTCTATACAGTTTGTCATGTGGTTAGTCCTATGCTAACCAGTCTTTGCTTATTCTTCATTCAGAAGTACCAAAAGTTTCCAGTCATATAAAATTTTTCCCAAAGTTGGGTACACAACGCAATTCTGATAACAAATGGTTGACATGTGTTGGAGTTTGCAATTGCAGTGCTTATTATTAAACTTTAATAATCAAAAATAATTCACTGCTTTTCTAGGATGTCTACCAGTGTAACAGAACCTGAAATATAGGTTCAAAGCACGTAATTATGACAGCCATAAACATTTATATCATCTTGGAAGTTTGGTAATTATTAGTTTGGTTACAAGCTTTAATATATATTAACTACCTGTTACCAGGATTACGTAGTGTATCCTACTTTTAGAAAAATTTTGTATGACTGGAAATATTGATATTGATGCTTTCAAAAAGTAAACAATGGTTGGTGGATGAAGAAGTGACCATATGACGAACTTATTAGTTCTGTCAATAAGCTACTTAGAGTTATAAAAAATAAAAAATCCCTGATGCAATAAAAACCTTCACTTCAGGAAAGTGTTAACTAAACAGTTTTTCCCATAAAATATAAATGTCAACTCTTTGATAGTACCTGGACTTTTTTATTTAAACATTCCACACGTGAAAAACATGTGTTGCATTTTTTTAAAGGTATTATTCTATAATCGCACCTTTAGCGGGAATTTTTTCAACAGCAGAAGGAATGGATTAAAAAAGGTTCCCAACTCTTTTAACCTAAAAAAATGGAATAAATATTTCAGTAACTAATTTGTAATTTATTAAAAAAACATTGTTATTAATTATCATGAACTCCATTTATTTTGTTATTTGATTGATTTTATTTTTTTTTATTCATTGAACTTTATGTTCATCAATCTAATAATATTATAGTTATTTTTTAAATAAAAAAATAAATAAATAGAATTCACATTGAATCTCTAATTCAATCTGTTGCATAAAAAGTTCTAACATTCTTTAATTACAATTACTGTTGGATCAAATTTTTTAAATGTTAAAAAATATTTTTTACATTTTTTTAAATAAACTAAAGCAATGGTCAGCATGGATCAAGAGTGGTGAGGGACTTAAAAGATGTCCGCTCAAAAAATTTTACCCAATTGAGTTGAGAAAATTTTATGATCCTCTCCCTCTCCAGAATCGTAGGGTATAAATACGTACTGTTTAGGCCGAAAAACTCATACTTGAGTGTAGTCTAGCCAAGTGCAGTTGTGTTGATTACTCTAATGATCTTTCACGTTTACAAGTGACACGAATCTTGAACTATTATAGTGAACTTCTGTTTTAAAAAAGTGACAAGGATCCTGTGATTTTTATCAGCGAGTTTCCCTGCTTACAAGTGACACGGATTTTGAGGTTTCCATAAGAGAATATTAACACTTACCAGTGACATCAGTTCTGATAAATTCAATCACCTGTTTTCGCTTGTTGTCTTCAATCTCTTGGTAAGTTGCAATATTTTTACTCATCAAGTTTAAATGTTGATATTCTCTTTTTCATACATATCCTTCAGCTTTGACATTTTCTTTTCTATTTTCTTTCCTACATTTAATGTTTCTAATTGTCAGTTTTTATTTTTCTTTTATCTTTTGAAAATGGCTATTTTAAATCGGTTAATCATGCAAAAGTATTTTTTTTAATTATGCTTCTATCAACTTTGAAAGTAAATGTTTTTCAAAATTAAAAATTCTGTTCATATAATGAAATACTTATCATTAATTTGAACTTGCAAATTTGTTACAGAAAATGTACCAAACAACGCAACCCATGTATCAGGGCCATTGGCAGCAAAATTATTATACTGGTTACCAACCTGTGCAAAGTCCACAATACATTCACTACGACAACAACAACAATAATTATTATGATTATGGCTACAATAGAAGAGTGGTATGTTTACAATCAATATTATTCTCTTTACCGATAAAATGTATATTTATTTTCAATTTCAAGTTTGTCCTAATTGATGATAATTATTAGCTGGAAGAAAGTGGGAAATATTTCTATAAATACAACAATCATTTCAGCTGTCGTCTACTTCATCCTCAATGGATTCGCTGAACGACCCATATTATTATTCGTATCCTGCAACGACGATGCCGCAAGCTCCAGATTATCGTCAGATATCATCACCTGAGCTGGCTTATTATAGTCATCCAGTATCTCCAATTTACTCTTCAGTACCATCTCCATGTTATTCGCCACAGCCATCAAGTTATTCACCACAACCATTAAGTTATTCACCACAACCATTAAGTTATTCGCCACAACTATCAAGTTATTCGTCACAACTATCAAGTTATTCGCCACAACCATCAAGTTATTCGCCACAACCACCCACTTATCCGCCACAGCCATCAAGTATTTCGTCACAACCACCCACTTATCCGCTACAGCCACCAACTTATTCAACTCAACCACCAACTTATTCTCCACTACCTCCATCATATCCATCAACAATGCCTTACATAAGCTCGGTAAGTTATTGATGTCTCCAAAATTAACTTAAATCTGAAATCTTTAATTTGAAATTCATCACAAGTACTTGGGTAACATCAATATTTTTATATTTTATAGAACTCATTCTACCCAGTGCAACCTATCAATTACACGAAAACCATGCGAACCATACCAAAATCTCCAAGTCAACCAAAAGACAACCAGGATAAAGGATTCTACATTGGAATGAAGCCTACGGAACGATTGCAATGGATTCGAGAAACTTTCCCCAAACAACCACTCCCAACCAAAACTCCAACCAAAACTCCAACCAAAACTCCTACCAAAACTCCTACCAAAACTCCTACCAAAACTCCAACCAAGACACCACAAACATTATGGGAATCAGCTGCTCCAGTTAAACCTCTGCGTCGACCATATAAGTCTACCATCAAAAGTTAAACTAGGTATTAAATAATACTTTATGCGTTTCATATCATCAAATTTAGTCAGCTGAAGTTATATTGTTCATTGCAATTAACTATCAGATAATTTTTTATCTTACTTCTGTGATCAATTTGCAATTTTATCATAAAAATTGTCATTATGTCCGAGTAAAAACATTCAAATATTATTGAGATTTTCACCTAGTGATAAATTTCAATAATTGTTTTGATTGATGATTAATATCTAATCGAGCTAAATTTATTCTTGTTGAAATGTATTTCTATTTTAATATTTACATATGATAATGTTTCGAGAATAATTTAAAGTGTTAAACAATTCAGACGAAACAATTTTGAATCAAATTAATCATCGTTAAATATTTAACTCGTAGAATTATTATGAATATTTTGCAAACATTGAAAATGTTCCATTCCAAACAAATTTGAAATTGCAATAATTGCTTGGTTCAGACGATAACAGTGGTCACTATAGTAGTTAGAGTAGAAATCTACGTTAGCGGCATTAATTAATTATCTTGAGTTGGTATATCAGTCAATAGAATGAAACCTACTATTCCGACTATTAATACTTGCATTATAAATTATTTTTGGCGGCTGATTACATAAATCTTTTAATATTTTGACATTGTTGCTAAATAATTAATAATTTAATTTAAATTAACAAATATTACAGTATTTTTCCAAATAACATGACTGAATTTACATAGAGACGAATAAGATTTTTTTATGCTTAGATTTTTTTAATTTTCAACTTGAGAGATGAATTATTTAAAGTTAATTCAATAATAATAAAAAATTTTAAAGATGTAATTATTTTAAATGTTCAAAGATGAGTTAATGAAGTTGAAATTTAATCGAAATTGTGTAGGGAATAATTCTCTGATAGTTTAAATAAGTATGTATATTTTATTTATTTATTTGTCTGACCAAAGTTATTCATAAAATCTTTAATACATACACATATGTATCTTTGTGATATAACTTGCATCGATGATTTATGCATATCGAAAGTTTTAGGTTCATGTAATAAATAACTACTTATATTTAAGACTGTAAAAAATATCATAAGCATAATATCCTACACAATGTATTCTTAAATTATTTTAAATAATAATTAATTCAAATAAATAAACAAATTGTTTTTTTTATCTGTAATAGTTGTTAGGTACATACGAGGCGATATATCCATGAAAAGTTGATTGAAATCGGTAAAAAATTTCACTACAGTAACATTAATTGAATTGTTGGATGGAATCTGAACAAAATAGAGTATAGTTCAATCATGTTGTTAATGTTACGAAATTTTTGTGACATGTTATACAATTTAGAGGTTTCTAAGTGGGCTGTACCTCATTGGGTGGCCATGGTTGATGCCATGAAATCCCCCACTTAGTTTTGGAGTCGTTCGATAGGCTTCGAGCAACCCTCTACATGTATTCCAGCACCAACGAAGTGTCGAGAAACCCTACATCAACTCCAAAGATACTGCAACGATTGTAGCCAATCCGGAGTGAGGAATAATGCGATTGGTAAATTTCAACCAATGGTAGGGTGTCTTGTATGCACTTACCGTGTCCCCTCTTTCCTAGCTAAGTCCTCTCATACGCAAAAGGGGACATCTCATCACGACTCTTGGTACCAGGCACTTCTCCGTAGTGGGCACTCCACTCATCGTGTCGTCTACGGGTTCGTGAGGCTGTGAGCCACCCGGGCGAACGAGCGAGCGAGCGAACGTTGGTCGAGTGGGTCTAAGCGGCCGTGAGGACCTCTCCAGGAACCCAACAGTCCTCTCCATTCATTCATCCATCCATCCAGTCAGCCATCCATCCATCTATCCATAGAGCCGCTCCTCTCTCCGGAGAGAGAGTGTATCCTCGGCGAAGGTGGAGGCGAAAAGTAGAGTGGCACATCTACCATCGTCTATCGGCAGAGTCCAAGGACTTGAAAACCCTCCGGGTGATTTCAGTCGGCCGCCGGCCGGCTCTGCCGGCCACTTCTACTTATGTGTTTTTAATTTTACTTATCAATCCATTTGTATAGTCTAAAGTGATCTATTCGGAACCAAGTGCTAGCATTGTCTGATGAAAATTGTGCGAATATGGGACACGTTCGACTTTTTTTCCCACGGTCTAGGACGTATTCGAAGGAGCCAACGAGGCTTGCTTCATTTATCATCAACATTTAGTGAAATTTATCAACAAAGTTGTTTAGTGAATAATGAAAACTTCGATATTATGGTGTAGTTCTCATAGGTGTGGTGATTTTCATTTCAAGTATTATCAATTCTACCTGACATTGTTATTACAGTTCATGAACTGTAATAACTAATCATACATATATACATATTCTAATATATGCTAATATATATCATTATGTATATATACATGAATATACATTGTTATCAATGCTGATAAAATCAGTGTTAATATTATATCTTTTATTATGTGAGGTAGAATCCTATTTGATGATTAACTGCTACTACTAATGAAACATATCGTTCAAGAGTGAAAGTCATAAAAGTTTGTTAAGTGAAATAAAGAGATATTTTTTAAGAAATTTTCAAAAAAATTCATGTCATAAGAAAATGTAATTGATTGAAGATACTAAAATTTTCATTGCAAAGTATTTAAACGTCGTGAATTTGGACGAAATGAGTGGCGGTAGTGGCGGAAGTGGAAATGCTGGCAATCAAGGCAGCAACAATGCTACAAGTTACCATCAACATCAGCAACAACAGCAAAGTCAATTGGAACAAACCGGTCTGCTACCAGACCTTAATGGTGTTGATTTGGCAATGAGTTTATCTCCTAAACAGCATACTTCTCATGTTCAAGGTGGTAGTGGTGCTCATACAACACCCTTTAGTGTAACAGACATTTTATCACCAATCGAAGAATCATATCGAAAGTTAGAACTCGCAGCAGCAGCCGTCGGAGTTGGTGTTGTTTCACATCCTCAAAGTTCACCTTATACGAACGCTTGTGGCGCTAGAGTAAGTGGTAATACCGGCAGTTCTAGTGCAAGTAGTGGAAGTCCTCCTCTTCACGGAGGATCAACACCTGGAGGTAGCACCCCAGGTCCTGTAAGTGGTGCCAACGGCAGCGGTGGAACTGGTGCAGTAGTTGGAAATGGTGGAATGAGTACCATGGGCAATCCGTACGCAACCATGCAATTAACGTCCCAATATCAGTATTGTGCAGCTGAATTATCTCCATATCATCATGCTGGTCCTGGAGTTGGTGGTGGTGCTGCAGCTTCCGATCCTATGCGATCTCATGCTGTATCATCACATCATCATCCTTGGTATGCACCTGCACCACCAACCACCAATGATCCACGATTTGCCAGTGAGTATTTGCATGGTAATGTTATCAAAATTATTCATTTTTTATTATTATTAATTACCTATCACATACTTATTCAGCATCAATGAAGCTTTTTCATAAATATCCAAAAATCTATCAAATAAATAGCTCCGTTAAATTCAAGTAATCCATAAAATCTACAGCTCACATCTGAAATCTGATGCTGAATCACACTTTGATATCGATTTTGCTATCAACTATTGTACGTACTTCAAATTATTGGAATATAAAACTCAGAAGAAAAAAAGATTATAATATTTCTCTGATTTAGAAAGTAATTCTGGATTAATATATGAAAAAGCTTCAGCTACTTCAAGTTTCTAATATCATCAATTCATTGAAAGCAATTTCAAATGAAATGATTTTGACTCCATACGAGAATTAAATAAAATCATTTAAATATAATAAATTAAATATTCTATAACCAATAACTGGAAAAGCAATTATTGATGATTTAGAGTGAGACATATATTTCCAACACGTTAGAGTACTTCCTTCCATTAAAGAAGTATAAGTTTCATCTTTTCAAATTCGTATATCTGAGCCTTTATTACAGATACTCATGATTCGATAATGTCAATACAAATACATTTATTCTTGGGCAGTATAATAATCTGCGGATTCTTTGTTTGTAGCACGCACAGAGCATGTATATGTCGATATTCGATTCTGGCCGATTGGTGAAATAGCAATTGAGTTTATATACTATCAGTATATAAAGCATATACAGAAATACATATATATATATATATGTGTGTTCAATTGCTATTTCACCAATCGGCCAGAATCAAATATCGATTTGCTGACGCGTGGCGAGTAGATGGGACGAGAGGATTTTAGTTAAACAAATATGCACGAAAGCTTCTGCTACTTTCATCGCATACGAGCTAGGGGTTTGATCTTAAGTTACAGATTTCATTTTATAAATACATATTCTTTGAAAAATCATCATATTCTTTCTTTTTAAAACCCAAGAAATGCAGACTGGTTTATAGGGAAATTTAATTTTAAACTATTGGAGTACTTTTTCAATATAAAAAAAAGTTCTTGGTAAAAAGCTATTCAAAAATACTTGAACTTATAATTTATAGTAGTATTATATTTTCATATTTATCTCTGCAAATTCCAGTTGAATATTTTTATTTCCAAATGCATTTAATATGAAAAAAAAAAAAAGATAATTCTTCTAAATCTTCATTTAGATGAGTGTTCAGAATCATTATTTCTGTAAGCTTATTTATTTTGTAAGACCGTAAGAAGTTTTGTTCCTATATCAAACGCCTGTCTTCGTTAACAATATATAAAATATTATATCATTCTTGTCAAGTATTCTTTTTTTCATTCAAAAAAGTCAATAGCTGTGTAATGATTATTATGAGTCAAATTGTCTGTCAGACCTCCCGCGTGAGATGACCAAGCAAATATTGTACATACAGTCATCAAGTCTTCTCATCGTAAAATCGTCTCACGTTTCCAAAAGATTGACAAGGGACTACCTTTATTATTTTTTTTTTTTTGGTAGCGCCAGTTTCCAAAATAACTCTTTAACGCCTCATTACCTTTAGGCTTTAGCCTGCTTTAATCACCTTCAATTATCGAAACAAAGTATTTGATCGTTTGAAACTTTAATCGTTGATTCATTCATTCTTTATCATGAGATGACATTACAAATATCATTTTAATATAAAATAAACATTCTAAATGAAATGAAAATAAAAATAAATTCAACTAAACATGAAATGATTAACAAAGAAAATGATTCAAAAAAAATAACTGGACATCTGAAAAATATGTTTTGCAGTTTCACGACTGATGGGAGCTGCTGCAGGTGCTGGAACCAATATGACAGGTTGTTCAGTTGGTCAGTCTATGGCAGACGTAAGCAAGTCATCAGGAATGGGTGTAGGTGTTGGTGTTGGCGTCGGCGTTGGAATGGGTGTTGGTGCCATGCAATTCCCTTTAGCACAACGACGAAAGCGACGGGTACTGTTCACGCAAGCTCAAGTTTATGAATTAGAAAGACGTTTTAAACAACAAAAATATCTTAGTGCACCTGAACGTGAACATCTTGCATCTTTAATTCATTTGACACCAACTCAGGTAATTATTTCTGCTAAATAGATATTTTATTTTGTAAATTAAGTAGTGATCAATAGGTAGGATGGATTAGAAAAGGTGTAGGAAATGCTCCAAAAAAGCATCTAGTGATGGAAAGATTAACAAAAGTGTATGGAGATGTGAAAGAATAAAGGACTGAAGGTAAAGTTATACTTTTGGTAACATAATATATTGTTGGAGAGTACATTCAACTGAGGATCAATTACTGCAAACGGATTAATTGTCAGTTAATCGTAACATGATATAAATATAGAAGAGATTTAACAGCAGAGTTGATGACATCTATTTATTCATCAATTATTTTATGTAAAAAAGTTCTTCATCAACTCCAGCGATAAACTAATTCAATTGGCTAAACGTTAGAGTTACTCTAAAAATCTTGAATTTTTTGATCAAATAAAAGAGGCTTATACTATTTCAGAAGATTTGAACAATAACTTTACATAAAGTGATTCAAGTATGCAAGTGGACTTGAATAAATAAGCAAACGACAAGTGAAGTTGAGAACCGTCTTAAAATTAACGAGCTATCGATGTAACGGATCTCATCGTCAAGAAGCTGTTGCGGAAGCAATCTTCAGTTGATCATACTTCACTGATGGCTCTCATATACCCTCGATTTCGAAGAAAATGATTCTTCACCATTTCCATAAAAGGAAAAAAATATCTTGTGTATAAATTAAAAAAGAGTATCAACTGCTAACTCACATCATTTTATTCTACATTTACATTTTATTGATACAAGCTATTTAAATGCAATAGACATATGGTCATTTTCTATATCAATGAGTCGAAATAGAGTTTAAAAATTTTTGATTTCCGCCATGCATATTGAAGTTCCGATATCATCAAGCACACAAGCAGTACTCCATTTTGTTATACAGCATTGTATTTTAAGTACAGTCCCCTATTGTTCATTGCCAACCACTTTTGGCATTGTTAACTGTGTTGTTATTATTATCGTTACTGTTGCGCAGACGACAACCACGCATAAGGGATAGGGATTTGTCAGTGTGGTATACATACAGACGACAAAAAAAAAACGAAGAATTGTCATGTCTCTCTCATCGGTTTATAGACCAGCTGCTGTTGGAGTGGTACATTATAACTAAATTATATCGTCAGAATAATTTTACATCCCTTCTAAATACATACTCGGAGTTGATCAATAAAATATCTTTTTTTCATCGAAACAATACTCTTTAAAATTTTCAAATACTCGTGATTGAAGAATTAGATTATATTTTAGTCTTCAACTAACTGGACAATAAACTCTTTCTGTAATCCCTCAATAAATAAATATATTTGTTTCTCAAGAGATAAAATAATTTATTAAATTTATCAGCTCTGTCGAAACCTTTGAAGTTCTTCTCAAGAATAAAACATGAGTTTAATTTTAACAAAATCAAATTTGATAAAAAAACATCAGTTTCAAACATATGTATGTAATTTACTGTATAGCTAACATTATTCAAGAAAATTTCACTTCAAAAGAATATAAATACTTTGAAATGAAAATAAAAATTTCTTAAATATACTTGCTTTAATATTCATATTAATTTAGAATACTTACACATTATAATGTGTATCATTTAAAGAGAAAATTATAGGACTATCTTAAACTTAAGAGAGTCTCAAGTTCAAAAGAAATTTTCATTTTTTTCCACTTAAAAGTTGAAGAAGACATGAAAACACCCTAAAGATCTCAATTAATTTTTCATGTCTTTCACTTTAATGTCTCTTTTACCACCAAAAAAAAAAGTGTAATAGAATTATATCATCTATTTTTAAGATAATTTAGAATGATTATTTACATTTTGTTTTAAATAAATCATAAAATAAATGCTGATGTCAGGAAAATGTAGATAAGACTGTAAAATATGGCGTATGACATACAAGTATTTATTAAGAGCATGCAACCAAGTAAGTCCATAATCAAGGGGTGCATACATTGCGACCGCAAACATCAGGAATTTCCCTGAGGGGTTTTTACCCTAGAGTATGATCTTTTTGTGACTTGTCGGCATTCCCAGTCAGAGTGGAAAAAATTTCAAATTCTGCTAATTTTTGAGGGCTCATTACAATAATAAATGACTTTATAATCTCTTAGAATTTAAATCAAGTAGCAATGTTAATTCATAATAAAGTATGACAATGTTTCATTTCATCAACAATCGAACAAATAAATAATAAAGTATCTGATGATCAGGATGAATTTCACTCCTCAGACATCTTGAAATGACTACATGCAAGAATATGTACTTGATATAGGGATGATAAATATTTTTTCAAAGAAATAAGCCTATAGCATTACCACAAGAAAAACAAAAAGCTGTGGAACAAGCAATTGTTTCGGTAGGTGAACAAGATAACAAAAATAGAATAGTCCCTTTTAGATTGTGCATAAACGACAACTTGCCCAAGGCATATTGTGAGTGTAGGGTGGTTCAAGTAATATGTTGCAAGTTGGCGATAGGTTCAATTGCCCGAAAAGAAACTGTTAAAGTGACGAGGGGATGTGATCCAGATGTAAACCCTAATTCTCCAATGACAACCCTCAGTCCAACCGCAGCACCAAGCTACGTTTGACTATAACTCGATCAATCGTGTCCACTAGGGCAACCACACATTTATCTTATCTGCTTAACACTAACATTCATTGACATGGTTATTAGTTGCTGAACATTTCTCAACAGCTACTCTCACCTCTTCAATGACATCATTGGTAATGTGAATTATAATTAACTATCCTAATGATTTACATGCAACATTAATTGTATTGGCAAGTAATTGGTCCAATCAAGCCTCAACTCAGACACGTTTACCACACTCAAAGCTAACTTTTGCCTTTGGAAGTAATTATCATTGAAATGGAATTGAAGTGATAAAAATCAAATTCTATTGAATAAATATGGATTTAATTGATGAAGTCCAAGAATATCACTTCAACTTATTCAATATTGGAGCATATTATGTTACTGGTACATTTATCTTGAATATGGTTTGGAAATAAGATGCTAAAAAGTTGCATTTCATTTTCTGTTCATATATACACATATAAATCGAATGGACTAAATGGATGAGACCTACTTCTCCAGTCTGTAGTATAAAGTAAACAATGACAGGTATAACAGCTTAGCAAGCTGACAGCTTTACTTGTTCGTGCAATTTACTTAATCTACTTCTTTTCTCTATTTTTGTTTGAATATTTTAGGTTTATAATTGATTGTTTTTATAGTTTTTAACAGCTGGTTTCAATTCTCTAAATACAATTAATAATAAATCAATTACCTTTTATTTAATTATTTAAATGAATTATATTTTCACTCCAAAAAATTTATTGATATTTCATTAAACAATTTTTTTATATTAAAAAAAAAAAACAAAATCCTTTTTTATTATCAATAAAGCTGCGTTCATGTACAATAAAAAACAAAAAATGTAGAGTGGTATTATCTCGCCGACGGATATAAAGAATGAATTCAACTTATATAATAGACTCATCTTTGCAGTACCAAGGTATACTATGGGATTATGACACCGCCCTATCATAAGCAGATGTTAATCCGATTCTATGTCCACACGCTAGGCTTCCCTAATCGCGTTCAATTGCCGTAAAAGCGGTTTTGAGTATAGAGAGCAGCCAAGAACCGTCGGAGCAGAGTGATTCCGCGCACCACTGAATGTCAAAACTTGTTGAATTTGAACAACGTTCTATCAGTTCCTATGGACATTATTGGCTATTTTCACACAATCATTTTAAACATACTACATCCGCTTATCACTACATCCAATTTTTTATTACTTTTTAGAAAATAATTCGTTTAAATACCAAGATTTTCACTTGTAAAATTATTGACAAATTCAGTTTACTTTTGCATAAAAAAGAAAAAAAATAAATGAATGGAACTAAGCACGGATTAGAGACTTATATATAAAAATTTTCAAATGAATGGAAGCAAAAATAACGTCAAATCATCTTGTCAGAAACGTCAGTCCTACAAAAACAACACATATTTTACCTGAACTCACAGTTGCATGTTATTTTTAAAGAAACTGCTTCGTCAAATCACAGTTAATATTTTAACGGAAATAAATTTACATTAATAAATAAAATTGATATGTTTCAGGTTAAAATTTGGTTTCAAAATCATCGGTATAAGTGCAAGAGACAAGCAAAAGAAAAGGCCATGGCTGAACAGAATGCACAAAATCAGGTATGTCAACTATTCATTTTTTTTTCTTCTTCTTCTTCTTCTTAAATAAATAATCAACTATTAATTTCTTAAACTATTTATAGACTTTAAATAAAGCACAAGACAAGTTAAACATATGAAAAATTTATGAAGATATCTTATTGCCAAACACACAAAGACATATATACATAACAAATGCATATAGCAAAATGCGAATAAATGTATATTTTATTTGATGCATGAGTTCATCATTTTTTCATGAGATTGATTTTAATCCAAAATCAACAGAGGATTGTCATCATCAATAGATGTACCAAATGATTGAGTAACAACTGAAACTGATAAACATCAGTGTTTTTTAAGAAAGACTACACTTCAAAATATCAATTGAAAAGCATTTATTTATGTTCAATATGATTCTCTTTAGCACAAAAGTGGTGTTGCGATAACTGCATAAGATTGATCAGCAATAAACTCCGACACAATTGAGGACATGAACGTCAGAGAAAAGTATCAGCAGTCCGATCAAATATATAGTTATATTACTCGACCGAATAGCACCCCATAATTTACTTGTTAGTCTTCATATGTGTGTGCGTTTTCCTGCCTTAAACCTCCCCTTTGTAATTTTGATTTCAATTCCGGACCTTGGGCTTTGTTTACGCCGCCCGGACTTTATCTTGATCAAACTCAGCGATACGTGCAATTGCCGATCTCCGCCTTCGTATAACACGTTCGTTCTAAACTTCGTTACGACCCTCTCGTCCATTAGAGGCGTTCCGTTTACACGATTGCTAATCAACTTCACCACTACTCTATTATACTTCACTTTATTTGATATTTCAACTAATTATGATTGACTAAACGATCATGACATCATATTTATATTCAATTACTCTACAACACAGAAAATCATTACTCCAATTTAAATCATCAGTTTCCTGTGATTGATAAAAATTCCAAAATTGAAAGGAAAAATAATAATTTCTAGCTCTCGAGTTTTTAATGAAATTAGCTTGGATATTATCTATAATTATATGAATTATTTTACAACAAATATGGTACTGGTTCAATTGACATATTTATGTAAAGATTATTTGTATAAATAATATGCTATAAATGATCCTTCCTAACGATCAACGACGATGTACCTGGTAGTTTGCCATGCTCAGATTTTCAATTTTTCGTTCTCTTTTTTTTCCCCGTTTCATTCCATCCGACTCTCTGCCGCTCTTCACATGCAAGAGGTAAAAAATCTCAAGTATCGAAGCAAACGAGCGAGCGGACGTAACTTAACGTGCGGATGAGAGAAAGAGAAAGAATTGAGAGTTGTCGCGAAGAGGGAGGAGAGGGTGAGGAAGCAGGCTCACTCAAGAGTCTTCAGTCGCCATCTTGCTGTAGGTACAGTCACTCTCAGCACCTGGTATTTATAAAAATATATTTTTTCTTTTGTTGTTGTGCATATTGCATATAAATTCCTTACAAGTCATTCAATATATTTTTATATCCATATGAGCAAAAAATTATTTATATTCAGATATATTGAGTTCAAATCAACAACATTCATTTTTTATTTTTTTTCGTACAAGAGCACTTCTTAATATCAATATTATATAATCAGAGCGATTCTCTATGGACCATGGTCATTTTCACCGGATATCATTTAACACGTATATATTCAAGTGTCTAGAGTGGCATGGCGCGTGACGCGCGCGGACCGTCACACATTTAACATGATCATCATTTTGTCAGCTTCAAGTATATAGCTACTTATGCACTTAGTTAGCTCAAATCAAACGACGATCTCTCTTCAATATATGTGCAGACTAAACGGAGGTCTTAATGCTCCAATTAACGCTATTCAAAAGTATCCTATTATTTGACATCCTGTGATATGTTCATCATCAACATCATCATTCAAGTATTAGTCATCATCTAGACTTTGTATGGAATAACAATTTTTCACGAGTTTAATAAAAGTTGTAATAATTATCAATGTTTGCTAGACAAAGTTATTATGTATGTACTTTCAATACAATTGGGAAAATTTACTTTGGAAAGATAATAATATTGAGTTTCATTTGAAAGACTTGGAATTGATATAAAGAAAGATATATAAATGTACAAGTATAAATAATGTGAGAGCAGCAAAGACCATCATTGTAGACCTTCACAGCAGACAAAGTTGTTATTGGAACGCAGAGGGACCGAGAAAAGATCGAAGAGGAATGTCATGTACTTGATGTTGATACAGCTGAGTGGTCCACTGGGTTTCACAGGTACGGTCGAAGCATGCTTAGGCTTCTGTTTGGCATACCGGTCGAACGGACAGACATACAGTAATTCCAACTGAAGAAAAAGAAAGAGGAATAGACACTGGCAAACAGATAAAGATAGAAATAGGTTGAATGTTACTGACGAGGTGGTCTTGAATGACGGTAGCCACCTGTATTTATTCATAATGAGATGATTCCTTCAAGAAAAATCTTAACACATCGTTTGTACTTACAACGTTCGTATATCTTTAGGTACAGATTTATAAATGTACATACATGCACGCCCACGTTCTGTTTACTCAGCACACGGTCGAAATGTTTCGTGAATCGAGCTTCTCATTTTTGTCTGACATCAGACAATGTATATTTGAAAACCGTAGCCTACGGACAGAAAATTATCATTCATAAATTTATTCAAGTACTTAATGTCTAAAAAATATTATATTATTCCTTTGCAAATAATTTCAAATTAATACTTGACAGTAATACAATATTTTGTGTTGTAAATAAAATACTAATATGTTTGTGATGAATATTATTTTCAGAGTGCAAGTTCACCCCGTCGGGTAGCAGTACCAGTGCTAGTGAAAGACGGTAAACCCTGTGGAAGTGGTGGTGGTGGTGGTGGAAATGAAGGTAGTCGAAGTGGACCGAGTGCAGCATTAGCTAGTCCAGCACCACACATGACAGCTGCATCAAGTCCTCATGGAACTCATCATGCAGCTAGTGTGTCTCATCACTCAGTAGTTGGTGTCAGTCATGTTATGTCTTCTAGCCAAAGTCTTCAGCATTGCTCGTATACTAGAGCTGGTGCACAACAAGGCATGCAACAACAACAACAAACTCAATGTGGTGCTTATTTACCACTACAGGGTAGAGCTTGGTAGTGCGCGCCATCCGCGGCGGGGGCCGCGGCCTACGCCAATCCCTCCGTCGCAGGCCCCTGGGCCCTCGCCGCGGATCCAACTGCATGGTATACCATTACCGATGATAGTCCCTAAAAAATCACCAATTGTTACACGAACTTTAGTTACATTCACATTTGTCTTATTCTTGTATCATATATACATCATTTTCCAGCTTTACTATTCTCTTCTCTTCAATTTAACAAACAATTACTCCAAAAGACGAAATAGTATTTCATCAAAATTGACAAGTTTTTTCATTGGATTCAAATTTTAAAGATGTTGAGATATTTAAAAACAAATTAACACTGTAAAAAATTTATTTATATATGGTGTCTAATTTATATATTTGTATTAGTTATAGTGTCAGTCATCATCAGTGTTAACTTATAAATAATATATCCAACAATTGATGCATGAAATGATTATAATACGGTATATTTAAGCATGTATAATTTACAAATTATTGATTTGACATTTATTCAAACCTTAGTTGTTATGGTGACACTTATTAATGTACACTATCGTCAAACAAACAGTACAACATTTTTTCATAATTATTCATTAATACTGGACACCATTTAAAATTCTCAAAGATCAAGATATAATTTAAAAATTTTTTACAGTGAAAAAATACTTATATTATTGAAAAACATATAGTTCGGAGCATCGATCAAAATACAATACTTGTTATTCATATTTCTTTCTGTTAAATTATCTCTAAAAAGTATATTATATATGATATGTAATGTAAGGATATCACCAAATTATCCACGGCAATATAATTCCAACGAATATAAAATAGAATAAGTCTGGGAACGACGGTGATCATTAATTAAGTAATGTATACGTCACACAAATTTTTACTTCAAAGAGATTATTCTTATAATTATCAGAACCAAAAGTATTAATTATTGTAGGAAGATCAATCGAATTCGTATGTTGTATAACAATTTCACAGTATCAATGAAAATTGATAATAAATAATAAATAGTGGAAAATACAGAATTGTAACATCAATAAGATAATTTATATTATTTAACAAAAACATCACAAGATCAATTTAATTGTTTAATTTGAAAAATTTTATATTTCAGACATTTATTAAACAGCATTTTTTATATTTAAATACATTACAATGGCATAAATAAATTAATTTTGAATTAATTAAATAAATTGTCTCCAATTATACAAAAAAATTGATTAAAATCATAACAAAAAATATCACATATAAATATATCCCTGTACATAATGAACATCAATTAGCTGTTAAACATCAATATTACCATATTCTAAATCATACAGTAATACTTACAATTCTGTTATCTTCCTAATCATAATTCAATGAAAATTTCTTTATTTAGAAATAAAATAACAAACATTAAAAACTCCAATCTTTAAATGAAAAATTTTTCAACATTTCTTCTTTACCTCAATGGAGACTAAAATTGTTTACTCAGTTGAATTTAAAATTCAAAATATTGAGTAATTATTATAAATAATAAGAAGATTGTTATTGAAAGAATTAATTTAAAGATTAGAGTACTTGATAGTATCCAGTAAAAGTCTTGTGTCATCACTAATTATTTAAATAGTCTTTTCTCGACTATTCTTATACTGTATATGAATACACTTACAATTGGTGATTATGTATATATTATTTTAAAACGAAATGACATTAGGAATCTAAACAATTCAAAAAATAATGTATAAATATATAGATAAATCGCGTGCGAAAGGTACGAAGGGATATGAATTGATATAAAATTCAAATGAGAAGAAATATTTGTACTTTTAAATAAATAAAATGAAATATTTCTTCACAGGACCTTTCTTAAAAGCGATATATGTATAAGTTGAACTAAGAAAAGATAAATATAGGCAAAAGTAATAATATTGATAATTATAAAAAAAAAAATATAGTGGGTAGAATTGAGGGTGAAAATGTAGTAGAAAATTATTATAATTAACATTTTGTAAATAATAATGAAATATAAAGAGATATTAATAAAACTATATATACTAATACTGCAGATAAAAGTTTAAACATTTATTACAATTTAAAATAATTTTTTTATACAAGTTTATATAAATAGATATATTGATGATAATGATTTCACTGTAAAAAAAAAAACAAAAAAAAGATTAAAATTGAATGAATAGTTATATCTTTGAATACACTACTCACAATAATACTAAATAAAACTAAGAATGTTTCATTACATTTCTCGCAATTTTATATCTACTGAATGTATGAACACCCTTGACTACTTTGTCAGTACCATGGAAACCCCCATCGAATATAATCATTTTCCCTTGTAACAATCCTACTACGATTACTAAGGTAAGCCGATCTCGTCTATACAACGGTAAATGCGCACACAGCGACTTAAAAGTCTTGTCAGTATTTTTATTTCTTTGTTCCAGGTATTAGAATATTTTTTATTTACTTCAATTTTATTGTGGACAAGTTGAAGTGAATTTTCATCTTGATTTTCCAACTTCTTTAATTCAATTAATATCAGGAAAATCCATAACTAACAGAATCTTTTTCAGATCCTCGATTCGTTCCACACTTAAATGCATTAATGCTTCAGATAGGAAGAATATATACAGCAGAATAACTGCGACGAATGCGTGTGTGCGTTGGGGTGACATACGAGGTATGTCTGACAATGACAGGTCACCAATGATGCTTCTACTGGTCACTCTTATACACGTATCCTATCACACCCTTCGTTCCCTTCATTCGTAACGCGTTCTCGAGCCCACCATTATCATATTTATTAACTGCTGTGCACTGCTTATATCTATACCTATTTCAACTGGCATTGCTGTATAATATAATACATGTTGGTGACAGCAGCACGTGGCATAGAACTCATGGCATGGAGCACTTTGGATTTGTTGTCGTTTGATGCGATTATCTTTTATATATTAACGTCCTGAGAATATGACATTTTTTACTGTATTTTGTCCATCAGTTTGGAAGAAAGCTTTTCTTTGGATCATCATTATTATTATAACATTAACATCGAAGGGTCTATATCCTATAGATTGATAAATCTCAATAAAATGTATTTTTTCCACTGGCAAAAAATTACCACGAATATAAACATCCATGTAAAATCTTATATAAACTCTCGAGAAGATTTGGAAAACATATTTTCAACGCCTTTATATTTTAACGACGTTATAAATTCATAGAGGGTGGCACATTCAAATTTTCCCTTGTCTTACATCCATGAATACCCAAGACGATATGGGGGTGTTTTGAGGAACACTCCAAGACGCTAGTCAGTTAAAGCTGTTTAGAAAGGGTGTATTTAAAGTATGTATGAACATAAATATATATATATTAAATACATAGATAGAAATATATACACATAATCTTTGAACGTCAAAAGCATTCCGATCAGGATAATAGAACGAGATATTGACACTCAACAATTTGTGCAGTAATTGCAACCTGTACACCCCTCTGACACGATCAAACACGATAAAGTGCGCGCTACTGGAATATTCATTGCTGTGTAGCAGCTATGAGAGCTTATGCACTCAACCTTTTGTGTCCTCATTACAGATATTTTCAGGTCATTCTTTGAAGTTATGAATAGAAAGGATTTTTAAGTTTGATTTACGATGATTTTTCATATTTTTTCTTTCCTATCTACGTTGATTTACAGAAAAAAAAAGTTTTCACCATCACACTCTGTCTAATTAATTCAACATTGCAGAATGTTAAATATAACGAGACTAAATAGAATTTAATCGAACCACCAATTAGATTAGATGTAATTGAATCCATTTCAATTTAATCTATGTGGTACGTTGGAATTGTCATTTCGTTGGAATTTCTAGTTTTTCAGGAAAACTTTAAAAATAATTAAAAATAACAGCAAAAAATCTAGAAAAAAAAATTCATGCTCTCTTGTCAGGTACTTGAAAATAATTTTTACAGTGTTTTTCATGTGTGCACAAGAATTGACGAAAATGCATAGTTGAATGTGAAATAAGAGAAAAATTAAAAAATGATTTCAGATGATTGGCTTGATGCAATAAATAGTGCGCAATAGTCTCCTCTTGCAAGTAGTCGAGTAAAAGATTGACTATATTTGTAGTTTGAAACGCGAGTTCAGTCATACATTCGATTTATACTTCATAAGGTAGAAGCTATGCTGTGCTAGTGCTTTAGTGATAACACTCTATGCGCAGTGTGCAAAACGTAGAGGAGATTCAAGAGGATTCAATGGTGGGAACAAAGCTCCGCCTATCTACGGTCTTGCACAAGTAAAACCGCGCCCTAAATGCTCCACCTATTGAAACTCCCCGCTTTAGTCGACTTTTCTCTTTGTACAGCATCCGTCGTCTAGCAATGCGAGAATTCGTAACAACTCTGTCGAATAATTGCTCGAAAAGCATATATCAAGGTTGCTGTGGCTAAAAAGTGTTTTTTACTTTTCCTGCTACATTGGCGACCATGGAAACATTGGTACACTAGTCAAAAGTTAGCTTTCAGATACATTTTCCCTTCATAGTTGCATCACAAATTTTTTTTTATTCATCCTGACTTAATTTTTACCAAAAAAAAAAAATATTCCTTATTTTACATAAATATCGTAGTCAAGAAATAATGTTTAGTCATTTGGAGTAATTTTAGAGAAAGCTCCAAAATTATTCAATAAATTTTACTCCAAAAAATCTTGATGACAACACTGCAAATCCAAGTGCATTTTTATTACACATCTAAACGTGTTAAATATAACATCATCCATTTAATTAACATTGCAGTAATTTTTTACACACTTAGAAACGTATTAAAAGTGATTACAATGTTAATTAAATGGGTGACGTTATATTTAGCACGTTTAGATGTGTCATAAAAATGCACTTGGATTTGTAGTGAACTTATTCTAAAGAAATCTTATCGTTATTAGTCTGTTAATTTTTGATCAATCAATTGAACAAGTTTATATAAATATAAACTGTTGAAATAATTAACTATTATTGTTGAATTGATTATTTCGAACGAGAAATAACTTTGAATGTATGTCCAACTATTTTTGGAGTCAACGATAATTACTGGCGTTGATGAAGGAGGTATTATACGTACCAAAATAACCGTTATATATTAAAAAATATGTCGTGCATTTATACGTTATAGAATTTCACATATGAGATTATAAGTACTTGAGTATCCGTTGGCATGGACTCGATAGGATATTGTTTAATGCCTATAAAGAAGGTGTAGGGGCCTAAAATGTATACTGGCTGTGGCCCTCATGCAAACCGTAGTCCTTATTGATGCAGATAAAGCACAGAAGCAAATCTTTTTCAAGCTCTGCATGTGGTTGGTAGTCCCTACACAGTAGCGTCGGTCATTCAACGTTTCAAGATCAGTTCAAGCACTTGAAATCTCTCAATTCGCGATTGGTTCCCACACACAGTGTTGCCACCAAGGGTGCGCGAATTATGTACCTTAACATGAAAGTCGCTTGTTTCGGTGTTCGAGTACCTTTTTTTCTAAATGAGTGTATCGATATTTCCGCGAGACTGGACGGTCGAGAATCAAGAAGTCGACGTCAACGCTGCAGGGGTTCAGACGTTATATGGGAGGGCTGTTGGTCTTGACTACTTGACACGAACACCCGTGACGTGCTTCTGTGGGTTCATGTGACGGTAAGACATTATCGACAAGCGGATGCTCCGCGCGGGAAAAATCCCGGGGGGTCACTACTCTTCTCTTTATGATTTATACGCATTAAGATTACTAATATCCTTTCTTATTATACAGACGTTATGATTATTTTTTTTTTTTTTGCTTTCTATTTTTAGACTCGGTGAAATAAAATGAAAAAAACAACCATTCTAGTTTGAATTACTATAGAAACATTTTACATTAGACAAAGCACTCTACACAATTGATTGGAAGGAATAATAAATAATTTTTAAGCTAAAAAATAATTATAAAAAAGATTGGAAATGTTTTTGATAGTCTTTGACTTTGGTGGCATCAATTAGGTAGTAAAGTAGTAGAGAATAATTAGTGAAAATGAAACAACAGTTGAGGTGTTAATGAAAAAAAATAGAAACGACAAAATATAACATTACTCTACACCTGGACATTCATCATCTTCGAAGGCACACAAGGGTCCTCTTGCATCCACTCGACAATTCAACCATCCAAAAGAGTGCCTCTATTCTCGTCTCGTGTGTTCTTGCTTCTTTTTTATTCCTCTCATTCCATATACGAAAACGCACGTGCGTGCCTTTTCCCTTCTTCGCAAGGTACTCTTTTATTTTGTAGTACAGTACGCTGCAGGCAAGAGTATGCTACCCTACGAATATGAACCACTCGAATATTCATTGTGACAAGGATTTGTACGTATAACTGGCATGGTCGAGTCGGTATGTCGTTTGTCATCGTCAACGTCTCGTTCACTAGAAGAGTCGTCGATTTTATAAGAGAGAAAATTCTCAGAGACTCATTGACAACTGCAAGTAGAGTATTGTTCACTGGTGTTTGAGTATGTACTAATTATTTTTTACATATTTATATCCTGCAGAGACAATCAAAATGCAAGATAGGGATAAGTAAACTCTAAAATCCAATTGTTGATAATTATTTGAAAGTTATCAATGTAAATGAGAGGCTATTGCATTGAAGGAATCATCAAGAAACTCAAGAATCATACAATTGAGAGTAAGATAAGTGCGATTTAAGAATCACTTTTTAATGATCGCATCAAGCCCATTGAATTATCATCAATTGGAATGATTTCTGGCACAATTAGCTTGCCGGAAATATAATTCTATACATATCACATTTGACTTCGTCATCTATTCTTCTAACAGGAAACCTCAAGATTTATGGTTCAGCAATGGAGCGTAGGATTTGCATGTAAAAATTGAACGGATACCCCCGTCTGTGGTAAGATTTAGAAAGCTTCATTGTGTAGTGTCGACACACAGGAGAATGTGAAGTAAAGAGGTTAGATATGGAGGAGAAAATAAAGGGCGTAAGTGCGAGCCCACATCTACATCATTGAGGGGTAGATCTCGGCGCGGATAGTGCTTTATTTCATCAGAGAAAGGGGCAAATTCTAGATAGCATGCGGTACTTACTCGACCAGGTCCAATCCTTTGTATTCTGCATTTAATATTCTTTCGCGAACAAAGTAAAAACTGTTGGAATAACACTACGTAATCTTATCACCAACTTCGCCAAACGTGCAAATCTATAAATAATATTACATTGTTAAAGCACGATCGTGCTTTGAAATTTATAAAATATCTTCAAAACTCATCAATATATTTTGATACATTATATTTATTGCGAATATTTACTTCCATCAAGCCCGCATCTTTTTTTGTCTTCATCAACTTCATTTTGTCTTTTTGTCAATGAACCGAAGAATTCAAGATGATACTTCCGATAGCCCGCATTATTCCACAAGATTTCCTCTCTTGTTGTACTTTTATGTATTTATTACCTGATAATGTTACATAATATATCTATATTACTCATTATTCATAGAGATATTTGACGCATAAAATAAAGACTTAAATATATAAAGTTAAAACTATAGTTTTAACTTTATATAATTAAATCTATCTCTAATTTGATATATCTAATTTTTAATAAATTTATTTACTCTTAATAATTAAAAAAAGGTTCATAATTATACTACTTTATTTATTACTAATAAATAAAAAACATCATGATTATTTAATGATTAATATTAATTTATTCAAAAATAATTAAAAATTAATTTACAATAGTAAGTATCCTAATACATTTATTAGATTATTAACATTATTTATTAATAGTAAAAATTTGTCAATTTCATTCCTAAATCCTCTTACAATTTTTCCTAATCGATATTTATAAATAAATACATTACATTTGTGTGGTATGTAGATGATATATGTGTAAAAATAAAATCCAAAGTTCCGAAGAACGATAGAGAAATACGTAAGAGAAAGGAGAATGGAAAAGAGAGAACAAGAGCGTTGCTCGCTATTGTTTTCTCGAGTGGCACTCGCTGGTTCAATGCACATTTTCTACCAGAATATACTACCAGATGTGCGATACCAACTCCCTGTAGACGACGCTATACCTTCTGTATAGTTTTTCCACCTAACATTTGGTCTATTTCTTTCAAAATATTTCCATTTTTTTTCTATAATTTTCCAATTTATTACAATCTATTAAATTATTATAACTTAACACAAATTACTAAGATACTTAATTTAATAAGTAGCAAATGAATAAATGCTAAATAAAAATATTTACATTCTGTTATTTTTCATGATTCATAGTTTCTATCTAGCAAATAAACTCTTGATATTTATCAAAAAATTAAAAATATAAATTTATTATCTAAACTTTATTGAATTAAGAATGAAAATTAACCTAAAGATTCAAAATTCATTTTTTGAAAAAATATTATCAAATTCTATATATAGATATATATATATATATAAAGTATGCTTAGTTGAAACTTATTTGATAGGAATTAAATACAATTTTCACAAATTAATTACAATTCCATTGCACTATAAGAATTGAAAAATCAACGTGTTCTCCTGTTGCTATTATCACCTCCACCATTACTATTACTGCTATAATAATTTAGTTGCCTGTTTTTATCTGGACGTGAATAATAACCAGATTGTGAATTTTGTGGTCGATTATGCCAATTAGGTCTATTTGATGATTGCGAATGATAACCCATATGAAACTGTTGATTATAATTAGATGATGATTGATAATGCTGGAAAGGTGGGTGAGATCCGTATCCAGACGACCAAGGTCCATTGTTGTTGTTGTAGTTGTGGTTATTGTTACTGTCGTTATTATTATTGTTGTTATAACTTTGATAATTTCGATTATTCGAGTAATTCCCACTGTTCCTGCTTCCACTTACGTATCCAGAATATGTTTGATATCCACTTGAATATCCTGAAACAAAAAAAAGAAATACAATGTCAATTAAGTAAATAATAAATACATTATGGATATAATTTATTTAAAAATTTGGTATTCTAAAAGTACGTGCTTTATCAATCAATTGATAGTGCCAAGCGTCGAGTGAGGAGTCAATTCTTCGTATTTCAGAAACAATACGATATTAAATTTGAATAGAAACGTGGCGACGCGTGTCTCTCATCTATACGTGAGGTCGACTGGGGTTATATATTTGTTAGCATCATGAAACGTCATAACACCGCGTATTACACTTGTGATGCTAACAATGAATTTGTCAAATCGTTAGGACGATAAATAAACCTTTTTTTTTAATATAGCATGACACTCTATTAATCCATACAAAATTTACTCTGCTACATTACATAAATATCATAATAATTTTTTCTAATATTTTTTTTTTTGAGTATAAAAAATATTCAAACATATATGAAAGAAAAATTTCTCAAAAATGCTGATAAAGCGGATTAAAAATAATAAAACAATTAGGAGTATGTTGAAGTGCCCTCATTACTTGTGATACATACTAATCGCATAGCTCAGTTCAATTGAGCTCGTAATAAAAAGCGATAAGCGACAGTAATATTATGGAAGGGAAAACTAAATATTTTTCGTCCTCTTCTTGCTCTCTGACTCGCGGTAACAATAACAACCCCCATGGATTCCACACAGGAGAATGTAGGGGGCCATAATAATCCTTCCTGGTTAGAGAAAGAAGGGAGGTTTGGATGGTTTACATGTCGGATGATCCCTCGTTATTGTTGCATTTATGATAATAGTGTTCATTGACAGCTCAAATCGACCCGATCGACCTAATCCTTTTCTGACCAAACTTTACTTCATTTATGTAATATGTTGATCTGTCACAAAGTATATAAATGTATGTATGCATGTGTCTATGGATTTTTGCTACTATCCACTGGATGGACCCTGAATTGGATTGGATCGCCGCGTCAGCAATACAAACACTCGAAGCACGATGTCGGTCGGCGTCTGCCTCTCAGTCCTCGCTTGCTCTTGTTTCCAACTGAAATTACATTTTCCCCGTGCACATTCACCCTGCTACAGTCCGCTTCAATAACGTTTTTTTGTCCTCACTTCCGCTTTACCTTCTAATTTTCTAACTTTTCCCATTACATTCGTCATATTTTTTTTTTTATATTTTATTTTTTTAACTCGAGCCAAGCTTCGGTCACTGAAAGTACAATCTCTAATGCACCTACGCGTTTATTCTGGTGGCAACTACCACAAGAATAAAAAAAAGATTAAGTACGAAAGAAGACTGCTTGTTTCAAAGAACTAACGTTTATTTAACGTGGCTTTTACTCACACGCTATCTACAATATTTACTTATGCATAAGTAAACACGTGTACAGAGGCGAGAGGTACCGGTTAAGCTATAGAAAGAACCAGCTTCGAATGATGTTGGAAAAAAATGGATATTTTAAAATATGTAGATTAAATTATTCATATTATTATACAATACGAAAATTCGACTACATTGTTTATCTCTCTTTTATACAAGATTTTTTTTAATAAACATAATTGTTAAAAATTTGATGAAATAAATTTAAAAAATTTCAATAATTTTTCTGGAAGTATAAATTGGCTAATATTTGATCAGCACATCAATCTTTTTAAATATCCTTTGACATTTAATATCTTATGAAATTGAAAAAGTTACTATCACGAATGATCACTAAGAGCTGAATAATTTTTAAATATTAAAAAAATTTTTAATGAAATTTCAACATCTCTGTAAATTTAACTCTGACTACACGGTAAGAAACGTCAGAAAAAAATGTGGAAAAACTCCACAAACAAATTGCAAAGACGTTCAGCAAAGCATTATATAATCATTACATTTCAATGTTTTATTATTTCATATGTTTTTGATGTTTAATCTTGCATAATATGATTAAAAACAGATTAAATTATAAAAGTTAAGTATGGAGGAAAAATAATAGGAATGAATGATAAAAAAAAAACAAATGTGATAGGATGATAATGAAATACCGAGATTATGTTTGATGAATTTTGTACTAGATTCAAAGGAACGAACGGGAAGAGGAAAAAGCAGCAGCACGTAAAGACACCACAGCATTTCGCTGTGTTGCTGTCGACCAATAAATTTATCGAGCGGGTGTTGGCATGGTGACTACCGGACAGAGCTCGGTTGGGTGGTCCTGGAGGGCGCTGAGAGGGTACTTGAAGATCCTCCAGGAGGCCGGTATGGGCCAAATAGGGGGAGAACTAGCATCCGGAGGGAGCAAACGGTGAGGCGTAAGATGAAGAGCTGAGGGAGAAGAATAAGTAAAGGACGATATGCTTAGAACGGACGGAAGAGTAGAATGAAGAGGGGAAAAGTATCGATTTCTTGCGGTGATCCAATCAACGATGGCGCCATTTGCTAATATTTTCGCGCATATTATTATCAATCCTTTAATTAACTCAGTCAACATTAAAATATTACACATCTTTTTTCTATCTATCAACATATTAACCTTGAATTCCAGGTGTATTGTTAGTAATCCACTACTCAGACAAAAGCTCTTTTTATTTCTTATGCATTCTGATCAACTGTAACTCATTCCTAAGAGTATGATGGAATAACCTATGTATTGAGCATTACATGCAGTTAGAAGATTTACTGAAACACAGACAAACTCAATCCTAATCCCTTCGATATTGTTCCAAAACAATGCAACTACCCCCTAATTTGTTCCGGTTTCACGAATCTTTCTTCAAGCGTATCTAATGTCAAGTCAATATTTTCATAACTTACTTTGATAACAATTTTAACTTTAGACTTAAAATTTATATTTTAAAACAAAAGAATAATGATTATTTGTTAGGGTTTTTATCAAAATACATTACCAGTTTAGCAGAAAAAAATTAATGTATTCAGCTGGTAATTTTTTGTTTATAAAATAAGCAAAAATGTAAATTAGGATTCATACATGAAAGAATGCAAAAGTGGAAGGTCTAACGATGAAGGATTGTGGCGTTGTAGGACTCTTTACTAAAGAGTTCTCTCGAACCTACTCCTGTTCTTTTTTCAAGTCCTTTTTACTACTCAATTATTAAATAAATCAACATGACTATTTATACATATATTTATGGACAAGGTTTTATCACAAGTATTATTACTGATATCTAAATAAAAATTCACTCAATTGTCTTTAATTGTTGAGGTATTTTAAACAATTTAAATAAAATAGAATTTTCAAAGTGACAAATTTTTGGTGGACCATCAAATGTGGTGATAAACAATTGAAATAAATTAGATGATATTTAAAGAAAATTGACGAAACTTGAAAAACAAAAGATGATAAAAAAATTAGGAGATCAACTTGACGTATTGTAAAGTATACAGACAGTGTCCTCGACTCTTCTCATCTCACTTTCCTTTGATTGTTGAGTTTAGTGACTAATGGCACACGAAAGTAAAGAGCGTAGATACGAAGAAGAAAAGCGTCGTCGAGATTTGTGCTTCGTCCGCGGCGCCTCAAGGGTTTTTTACCGCGCAATCGTGTACGTTCCTACTTCGTATTAAGTACGTATAGAAGACTTGCCTACGTAGGTGTAAGAATCCCTTTTCGCGTGTTAGTGCCGCCAAGAGCCCTTGCTTTGACTCCAAACTCAGAGTCTCACTGAATGCCTCTCTATTTCTGAGTACGTGCTTCTAAGTGCATCCTGATTTTTTCGAACTTCTTTTAACATGCGCTCACTGTTCACATGCTTCCTATTTCACATAATTTCAAATCATCTCGATAGCTTTTTCCCCTGTCATTAAATTTATTACCACCAATTCACTGTTCCTGTTTTTACCCTATTTAGCTACTTTTTTGTTTACTTTTTTTCCCCTTTTTATTCATCAATCAAAATTATATTATTAATCATTAAATATTCATTCAATAGGGTAAAATAATTTTATTTACTTCATGTAATGTACATAATACTTATAATTTACGATCAAAAAATGCTATAAAAAATACATGCAATTAATTTATCAATATAACACTTCCAAAAGAAGGACATACTATTGTGTGCTGAGATATTGACATTAAAAAGTTACCTTTATTATTATCGGAAATAGAATAATAAAATGTAATTTGATAGCATATTATTAAAGTTAGAAATAGTCAATAAATGTATCATCACTTGTCTAATAGTATTTTACCAACAAGATAGATCATTTTCCCATCTAACACCCAACAGCATCATCAATTGTATTTCTATGTTATGGATACCATGAGTAATTTGATATTTTTCATTCTTGATTTTTCTATTGTTAGAATTTTTCCAAATTATTGATATTGATCTTCAAAAAATCAAAATCTAATATTAGTCATGCAATTTATTGTTAAGAGAAAAAAATTAATAGCATTCTGTATAACATTCTTTTCATAGCTTTTTATTATTATTATTTTTGTTGATTGTTATAAATAGCACGCATGAACGAATCAAGATCGAACGAGCGAGAATAAATGAGGTCTCTAGTGAAAATCCGATTGGACGGATCATCCGGTGACGCACAGTAGCACAATAGCCGCGAGAAGAGTCCTCTCTACAATCAGGTTCCCTCACTCGACGTGGAAATGAGGTGGAAAACCGTACCCCATCATATTTTACCCATCAACCTTCTTATTTGTTCAGCATCCTCTAGTCTGACGGATTTATGCTTTATATGGTTTTGATATTACTATTACGAAGCAACGACCTGTGAGGTCCATCATCTAATTGCGGTCACTTACGCACCAACGCACTTTACTTTACCGGAAGATCTAGATGGTGTACATCAGCTTATTTCTACTAAGAGACTCTAACTAACTATCTTCAATGAATTGTTAATAAATTATTTTAAATCATCTAAAAAATTGAATTAAATCTCAACCTTTTACTTGAATGTTTTATAAATAGCATCATGAGAACTAAAAAATAATGATAAAGCACAGGTGTAGGATACCTGTAGTGAATTGTTCATAGAAGATTCTATAGACGATTACGAAGAATAGTTCCTTTTGCATCACGGAAACACGGTTTATTTACTAACATCAAGATTTTATACTGCTTCATTAATTTTAACGGCTCTATTCTATACTATAATTTCGATCAAAAAATGAATGTAGCTGTCTAGAAGTATACCTCAAGAGTATCAATGTGCTTAAACTAGCAAATTGTCCAATTGAAATGATTGTATATTGTGCTCATAATTATCACTTTATTCATAAATGAAATATTGAATAACAATAGATGATGGTATGTTTTGTGAAGGGTATGTATTCTGAAAAGATAGATGTAGAGAATGAAAAAGGGGCATTTAAAGTACAATACATTTCAATACCAGAGTTAAATTAGCCGCGACACTGGCAGTGACGCTTGTCACCCTCTTAGTGATGATAGTCGCGTGTCACTGATATGATGATAGACCGTTAGATTCTAAAATAATCAACTTGCATTTTCTACTGCGTTCAAAATTGATAGAAGAAGATTTGTCTAATTTATTAATCAATTTATTTAATTTATTGATTAATGGAGATATGTTAATAAAACGAATATGATAGGTGGAAAAATAAAAAAACGATAATTTAACTTTTCATCTGATACATAAAATCATGAAAAGAATATAAAAACAATGATAAAAATAAAGACAGTAAGTAGGCGAGAAGCTTGGCACATGGAAAAGAGGGAACCGCCCTCGCAACTCACTCTCAGTCAAGTACCAAACTGGCAGACAGTCTCACTAATTACACCGTGCCTCATTAGTGAGAAAGACCCTGGTACCTTAGGGGGTACGCGAACACGTACGACCTCCCTTTGGCCTCATTGAGAAATTGATTTTCACTTCACTGACAAGGAGTGAAACAAAATCAAGGAGATACGAAGCCTCTGTGAAATGTGAAGGACGTTCTTTACTCAGCACAAATTTTTTATGTTATATAACAAGGAAAAATACATCACACTTATTAGTTCATTCTAAACTATCATATATTAACGCTAAGATTATAATTGAAAATACTTTTTTGAAATATACGAAAATGAGAATTTTATATAGAACATAAAATAAAATACTAATTCGGTGAATTGGTAGGTGGGTAGCAGAGCATAGCACTCAAACTGGTGGCTTGTCTTGTGCCATGGCAGTCCCGTGCTAGCTTCGAGTGTTTGCAGTCCACTCAAAGCTCGACCTGAACGAGCCCAGTGAGTTGGGACCTGCTGCTATCCGTTGGCACTATTGCAGCACTGCTATATACTCATACACATTTGCCTATCTATATATCATTCTATGTATTTATATCCATATATATATATGTAGATAGATGGGGAACTGAGAACAGAACATGATTTGTCTAACGAGGATCTCCACCTGTCATCTGAATGAACACAGTGAGATGGATGGATTGCTAAATGCTCGTTCCTATCCTTTTTCCATTCATTATCATTTTTTTCCTTTCTGTCTTTCAATCATACATTTTATACGATTAACCTTATTTCATTTATATCTAATATCAAGTGCTGTCCAAAAATATCTTCACGTTTTTATTTTATTTTCTCGAATTTTTCATAACGGAAGAAAAAAGAACTTTATTTCTTCATGAAATTAATATATCAAGTCTGTCATTAAAATAAAATCACTAATTGGTAAGTTTACCTTAAACGAATATTCTCTTTAAAATAATTAAACTACAGATTCGGTAACATATTAAAACAAAAAAAATATTATCGATATATGAAATAAACGTGCATACATACATATATATTAACGGAATATAACTGGAATTTTTATAGAAGCGTGAGATTGCAAGAGATCACAATGGATCACGGTTTGAATTGATCGTCAATGAACATAAGGGGCGTAAACGGCACGTTGCCAGGATTCGAATAGGGAGTATACGCTAATTGGATAATTACGGCGTACACTGGGTTTGTTTTATAATTGGGCAAAACGTACAAGCAATGTAGAACCATTTGATGGATGTGTTAAACAACAAAACGTTCGGAGTCACGCTCTACGTGACAAACTACCCTCACAGCTAATCCAACAACAAATCCTTCGGCCCGATAACAAACCCCAACTTTTATTCACTATTTCGCTCATCATCACTAATCTACACTCAAATTTTTTTTTTTTTATTACCATCTCTTGACGAATCTATTGACGAATTTTTTTTAATCATTTTAATCCACTGACAGCTTTGAAATTTAACTGGTAAAATACACTATGATCTCCAATAATTTTCAGGATAAAAGCAACACCGAGAAGAGAACTTTTTGAATTTTATGCGGATTTTTCGTAGAACTTTGGTAAGATAATAAAAATGAAATTGAACCCTCATACACATTTTAATTGTACTCTAGTCGACTACGATATAGGAATAAGGGAGATCGAGTACAAACAGTAAAGAGCGATTGACTGAGTGACTAACTCTGGGATTCATGGGGTTATACAAGTCGTTTCTCATCCCATCATTAAAGCACCCTCGCAAATATACATGTGCAAATACTAGACCGACTTTTTGAACTTTTATCTTCCATTTTAAAGCATTTCTGCCAATCAATAAATATCTCATATTATTGCAATTATTGCTCTCAGGTTATATTATTATTCCTATCCTATCAAGTCCCTATTTCGCTTTAAAATATTAAATCAGTCAAAAACTTACCATAAGACGACTGCTGATATGATGAATTGTTTGGTGCAGGAACTGATGAATACTGTCCTTGGTGTCTGCTTACATGATGTCCCAACATTCGGTGTCCAGCATCTCCTAGGGAAGCTTTATGTTTCGGAGGACCAAAGCCAATCCTAGGTACCCATGAATTGTTGTGATCCTTATTCATTTGTTCAAAGTCTTGAGGCTTCAAGACACGTAGTGGCTCCTTGACGCCTTTTAATCGTCTCGCCGGAAATATGAAATCGCTATGGTATTTAGGATCTCGGAACCTTACACTGAAAAGATAACATTTTATTATTAGCTTGATTGCTTTAATCATTAAATTGATATCATTAGATTTGTAGGAAAATAGACTTACCAGTAGACCATATTGCTGCGAACGGGTAAGCCGTTGATGGGAGATGGTAACGTCGCACCTTCTCCGACACAATCTTCAGCTAATAAAACAGTTCCACGCATGCCATCTATGGATATGTCAATCTCTGCATTTGGATCTACTTTATTGGTATAAAGTCCTTTTATCAAGTTATATCCACTATTTCCTGGACCAACGTATAATCTATCATCACCTCGTACGTTACGTTTTTCTAAGAATCATTAAATACAAAAATTAGTTATCACATTATGAAAAATTTTTCATGTTGATCAGAAGATGAATTAGTTTTATACTTACTTTCAGCTTCTGTTAAACATTCGTAGTAAGGTTCCAGGGCTTTGAATAATCGAGTTTCATCCACAAATGGCAATAAAGCAACTCCTTGCCAAGCAAATTTCTTTCCATTGAGATCGATTTTGAAATCTTCCGGATAAAAATCAATGATTGGAGATTTCTGAGACAAAAAAGGGGGAAAAAATTTATTATTACATGAAAAAATAATAGGCAATACTAAAAAAATTGGTGATTATTATTTTAATTACTTACCGGATCTTTCATCAAGGCTGCCCATGGTTCAGGAACATGACGACTACTTGCTGCTGGGAAGACCCCCATTAGTTGTTCAAGTGGTCGAAACTGAAATTTTAAATAATACCAAGTTAATTTTACATTCACAAATACAAGTTAAATTTATTTTGCTAATCTTTATTAATGAATATTATAGCTTACCGGTACAGTTCCTTTCTCGAATTCCGTTGATAATCCACCAATGTTGATGAAGTCACTTGCAAATGGAGCATAGTGGTAAGGAAAATACCATTTCCAAGAAGCACAGCCTTGATAATAATACCGCAGAACCCAGCACAATCCACGAACATACTGAAGAGCAACATTATTTCTGAATTCAAAATTATCTGACTTGACATCAAATTTTGATTCATAGTATCGGTCTTTGAAACCATCCTCCCAGAGTCTAACTTCATCATTAGCTTGATAATCATCTTCTTCTTCGTCAGTATTATCTTCATGTGACCTTTTTTTACCACGATTGTTTGAATTCTCTGGTACTAACATACTATCTAAAGCTGTTTTAGAATTAGTATTTTCTAAAGCACGTTCAGTAGCACTTGTATGGTAATTTTGACCAATCATACGCATTTGATATGCTTCATAACGTGCATTTTGAACTGGTTTGACTTCTTGACCCAAAGGAACTGGTGCAAATTGTCCAGTAGGTATCCATTTTGGTTTGAAATTGCTGATTGCTTCCAATCTTCTTTTCTTGTTTTTCTCACGTTGTTTGAAAGCGATTTCATTTTGTTGACGTTTCTTGAAAATTTCATCCTCCATCTCACCCAACTCTGACAATATTAGTTGCACTCGATCCAAGTTAACATCACCACTATCTGTTAAAAATCCTCCTGTCTTATAGACGGTTTTTTTATATAAAGTAACCAGTCTATCAATTGCTCCTTCTCTGATTTCCAACGATGGTAGATGAGGTAAAAAGTCATTACCCACAAAGAAACACATGAATACCCAATCGTCCACTGCACGTTCAAAATCATATTGGAATGGTAGATTGGGCATTTGTAACTCTCTTTCCAAATATTCACGTAGAACATTGAGGCGCACAAAAATAAATTGACACTCAGATCCAAATGCAAGTTCTTCTTTCTTTTGATCAGGCTCAGCTCCAGTACAGTCTTTCATTTCATGTCCTAGTTGTCCACAAATATCACACGGTCTCGGTTTATTTGGCTTAAACTCTTCACGAATAATAGTAAAGTTTGGTTCGTGAGTAGCAAGTCCAAGCATAATTAAATCAGCATCAGCTCCACACAAGACGTGTTGTGTATTAGGATCATGATCTGGTTGAGCTGAAAATAATTTATTTCGTTAGATAACAGTAAATTTTTGTATTAATGCAAAATTTGTGTAAAAAATATTAGAGTTGGAAATTTACCTCTTTGTCGTCGAATAAAATCCATGATTTTATGTTCACCTTCTCCTGGTACATTAGCATCGCTTAAAATGACTTTGATATTCTTCCATCCAGGATCATTATTCAATCTTTCATGAATATAATAATGTAAACAAGTCGATAAGCGGGCCATAAATGGAGTACCCGGAGTAATACAATTACTATCAAAATGATCTTCTTTGGGCTTTTGTGGAGGCAAAAATGCACCTTTTAATGCTAATTCTGATCGTATCCTATCCATTTCGGATATCTTTTCAGTAGTTTCCTTGGATGCTCGGAATCTACGAGATCGTTGTTGATTCATTTTAGCTCTTGGTGCTACTCCATCAATCGCCATATACAACAGCTTCCTGGGTCGTACAATGCAGAACAATCTATCGATGCATTCGAAGATTGCTTCCATCATTTCATCTTCATTTTTTGGAGCGGGTCTAAAAACAATAATCACTTAATGATTTCTCAATTCTAATTAATGAAAAATTATCAAATCACTTTAAAAAACGGTACTCACTTATCTTCTGGATGTGTGCAAGGATGAATGATGCCATTCATATCCAAATATAAATTGTCAAACTCGACTCCATTAGGATTTGGCTCGGCCGAATTAATTGGAACTTGCATTCCATCAACATTGAACGACTGTAAAAAATGCAAAATGTAAGTATTTGCAATAGGCAACTGTATAAAGATGAATTATAAATCGAAGTTTTAGAAATATCTTTTAATGTTTGCAAAACAACCTAACCTAAAATGCTCCGAAACATTACATACCTTTTGTTCAATACATTCCACTATCACCGACGGATATTTCCGACTAAGCCAACGGAAGAATGCTGGTACACCCATGATTCTATGCTTTTTTCACTTTAATGAATTTATATTGCTATAAAAACAATCAACACAACAATGGCACTATTGAAAAACTATAGCGATGTTCACTCAATAAGACGCACTGTGCAACTGATGAGTCTGGCGTTGGAGGGGCTGGGGTATACTGAAAATCTGGCAGCACCGTCGCTAAAGCGCCTTCAATGGCAGAAATAAGAACTAAATAACAATAGGAAGTTCAACGTCATCGCTATGAGTCCCCACTCTACCTTCTAAACTGTGCATTCATTGGCTGTACGGGTACGACCCAAAGGCCAGCTGGAGCCAACCCAGAAAAGGAAAAATAAAACCGTGCATTCGAATTGTAATATTTTTTAAAAAAAAGTGAAAAATCATAATTTCATCGATTAAACAAACATGTAATGAATGATTTATCTAAAAAAATGATTTTTATACAAATAAATAAATTTTTCCATTAGTTTTTATAGAAAAATATGAAACAGGATCAACTGTCTTTTATTTAGCATTGAATATTTTATCAAAGCAAAGTTTAATTTATAAAATACTCAAATTACATCCCTTAATACGATTTAACACATGACTCTCAGCAATTTTTGAGAATTGCGGACGTTTTAGAAGATCATATGACATTTTAAGCATTCGGAGTGCAGTCTGTTGAACATATTTACTTCCAAAACTAAATAAATCATGACCTAGCTCAAGAGGAGTTCCAAAATCACATTCATCAGCTGCAATTGTTGCAAGTCTGATAACTTCTTGAAGCTTACTTAAATAAATTTGTCGAATTTCATCAGATTCTGCTTCATCTATTTGTTTCAATAATTTCAAAAGATGACCTTAAATAATCAAAGCAATGCATGTTTTATTTTATTATTAATTCTTTATAACTAATATTTATTGAAACGATACAAGATGAATCTACTTACTATCAGTTTCTGCTAATGGTCTATAACCTAATTGAGTTTTTGGATCAAACGGAACAACAATTCCAGCACCATGAATTGTTTTAGCTACAACTTTTTTATTTCGTAAAGTCATTTTCTCAGAAGTTTTATCTAAATTAATATTATACTTTTTAGAATAATTTGTTAACTTTTGCAATAACTGCGATATTTTACTTTTTTCGAATAAATTTGCTGATTTTAATTTTTCTGCTATGTGTATTCTGAAATAAATTTAATTATCTTTTACTTTCTAAACTTATCGTTTTCATATAATTTGGAGAGTAACAATAATTCATATTTAACGTTGAACCATCGGAAAATTTCCCATACCTTACTGCACTAAATAAGTCAGGTGCTAAGGGGATTATCTTGTAATCCCTATTCGCAGAATTTTTAGCTACAAAAACCGGGTTTTCCCCAGGATCATCACGCCAATATCCATAGTGCAATCCGTCTTTATTATCTCCTTTTAAAATGGTCTATGGAATACCAAGTAATGTTATTAAAGAATTTTATGACCTGCAATAGAAGAGAAAGAATACCTGAAACTCCGGAACATCATGAAAATATCGCCAATGTCTCAAGTATTTAGTTTTATCATCAGGTACACAAGTTATTTTCCCATTTAATACATCATAAGGACCGACAAGTTCTAAATTGACAACACTTAGAGCAGAACATGGATTTTGAGGAGATAAAGAACAGCAAAATTCATAAAATTGATAGAAATCGTTTGGCATTCGCACCAAAAATGTTTCAAGGATGATTTGCTGTTTGTCAATGGGAATTTTTATTCCATTACTATTGTCATCTGCATGAGTATCATCATTTTCATTACAAATATCTGGAGATTGACTTTCATCGGTGACTTTACGTTTGTGATCCTGTGTTGAAACAAATTCTTCATCAACTTCACTACTTCTACGTTTTCTCTGTTTACTATCATCTTCTGTATGATTCTGAAAATTAGTAATTTAACGTAAAAGATTTACATATGATTTTCTTAAATTGTAAATAATATTTTATTAAAAATGTTCCTTATTTTAACATACAGGTTGTCTAGGTAAAGGATGCTTGTATTTTTCATGATGCTGTTTATTTCTCTGGTAACACTCGGTACCGTATTTACAAGGAATACGGGTGTCTTCATATTCTGTTAACATTCCTTTCTTGTCACCCATTTTATGAAAGAATATAAGCTTGTTATTTACAATCGAGTTTTCAAGAGTTTAAATTTTAAATATTTAAGTAAAAGAAATAAGAAAAGACAAAACTCCACTAGTCAAAATAATATAACCTCTAAAGAGATTTATTACACGAGGGATTAGCATACAAGTAGATGTTTCATAAAGGTATAGCAGGTCAATAATTTAGAAAGCCTCTACAGACCGACCGATAGTTGCCGCTACCCTAAATCAAGCAACGTCACGCTTCCAACCTGCACGTGGTACATCAAGGTAACATGGATTATGTTTACTAACGTTCTTTCGATTTTTATTCTATTTTGTAATTAAAAAAAAAGAATATACTTAAAAAGTTAACAATAAATTTGCTTAAATCTAATTTCAGTGATTTAAAAAGTGTTTTGCAGGAAGCTTGTCTTTTTGATTAAGTCAATTGAATTTTAAATTCTGTGTTGTGTAGTTCAATAAGCGTTTGTTGTATTTATTTTATAAGCATATAAATATTAGATAGTAATCTAATTATAATGTTATTGAATAAGGTAAATTTTTTAAAATTTTAATGAATTATGTAGTTTTTATTCTTTCTCTATTTCTTTTTTTAAACAAAAACTTTACTCAAGTAATAAATTTTATTTATAGGTTATCAACTCAACATTCCGGCATACATGCCGGTTAAACAGTCGACTCTTTTCAAGTAATGTTACTGAACTAAACCATCTAGAAAAAAGTAAGACAAATATTAATTGTCAATAATATAATATATAATAATATAATTTATTTTCGTTTTTTATAATATCTTGAAATATTTTAAAATTGAATAATTATTCGTTTTTATAGCATTAAATCAAGTTAGTCTTCTTGGGAGAGTTGGAGGAGATCCTCAAAAAAGAGGTTCAGAAGAGCATCCTGTAGTTATTTTTTCTCTTGCTACACATACTAATTATAAAGTCGAGGGCGGTGAGTTATTAATTTTGCACAATATTGATATAAAAAAAAATGTCGTTGGAAATGCGTTTAGCAAAAATATTTCATTGAATTTATTCTAGGCGATTATGTTCAACGTACTGATTGGCACAGAATATGCGTATTTAAACCTTTTCTTAGAGATACCGTTTACACTAATTTAAAAAAAGGCCAACGAGTGTTAGTCAATGGACGATTAAGTTATGGTGAAATAAAGGATGATAATGGGAATCAAAAGACCACTACAGCAATCATAGCTAATGATGTAATATTTTTCCCATTCCAAAAAAGTTAAATTGTATATAAATATGCTAGAGGTTTTTGATATAAATATTTGAAGTATATTTTTTGCAGCGTAAAATTACTTTTTTTGTAAGGAAAAATAAAAAAAAAAGTATAATCAGTTGATGAATTTATATTTACATCATCCAGAATAATTTTATAACAATTAGAATAAAATGACATTAAATCTAAAATTTTACACTTTATATATTTGTCTTTACACAATATGTTTATTTCTTACAAGGTAGTTGTATAAATGTTCTTGACATTGCTGTGACGGTTGAAAGCATATCCTATAACATATACTTTCTATTCTCATAATATAATTGTAGATTACTAAATTAACGGCATTGTTTGCATTTATCGCCGCTAATGTGTTATCTATATACATTTGATAGATGGAAAATTAAACATTTATATATTTTCAAAATTTTTAATAATATTATGCTCTCATAAATTTATAAATTCTACTCTGCACACATTCATTTATCCTTTAATGAATGAAATATTTCTTTTTACCTTATAGAGATCACAGTATATGAGAAGCCAGATATTAATTTTTATATTTATTCTAATATACTAATTTTCACACATTTTTTTTTAATAGAATTTCTATCGCATTAATTCACAAGTATCATGATAAGTGAGTTTCGTGAAAAAATACATTTTATAGACCATCGTATGATACATTTACGAAATTGTCAATATTGTAAATGAGGTACTTTATGAACAGATACTGGTATAATTAAATTTTTACCCGATTGTGGCTTTGAATTTTCCGAAATACATATCAATTTAGTTACTACGTGGAATGTAAAGCCACCAAAGAATTCTAAATAATATACAAATTTCGAATATAAATTTTGGTATTAAAATATATTTATATATATGTATATGTACATAAAATTAAATGTATATATACACATATATACTGTTTGGAGACATATATATCCATTATCTTTTTATATATAAATTTAAATATAACTCTGGCCCCAAATTTTTATAAAACATTTTTTCTATTCTTGTGATTACTTTTTTCTTAAATCGCATATATATATATTTATATTTATATTGTTATATCTAAAAGATATTTATTTACACTAAAATTTCTATACTTGCTCATATAAATCTATTTTTTTTTTAAGATTGCAACCTGCCAAATATATTCGCACATGCTTAACTTTGTATTGTTGAAAAATTCGTTAAGGCTTAGTGCAAAAATTGGCGAGCCTTAATAATACATACATTTCGTACATTGAAAGCTTATTATAATAAATCAGCCTTCATGTACATAAAACAAAATTATTTTTTCTAATATTAAGGTAACGTTCTTGGCACATCTTTATCCGAATATGTACGGATTATTTTTCTCTTAATTCAATAGTTTATATATTCGATTTATGCGCACAATTTCTTATTATGACTATTTTAACTCACTGCAACTCTACCACTCACACTATTATTCTTTATTAAAAATCATTTATTACTCTGAGTATATCATTATTACTATCAACAATAGCTTTCCTCTTTATATTCACATTTTCTTTATAAAAGTCAAAATAATAAGAATGACTGGATATTGAGCAGATGGCATAAAAATAGTCACATCTCGATTAAATTTATATTTAATTATTCAATCTCAGCTTGAATTTCTTTTTCCATTTTCCTTTGAATTAAAGAAAAATAAAAAATATCACGACTGTACTGAAGTCACTGGAAATCCAGTTGAAATCTCATACGGTAATTTAAATGATATACATTTTACATTTAAACAGATCATTAATGAACGTAGGAGATTTTATAAAACGTTCCAAAAAAGAAAAAAAAACAAATTACGATCATTTTGGATTGTCAATTTGTATGAATCAGTCTTCTTTTTAGATTCACTTCGGTACAATAATAAGCTTGTAAAACGTAATAGTCTTTTTAAGACATCTGATAACAGCGACTATTTATAAATGTAATCGAATGTGTCGCTGCTAAGTTTCGCGTCACTTCCGCTCTTCCGGTTCTTGATTAGTTTTGACAAGATTATATGCATGGCTGCGATACTTAGCAGGAGGATCATGAAGAGAAAGAGGCTGCTCACATGTTGGTTGATTCATGCTTGACATTGAAAGATCTGTTGGCATATCAATTTCTGCTTCTATTCCATTGCCAGACACTGTACTCTCATCATCAGGCTCTGACTTTATTCGCATTTGCTGACGTAATAATGAAATATTCTTTATATTTTTTAACTCCGTTGGATTACGAAGAAATCTAAAATTATATTTAAAATATTTGTTAAATATTGCCTATTTTAAAATTCAATCAAATTATTGCAATAAAAAATCATTTCCACTTACTGATAACAATGACGTTCTCCTTGAACTTTCCTGAGTATATTAACACGATAATAATAACGAAGTGCTCTACTCATTTTATCATAATTCATTGACAAATGATTTTTTTGAATACCCCAAAGACGAGCAAGCCCTGGTGGATCAACTATTTTGAAAACTCCAGTTTCTCGACTTTTCCACGCTATGTAATGTGTATATCTTTGTGATGGATCATTTAATAGCTGTTGAAGAAAGTCCCATAATAGTCTGCCATCTTTATTTTAAAAATAAAAAGCATACATTAGAAAAAATGTTATTATGTAAAGTAGACGATAAATATTTTGTTGACATGTTAAAACATACTTGTATTTGGTTCGGATGTGTCACTGGAAAAAAATTCTCGTGCGACAGTTGAAGCAGGTCGAAATCCTCCAGGCGTGAGCGGCATCAATTGAGATGACAAAGTGGGACTTGGTTGATCCTTGACGCAAACTTCACTGAGTCTCTGAGCCGTAAGAGCCGTAGGTGTTGCAGGCGGGCTACTACTACTTTGATGATTGTCTTCATCTGAATCACTTTTATATACTTGAATCTGATTACTACTTTCTGTGTGACCGGGAGATCCCGCCTGACTATCAACTGACGGTGCCGGCGAAAGTGTCACCGAGTTGGCAGACATGAGTGAGGCAAGATTTGCCGCATATGGACTTTCTACCCATGTCGGCGTTGGAGGATGAGAATGAGGACTCAGAGGGTAAGCTGAAGACCTCGTAGGCGTTACTGGACTGCTTGGAAGACATCGTTGCAGTTGATTGAAATCTCGCGCTAACATTCCGAGAACATTATGTAAAACATCACCCGCACCTGGACACCTCTCACCTAAATCGGATTTCGTTAAGAGACACAACGCTTTTCCATTCATTTGAAACATGTCCATATCGATTTGCGGTAAATCAAACTCTCTTTCAGCCCATCGTAGAAATGTTACAACATCCTCCCTCGACCATACTCTTGGATCAGAAGCTGAAATAAATATTTATTTATATTAGTTGCATAATTACAGTTATCACTTATACAATATTCATTAGATTCTAAAAAAAAATACCAACCTAAACTTGAAGGCAAATGGGTTTTAAAATCTAGTAAAGGACTCTGTGGTGGATGCGATGGAAAGCTCATGGTTGGATATCGCCATAACAAATCTGTAGGACTGAAAGGTAGAGATATCCCTGGTGGGAGACGGGACTCCATTCCCGTCATGCCGCCAGCAGTAGAGACCGGCGGTAGTTGCGGCAACTGAATCGTCGGCAATAGTTTCATAACACAACGTTCACTCTATCACTCGAGCTGTAACAAAAAATAAACAAGTTATTAATGTCGTAAAAATTTATCTTTCATTTTCTTCCTATTAAGGTTGATTTAAAAATATTAATCAGATTTTCGTAATTCTATCATATAAGAAATACAAGTAAACAATTAATTTAATATCATTAATTAAAATTAAATGTTTGAAATAAAATTTCCGTTTTACTAAGTAATAGTATTTACAAAATTTTCATTGTTCAATGTACGCGAAACGTTTGGCAGCATGTTGCATATATAAGAAATATTGATGGCAATAGCAGGAAGAACAGTATCCGTTCTTGTCCCGGATTTGCATATTATATTTTCATCGACGTCCAAGGTACTTCCGTTAAAAAATCGACCTCGACAAGAAGAAAGAGAACACATATATTTTTAATTACATTGGCCTCGAAATTGAAATTCTGACGAGATTAATATTAATTCTTTAAAGACACACCACGAGTGAAGTCATCGTCAATTGGCTTCAGTATGTATACTGACCAATATTGACCCCACTTACTACAATTTATTTATTAAACAATGAACGTTGCGAGAAATTATTGATGAAGAAAAATATTGGCTAGCACACATGTTGCTTGAATATTTCGTGTAACTGCAGACTGCTAGATTAACGTTAAAGTATCACCATTGAAAGGCCATGACGTGGAAGATGGCAATTTCCTGGTGCGAGTGAGCAACACGAGACAACGGCACATCGACCTTCGCGTGCCGGGAGTCCGCCTTCTCTTCATGCCTTCTCTCCTCTCTTTTCTCTTCCATGTTCCCCTGCTTCTTCTCTTTCCTTGTCACCACAACATCACTGTCATCGTTGTCCCGATCGTTTCCTTCTCTCACTTGCTCTTTCTTTTTCTTACTTCTGGTTTCTTTATCTCATGCCTTCATGTATATACGTTACCTTTCCGCTCTCCACTACTTCAATTCTTACGCAAGAAAAGTAACAGACCAGATTCTCCTACGTAGCGGGTTCTATACTTTGAGTGCTAGAACTTGGAAGTTTTTTTTTTCCTACAGACATCACACATTATATTATGTACTTGGATCATCATATCTTAATCAGAACGATTACAATGAGGATGAAAAAGAAAACAAACGTACTCTTCTGCGAATTAAAACTTAGTCTAATGAAATATCAATTAGTGTTATATCATAATGAAGTATTTTATTCAAATGATAACTTGAAATGATTTTTAAAAAATTGACATAGAAGATTAAAGTGGAAACAAATAATGTATAAAATGAGAATAATCATGACAATGTTAAAAGAATAATGACATAAAGGATGCATGTACAGAATTAAGGAGAGTATGTACGAGGTCGAGATACGGGATCGCCTTAATCGACTTGTCGGAAGTCGATACAGCGAAAGGTCTCACGTTTGAAACGCGACCTCGTGGCTAAACAAGCGACGTTCTTAGTCTGCAGCTGGCCCACTAAGTCAGGCCAAGTGAGGCCAGGCCAGGTCGACTCCAACTTTACAGTATTATCAGAATCAGCAAGAAAACCATAGGTGCGCCTTACATTGTCTTGGTTCATGTCAAAAGTTTGTAATATAATGCTTTATTCATAAAGCAACACGAGAGCTTTACATAATACATATCGGCCAACCAACGGCAATCGGCTTTAGGTCTCGCTTTCTCGCAGGAGAACGCGTAAGAATGGCGCAATCCGGAAGCTTAACACTCAAGTCAATTGAGCACCACTGTAGTCGATTCCGCGATACTACGAGCCTGCTTGTTTGCTACTATACGATGCACGATCTCGCAAGAAGTTACGCTCCTGGGAAGAGTAGTGACCTCTTCTCTTCCTCCTCTTTTTCTTTTCCTTCTTCACTTCTGTCCCCATCTTCTTTACAGCTTCTGCCAAAGAGTACGTTGCTTAAATGGTTTTAATAACGTCACTTGTGCAATTGTCGAGGCGAAAATTCATCTGCCGCTTCCTTATTTTCGTTCAATTCCAAGCCTTTAATTCCTTAAATCATGCGAATTGTGTTTATTTTCATTTATTCCAATTGCAAGCTAACTATTTTCTTAATTACTCTTTTTTTTTTCTCTTCAACTGCGTAATATAGACAGCTGAAATAATCATGATTGCTCATTGATTTTCATTTTATTAGAACTTGAGATATAAAATAATTCGTATATACAGCCGATTAGTATTCTCAACAATTAGCTCTTTACATTTGTCTTCCACGAATAAATAATACTTTTTTTGCTCACGTTCCTTCATTAATATTACTTATATCCTTCCGGGTTCGTCACCTTTTTTTTTCCTGCAGTATTGCCGCACTTGGTCGTATTCGAAGAGAAAATTACTTCTCATGTTGGCGTCACTACGTGGGATTAAGAAATATTTAAACAGGTGATATAACCTGTTGATATAACAAATTTTAGATAGAATTACGTATTTAAAGAATATTGATAATTGATAACGCAATAATGTATTCTGTACTTTTCTTCATAGTAAATGAATAGTTCTTTTCAATTTAATGATATCTACAATAATATGGAGGACGATTGAAAAAAACATAAATTTTTTTTATTATTACAATTTAAATATTGTTTTATGATATGTTTAAGTTTGAAGTCCAAAATTCATTGCTCATAAATTCAATTTATATAGATAAATGTGATAAAACAACGGGAGCAGTAACTCGAATATTTCCGAATGATGTTCGGGAATAATCGGTCATTCCCGAGATGAAATAACGAGACACAAGATGGTACGCGACATCGACATGACGCCCAGCTAGTGTAGGGAGGAGGTCTGAGTCGTTTGTTAACTAGTTGAGCATGCGCCATATTATGTGTGCAAACATAATCGTTCGTTATGCGTGCGTCAACGTATAGTAAACACATAGTAGACAATGTTAGTTTAATCGCTCAATTATAAATTATATTCCTAAATTATAAAATTAATATTAATTTTAATCAACTTCCTAGTGGGAAATTATTAACCGATTAATAATCAATGAAGAAAATGAACATTATTAGCATAAATCATATATCATCGAATACCACTATTGTTTTTTCTTTTGAATTAATTGATTATTCATTAGTAATCTAATTATATTAAAAGAATTACTTGGAAAGAATGATAGAAGCTTTAATAAATCAAGTTGGAGTTTGATTGTAAGAAAAATCGCACGTGGTAATGATAGTCCTAAATAAAAGAAAAAGAAGCCTTGTGGAGGCCAAAAGGCGCCAGTATGATGGTGTTTGGGGTCACCGACCGATCCAGGGTCGCACACAAGGAACCAAGAATTCGCAAGACACATCTACTAACATTTATTTCTAATGAAAATGACGTATGAGGAAACTATGAGATCCTTCGAAGAATAACTTTGATTCAATTATCCCTGTTTTATCATTCGTAATTTGTCTTTTAGATATGTATGTTAATAAATTAATGTATCAAAATGATAGTCACATATATTGAAGAAACTTAACAATTTTACATATGATGATTTACAATTGAATGATATCTTATCAAAAAAAAACCCAGGTGTTTTAATTCGACTTATGTATACACGGAAATATTTTCGTGATGATTGTTTTAAATTGAATGTGATAAATGTCGATTAATATAAAAAATGTGTTAGTATGAAATACAAATAAAGTACATTAAAAAAATAGATATTGAATATGGAATGAAGGGTAAATAAGTGACTCCAAAGCAACCTGTTACACTTGGTTAAGTCAAGTGACGATTGAGAATCACTGAGGCCCCCACAAAGAGAGCAGCGAGGCCGTAGCTGCACGTGCAAGCGAGTAACATCAACCGGAAGTCGATAAAAAGCCCAGTTCACCCTCGTCACTCGCCACCAGCTCCTCGTCATGGGAACGAATCACTTCAGTGAGCGGTCCAGATCTTAAAACCTGCCTGAAGAGGATTCTTTCCTTGCTCCCCCATCTTGTGACCATCCATCTAAGAGTCGGGTTGCTTCTCCGCCTCTTATACAATCCACATATTTTGCCTCCATATCCTGTACTCTACAAGTCTTCTTAATTTCACCCTAAGCAAGTAAAAACACGACCCACAATCCCTCTATGGCTTCATCAGTCTCATCTCACCAAAACTATTCATTTTTTTTCTTCCCTGATAGATCCATTATGCATTTTTAGCTTCGTCAAGTGTTTAACGGAACTGTTAAGTATTTTCTTTCAAATTACATGGCCCCATCATCTGTGCATAACTTTTTCTTTTTTTACTTTTTCTAAATTTGTCATCATTTACTCCAAATTTTCTCACGTTCTCATTGATGTTTAATTAGTGTTTACTCTAGAGGATAACATGATTAATAAAATATAAATAAGTAAATGTCAAATGATGATGGTAAAAGTTAACAATCTTCTTCTTTATAATAATAATTGTGAAAAGACAAAAAGTTCAAGATATATACTTCATTGCATAACTGTATTTGAAAATAATTTTAATAAAAAAATATTAACGAAACTAAAATAGACATGCGAACAGATAACTATTATGATCTATGAAAGGGTGACGTTGGAATTTTTGGTAGAAGTACTTTATTCTTTTTAATTCATCTAAAGAGTGTCGTGTCATCTTACTCTCACGCAGCTCCGCCCCTTACATCACATTCTGTTCAACCTATATTCCAGGCTTTGTCAGTGCTTCCGAGTATAGCCTTAAGCATTTTACTCTCTACATGTGTATACACATGGACTCAAGTATATCTTCAACGCCAAATTCAGATAAATTTTCAATAATAAAAATATTCAAAATTTTTTTTGGCAATTTTTATGAAATTTATGTACATAATTTATCGTCAATGGTATACATTTGAACTTAGTATCTATATAAAGTAGTACATTATAGCTGAATAAATGACTAAATATGATGTAATATGATGGAATCGTTCCGACTTTCTTATTTCCAGTTTCTCACTTTTTTTAATTTCTTCCTTTTTCTTTTTTTAATTTCCTGTTTCGTAAGATATGATTACATAACGATTCATCGATTCGACTGCGGCCAAGCTGCTTCAAGTCTCTCGCACTCAGTTAATTCTTACGCAATGCAGTCGATTACTACGTGCAAGACCTGTTAATGATGATAATCGCTGGTATGTAAGAGACGCTGTAGACAACAAGCACTTTATTCTCACACTGATCTACTTTTATTCATTCGAATGGACTGTCATACATATCATAATAAATATTATAACAATTTATGCAAATACTTATTTGTCAGGTAATGTCCTTATTTCTATTGTTCTCATTGGAATAATGATCATAACTCTTCTGATCATCATTTACTTTAAGATAACTTATGTATTAGTGAGTTATTATGTCTTGATATAGAAGATGTATGCTAAAATAATATTATTTCCAATTCTTAGGACTCTTGATCACTGACAATCACAAGAACATGTCCTTAAGGAGAATTAAATTGTACAAGACGGAAATACTGAGTTGTCTACGACAGTGTGCTTCCTTCGGACCAATGACGAACTGGATTAGAGTTTCCGGGAAATGACTTCACGGTTGTGGAAGCTCACCTTAATAATTGTATTCCTCTTTCCCTTCTTTGCGCACTCAACATTTCACTAAGTACAAGAATAATGTTCAAATTTAAGTGCACGCCTGTACAATGATTGAAAATCACGAGTAGACAATTATTCAAGTTTAACAATGATGTATTTAAAGAGAAAAAAAAAATTAAATGGATGATTTCATAAGTCTTATAATCACTTGTATGTAAATTTAAATTTAAAAAAAACTGATCTCATATAATTTTCATTAATTATAATAGAATCAAACTGTTCTCATTAATTAAAAAAAATAATAATAATAAAAAAAAAAGGAAGGTAGGATATTTCTATAAAAATATTCTAAGCATTTTAACCAACATATTGGATAAAAGGAGCAGTCTACCTGCATATATCCGGCTAGAAGCCGACTACCTGCTTCTATCGACATCTCAAAAACTTGCTCATCTATATGACTATGCTTTAAATTCTAAGCTCTTCAAGTTTGGAGTACAGAGAGTTGAGTCTTCAGTTCAATGTCTAGTGGGTGGCTGCTACTATATTTATGTATACTATTATATATACACTGAACAAGGTTCGATATCGAAATACAATGGCATCACTAGGTGGACTAAGAATTCTTTTTGTATATATAGTAAAAGAAATGAAGAATTTATTGTATAAGTGTGACTGAGCGTGAGAAAAGATTTTAAATTTATTTTTTTTTTTATCTAGGTAAAGGAACCTTATTCATCACTTCTTTTTATTGTTCGATTAAAAATGATTTTTGTAACTGTCCTATGTCCAGATGCTAGTGTATAGTAATTCGTATCGCTGCAAGCTCTTCAAATGTTATTATGAAATAAGAATAAATCTAACGCTGCGTTGGTCTCATCTGAGCTTGATTGAAATCATAAACCTACAAAAAATGTTTACCGCATGGAAAAGACATAAAATAACATTCTTACTATATTTATACTAATTATGGAGTATATAAATATTACATTTCACTAAACTATTTTTGGTAAACTTAGTATTGATAACAACAACAAATTATTGTTGAGTTTTTTTTAAATAAAAAATAGATAATAGGGTAATATAAATATTTTAAAATAAAATAGTGATATTAAGAATTGGCTTATTTATCATGAGTGAAAACGACTGCATAGGTGTAAATTTCTGTCTTGTACTAATTGTATAAATACGCGTTAGACGGAAGTGAGTACAATAATAGATTCTAAACGTAGATCTGACCGGACAAGATAAGGAAGCAAAATACCTAGAACGAAGACAGAATGTTTCAGAGTTAAAATGATGAAAGGAATAATCATCATTTAAATTCCAACTGAAACATGAATTTATGATAAATATCTTTGTATAAATAATTCACGTTAATCTATAAATCCTGTAGAATATGCACTTTTTTTCTTGAAATGACAATTTATAATATATTTATATTTTCTATGATTTTATTTACAGTGCAGATATATTTATAAAAAAAGATTTTTAAAATAAATATTAGACTAAAAACAGCAGACAAAACAAGATATTTAAAATGAATTCTAATTTTATGCGCAATCCCGACGAAAATATTTGTAGCTCTTGAGAAGAATAAATGCACAATACAAAAGGACAGTGGTTATATTTTCACCATTTATCAAATTCTTTTTCTTTTCATTATTTTTTCGCTTTCACAATTTACCAAGCTAGTCGTATCATTTTAAAATGCATTCTTTAAGAAAGTAACGAGGGTCCGCCGGATGTTCTCCATCCGTGCTGTTACAGTCTCTCTTTTGCTTAGCTTTTCGCATTTCTTATTTTTGAAAAAAAAGAAGAAAGAGGGAGACAGAAAAAATACCGAGAGAATGTGAGAGGAAAACAGAATACAAAATCTAGGAACCGGCAAAGTCGACTGGGCGGTCTTGTTCTACCACTTTGTCATTTCCACTACCTTTAAAAACGAACGAAAGAAACATTTGTGACGCAGTCCAAGGTCCGTACTTCCGGTCCGGATACTGGACCGGTTTTCTTCTCTGCTAAGTCATCGAATACTCCTCTGACGACGAGCTATAACCTCTCTCACGGTAAGAACTAACATTTATACCGGATAACATACCGTTATTCATCTTACTAATTATCTTACTTTATCAAAACATAAAACGTATAGGCTAGATATTTTCATCCGTATACGATCAAGTATTTTTTACTCTTTTTGTCGATACAATTACATCTCCCCAGTTTCCTATTTTATTTCACTCCAATCCATGTGAATATATTATATCTAACTTGTACTAAGAAATTAAAAATCATGAGTAAAAGAAAAAAAAACACATATTAATGTCAGGGAAAAAACAATCGTTCATTGTTTCATCGAAACAGAAACATACGTGTGTGTTTAAAAATAATTTTAAATACTTCTAAACAAAATAAAAAAAATAAGATGAAAAGAAAATCAATTTTCATCTTTAATCTCAGATCTACTGTGAATGTATAGCTGATATATTTTCAGAAAAATATACTTCTGTCGGGAGAGTTACTTCCTCATCACCCTAGCTTCCGGGTTTTACTCTCTTCCGGCAGTCCCGACAGAGCTACGCTTCGAAAGCCCTTTTCAACCCTATTTTCACCCACCCTATAGCTTTACATCACCCCCTTCTTTACTGGCATCATCCCGACAGTATAAGTAACCCCTAACGATAAGGGGGAGAGTACACAACGAATAGAAATTCACAACAAAACGCTCGACTCAAAAATAAATCGATAATAGAAACACCAAAAATATATTCCTCCATCTACTACTACTACTACTACTACTACTATTTATTATCTTGAATCATTATTAGCAACTTGTTTTATCAATATTATATTTATTTTATCATTTTTAATATCCATTTTTATATTAGATCCAAGAGAGAATGAAATCCCTATACTATGCATAAATCAAACTCATTTTGGAGTCAATTTGCAAAATGGAATATATAATCATGGTATCCATATAATTTAAACAAATTATGAGTTGAATCTTATCACTTTATAAAGAATTTATTGTCAAATTTATTACTATTTATGCTGAAAGCGAATAAATACAAATTGAAACTAACTATCTGTAAAGTCAAAATAAAAGATTAATCTAGCATGATTATAAACGGGAGGAAAACAAATAGATAAGATGATGAGTAATACATAACTAAACAACTAAAAATAACTGCATGCGATACTCGTCGTTTGGTGCGGCAAGTTCTTCCGGCATAGTAAAGTTAAGTTAAAGAGGGGAGGAAATGCGAATGTCTTTGTGTTTCATGTCCAAGAGATGGCAGCTCAAATCATAAAGAAACATTTTGTATATAAAAAAAAATATTTATGCAATAAACTTTTTTTTTTATTTTAATTAGTTCACGTTTGAAAAAAAATTTTTAAAAAACATTCATTTTTGTATCAATGAATATTGGAGTAAACAACAACATATGTTGAATTTAAATACCATTTTTTATCATTCAATTGTGAACTTCATATTTTATATAAAAAATATGCAATACAAAAGTAATAAAAAATAATAAGTTGTTATTTTTATAGCGAATACAAAAAAAAAAAATAAATTCATATAGATTGTATGGATGATAAAAATGGAGTAATTGTTGTGAATTGATTAAAATGGAATATTTTCCATTATAAAATATAATAAATTGTCAAGTAAAAAATGTTTTCACATTATTTAGCATAGATATGACTGGCATACGAATGTAAGCATTTCCGTTTTAAACGTATTCTTTAATAGCTTACGTCATTACTTTTATTTCCTGGCAATCGATCATCAAAGATTGATGGTCAAATATACACCATATAACAATCTTAATATGATCTTGTAAAATCTAGATAAAGTTGGCTTATCAGATACACAATTTAATTCACGAACTTATTTCGTGTTGCCTTATATTTATTTATGACAAAAAGCAAAAGCATAGAGTTTTAATCGTTGTATTGAACTGTTTAGAATTGATTTATTGAATATAATGAGAGTGCAAATTGGATGTTTGTTTCAAATATTAGAAAAAAAAAAATCAATATTTAATAGATGATGATAAAATATAATTCCAATTGTATTTAATATTTTTTTTTTTTTTTTAATTACCTTGATCTTTTACTTATGTTGAACTCGAGGATGAGTGTCACTGGTTGTCGTCTCGCCGTTGCGATAGACCATGCACTTTACCACTGTTCATTGGTCAATCTGAGCGACGAATGAAAAACAATACGTTATTCCTTGAGGAATAATAATATACATAAAAAACCTCACGGAAGCACTATTTAGCAAAATGTCTTGATAAAACTTTTGTTTTGACTATAAATATAAATCACAAGAGATTGTATATAATCTCATTACCAATAATTGTATAACTAAAACACCATGAGATTATGAAATCTTGTAATGAACCTAAATAAAAAATGATCAAATAAACTGCGGTAGTATCACAGTCAATTTTAAGATTTAGGTTAGAAAGTTTTTGAATGTCTTTTTAACATGAATTTGCACTCCATTCAATATATTCGTAGTATATTTCAGATGATAATTATAACAGCATTTTTATGTACCATAATAAGTCGAGTGAATAAAAAACAATTAATAACTGATACTTGATTTTGAGTTATTTACACTCAATGTTTACGCACTATATGAAGTAAAATAACACGGACGGCACCAAATAGCACCGCCACTTTTTAAGGTTGACGAGCGACTGAACCAAACTGAACTGAGAATGCTAAGAATCGTCGCCTCACTCAATTCCACTCTTCAGCTTTAGGAAATGTTGGATGGCGGAAGGTTGTCTTTTTCTTCCCCTTCTCTGATATTCACAAAGTCGAGTGACAAAGGGAGTGAGAGAAGAGGCATTTTTTAGACGAAAGAAGCCGAAGTGTATTCAACTAAAGTCATTGGATCATTTGAGTTGCGTTCACAACATGTATTGGCCAAAATATTCCTATCGTAACGGAAACACGCGAAGCTGGACCACTGGAGTGAGACGAATGGCGCCGATTATTCCCGAACAGCAGCTCCGTCTGATAGACTAATGTGGAAGGGGATCAAACAGCGAGAATTGTTGACTGGGTGAAGACTTCCTTGTAGCTGCCTGTAGCTTCCTTATCTCATACTATAACTGCAAGTGGCTAACAATCAGCCGCTTAGTCTTTATCGTTTCTTCTCTCTTATTTACTTATGCCTTGCATCTCTCATCCAATACTACATATTCTCTCTTTCTCACCACTCACTTCTCGCCCTTTCTCTCTTTTTCCTGATTGCGTCGTCACGTGCGGCATTTATAATATTCTCATCGGTGATCTGTCTTACGGAAATTGTACCAATCTTCACGATGTGGGCAATGCTATCGTTCCACGCTCGTTTGACCTTTTCAATTTGCGTGGCGCAATTGATTTAAATGTAAAGGCATTTTTTTTTTTTATTATACTCAAGATTGAACGTGATTTGACAAAATCTTTTTTTTACATCATATTTCTTCTTATTAGACATCTTCTTGACTTTTAAAATTACATTGATCACAATATGACAATTCATTCTTCTGATGATTATCATAAAGTGAACAAAGAATAGACTTGTTAAATGACTTGGGTCTTATGGTGAACCTTAAGTATTTTTTATGACATTTGTACATCAGGATATTGATTGAATCTTTTACATTAATTCAACAAAAATGTAAATTTTCGTGTATCAATTATTGATCTTTTTAGAGTACAAAAATATTTTAATCTGTAGTATATTGGAAATCTAGGTCAAATTATTAAATTTCCACAGCTCCATTATCATTTGATTATGATTAATGGCTTTTAAAAATATTTACAATCTATAAAGTACATAAAAAAAATTTTTTTCAACCAAAAATTAGGTTTAAACTACTTGTGACATTCATACATATTGCGCAGTTAAAATAAAACTTATGTATACAGATATCTGAAGCAGTAAGTGAGTGGGCCTTTTTTTATTCAGCTCGTTTTCCTTCTGGATCCGCGTTGCATTCTTTCCTCCACATTCCATACTACTACTGCATAAATGTACATCTACTCAAGATGGGATCACGGGTCAGAAAGTTTACCTAAGTGAGATATATTTTTGTTTCTCATCATCATCATCTTGACTATACTAAAAAATTTTCCACCCTCTTGTTGAAAAACACTTTCCATATAAGAATCAATAATAAAGAAACTCAAGTTTCGTGTGTGTGTCAGATTGGTGGTAAGGGTGATGTAGATGAAGAGAAGAAGGGTAAGTTAAAGCAGGACAGGTAGTTCAAGACACCCACAAACCTGTTTTACCTGTTATATCTTGCCAGAGCTTATGAGTTCCACTTCGATGGTTTGCTGTGGTGGTGAAATAGTGGTCGTCTGTAACGTCTCCGATGATCAAGGTAGAAAGGATGTGGTAGGCTGCTGATCCTTCTATAGGTGACGAATAATCTTCAATTTTTTTCCCAGACAACATAAATGATATCCTATCTGAAATAATAACAAACTCTTGCATTTCATTCTTTTCCTCAATATTGTGTAATAACATAATTTTAATTTTTTGTAAAAAATAAATAATACCATGCTATCTATACTTTCATGAACTACTAAATATTAATTACGTAAAACTATAACATGTAATCGATAAATTAATATTTCGTTAATAAATCAAAGATTTTAAATAAAAAAAAAAGCATTAAAAAGAAATAGCTTAAATGAATGTTTTGTAAATAATATAATAATAATAATGAAGCTAACGATTATATTGAGTATGTTATGCTTGAGTGTATAAAGAAGAAAAGAAAGTGAAAGAGGAGGTGCGGTATTAGGGAGTGGATAAGGTAAGCATTAATACTGATCATCCCGGATGCACCTTCAGTATGTCTCCTGTTGCTCATCGTCTCCGTCGTAGGTTACACGCGTCACATTCCTCAACAACAGCGCAACCTGTCCTGGATCTCACTGGTCGGTCGAGGGACCTGCAAGAGGGTCTTCATTCTCAACGGCCTCACCGCATTGGAATGGCGTAACGGGCGATTTATACATGCCGCAATGTGCAATCCGATGTTGTAACCCGATGCAGGTCTACGATCCTCGCGCCCTTTCTCTTTGCAATTTTCTTTATTTTCATTTTTAACGTGACGCAAAATCTCACCTTTCATGCCTTAAGCACATCTTAAATGTAATATTAATAAGTAAGTAATGTGTTTTTACAATAATAAGATTAATACATTAACTACTTATCAAAGAAATGTCGACCTAACCTAAAAAAAAAAGATATCTGTCAGATGTTTTTTGGTGATAAAAACAGTTTAACGTACAAATAGTAATCAAGAAATTATAAACGGTTGGTTTTTAGAACTGAAACCTTCATAATTATGTTCCTTTATTTTATAAAAGACTTCCGATTCTCACTTACTTCCGTTACATAAAGGTCAAAACTGTTAACTTTATAAAATCGTTGCACGTGAATACAACGGTTAGAACATCCGTAAAGTCTCAAGTTCCTGTTCCGCTTTTGTAGATGAAAAATTATCAACATGTGTCTAAAGACACTGACAATAAATTACCTTCTCCTGATCTTCTTTCATTTACTTCCGTTATCGTTTATCAAATTATGTAAAAAATAAGTGTTGAGTTTTAATTTCCATATACATGTATATTTTTATCAGATTATATATTATAAACAATGATCTGTTCTTTGTTAGTCGGTCAAGACTAAGAATCATTATTTGGAGACGAAAACGAAAGAACAGGCGGAACTAAGGTTCATGTAACTTCCTTTACTTTGGATATGCTTCGCTAACTCTCTTCCTCTCTCACAGATTGTATGACAGGGTGTCCCACCGGAATAGCTACTCACATCAATTGAGATATGCGATCGCACAAGTTAAACTATTATCAAGATCCTTTTCTTATGATGCTTATTGATGATTTCACAACTTAAAGGTGTGATTTGTAATGAAATAAATCGTTATTTATTATCGATGTTATAGTGATTATCATAATATTGCAATTAAATTGGAAATAACATGATAATAAAAAGAGTCATATGATGATTATTATTATCATTATTTATAAAAAGTTAACGTGTAGAAAATCTCGTTATAAGAATGAAAAATAAATTCATTAAAGTTCGTATAATGCACCTTTTATAATTTGAACATGCGCCATAAAATTCTAAGCTCATGCGCTTGCGTGAAAATGAAGGAGGATGCATACAGAGATATTCTAAGCATATATCATAAACCGTAACATATATCAGTGCAAATAACTTTCTCAATTATGTATTGCGAATTCGGTATATGGACAGTTTATTCAGTGATTGTCTCAACTATTTCTATCTCTTGTATCTTGTGAGAATATGTAAGAGTCATAATTACTTATTATGCATTTATACACATACATGAAAATACATATGTATAGATACAAAAAGTAAATGCAATTTCCTTATCATAAACAAATATATGAATAGCAGGTAATATATTCGTGTATTGAACTTTTTAAATAAATTATTCATTTAATTCACTAAGACATCATGATTTACATTTACAGGTTCATTACTTTGACACGAAATATTTAACAAAGTGCAATGTGATTTTCATTATGGAACAAGTAATTTATATAAGCTGGTCAAATAAGATATTATTGATAACGAGTATCATATGCGCAATATTATGTCTTATTATCGAACAATGGAGCGGTCTAACACCATTTTCAATTTATATTTCATTAATTTGGTGTGTAATTATCATTGCAGGATCAACTTGGTGTAGTTGTTACTTATTGAAAGTATCTTTAAAGGCTAATTCACCCATAAATTTGGAATTTCTTAAAAATTTAATATATAAAAGATTAGATATAGAATCTACAGCAATTTCAACACATTCTGATAAAATTCAAAATGACGTAAAAGCAAATAATTATGTAAATAATAATCAAAATAATGCAGCTATATATGAACAAAATTTTATCAATCTAAATAGTAGGCTAGATGCATTATTAAATAATACCATTGATAAAATTGACGAAAAGTTCATTCATAGCTGGTATAATGTTGTAAGTGATGAAAAAATATTTGTTGATGAGTCAAATGAGATTTTGAAAAAACTCTTTAAAAAAATTTATGCAAAAATTACTGTGATTGATGGAACTAAATTGTCACATAAAGTAGCTGACATATTATTGCTACATTTCAAAGAATACAGACGAGCATTACGTCGTGTTGAAAAAGAAAAAGCCAAAAATCTTGAAGAAGCTTATAGATATTCGCATCCAGGATCACGTAATCCTTCGGCTTTAGAGCATACATTGCATCGGCTTGTAACAATTTTACTTAGTGAGTTTCTTCAATGGGAATTAAGTAGTTCATTACCTTGTAAACTATTGATATCAGTACTTGCAAAAAAATTATTAGTTATTCTTCAAGATATTTCTAGTCCTCATTGGATACTTCTTCAAGTAGTTAACTTATTAGAATCGTCAAAAGAAAAATTAAAATCTGAAGATACAAACAATGATATTGTCTCACAAGGTTTGAGTACAGGGTTAACTTCAGCAACAGCAGCCGTAATTACTCGACCTCTACCTCAATTACCGCAATCAGTATCAAATACTCCTCCAATTGTAGAAATCACAGTACCGAAAGAAGCCATTAAGTCTAAAACTACTGACCGTGTTTCTTTATGCCTCGATGGCCTTTCAACAATAGATCATAATGGTCTATGGAATGATTTAAATGACATACAGTTGGGTGATGAAGACGACGATGATCGTATATCACCAGTCTATGAAGAACCAACAGACTTTGCAACTACAATAGCTCGACTTAGAAATGTACTCCAAGAAAAATCAACAACTACTAGCCCATTACCTGTTGAAGAAAAATTTTATACATTGTGTGATAATAATCAATTTGTTAATTTAGCCATTCCTTGGACAGAATTTACAACATCAGCTGATGGGTCTCAACAACTTCTTTATTGTATTCAATTTGATGATGTTGAACAACATGGCGAAGATATGTTTGAAACAACCACAGCCACAGTGAGAAGACAATACGCAGATTTTGTACAATTGCACAAAAGTTTAGAAGAATTGCCAAATTATACAATTATTATGTCAAATATTCATTTACCAGAAGGAGGTCGTGTTGAAATGGAAACATATCTAAAGACTTTGTGCTCACGATTGTCACCTCATACACCAACTCAATTACGACATTTCTTAAGACCCAGCAGTGGAGCTAGTAAAAAAGCTGATGCTGTTGCTCCTAGGTTCGATAGATTCTTAGCAAAGACAGTCACTGGAGTTTTTAATACTTTAAGAACGGTAGTACCAGGTTTTGAAATGGATCAAGAAGAAGACTCTGTACCTGTTTCAACACTTATGCCTTTGTCAGATATACCATGGCGATTTGTGGAAGATATTAAGACAAAAAATATTACACATGAGTTGCGAACATTAATTTCTGATAGAATTGACTATTGCTCTATCGATACTGCTTATGAAGCTGTAGAATCTGTTGAAGGTAGCGGAGACACAGAATTACTTTCACATTGGTGGAAAACAAGAAATACTCTGGATGATGAAGAATTAGATGAGCTTGATAGTAAATTAACAATGACTTGTGCATTTATAGATTTAATTTGTGAAATTTTAGAAGGTGTTGAAAGTAATAACACCTTGAGACGCGAAACAGTGGTTCGATGGACAAAATTATTCATTGGAAATATTACTGAACCATTAATTCATAAGTATACTTCACAATTATTCCAACACATTGATAAGTTCTCTATATTTTCACAATCAATTAATGATGAACAAAAAGATTCAATAGAAGTATTACAAAAAAAGTTATCTAATCTTATAAATTCAAAAATTACAATGGATATAAAATTTATTTTTGGAGAAAATGATATCAATAGAATAATTGAATTCTTAATAGGATCTTTGCGAATAAAAAAAATAAATCATGATTTAATGTTACAAATTTTAGATATTTTTGCATTAGAATTATTAGCTGTGAGCAAAAATGATTTAACAGACTCTGTAACATAAATGTGGTGTTCATTTAAATTTTATTTTAAAACAATATCTAAGTACCTGATTGCACCTTTAAGGCAGAAAGACATTTATGCGTATACATATATTTAATTTTATTATGTATTTCTGAAATAACGAAATATTTATATTAAAGAGAATTAACTTATGTTATTAGTGAAATATTATTTGTGTAGTTTACTTTTTTTATTTTTAACTATTTTTTATAATCAAAATATTTTTTTAATAAAAATAATGTAATAATAAATCCATAAAAGTAGATTATTTATGAAAAAAAATTAATTATATTGACGAAATGATTATCTTAATAAATACAGAATAATATAAACTGTTGATATTAATTTGTAAAGTAACTGTCTAACGTTGAGTAGTGGTTTGTATACATTCTTATTCTTTAGATGCACTTTCAGATTGATTTTTTTGTTTTTCAAGTTGAGCTCTGTTGAAAAAGATAATAAAAATAGATTAAATTCAGTTGAATAAAAATCTTAATCATCTAATAAAATTGTGAACAACCTTAATTGTTGGTTGAAATCGTCTTCAACATCGTCATCATCCCAGTTATCTTCCCAAACGCTTATATCTTCATTGTCTTCATCTTTTGCAGTCCAATCTAAAAGAAACATGTGAATCAGCATATTTGCAATCATTGAAGTTTGTAAATATTGTTTTTCGTAAAACAGTAGATGTTTTTCAAATCCTACCTTCAGTTGGGAATTCTTCGAATTCATCATCTTCTTCTAGTAATCCTAAATCGACTTTAGTTTTATCACTTTTACTATCAGACATTTTACTGATTTACTTGCAGATTATTATCACAAACAAAACAAATTAAATAATATATCAAGTATGAGAGCAATCCGTATACAATCACAATGACCGACTTGAATTGTATTTTGATTTTAGGTTAGTAAATTGAAAAAAAATAGTGTTGAACTTTACTATTGTAGTTGCGATTGTTACGACACTCATAGGATTTTCAATGAACTGAAAATGCAGTTTCTTGTCGATACAAGTATAACAGAACAAATATTAATGACGTCATCCTGTCATGTCATTGCTACACACAGAATATGACTGTTGTGTGATGATAACTTGTAGTGTAGATTTGTGACAATGAAAATAAGATACAAAAAGTGATTATTCTTTTTTTACTTAATGAATTTTATATTTTTGTTAATATTGTAAATTCAAGTAATTTAATATAATCTAGATGCTCAATAGATTTAATTTTTATCGAAATAAGACATTTATTTTATTTCAATTCTCCAAAAATCTTTTTTAACAGGTATTTTTTGTAATTTTTTCTATAATTCCCAAAATTTATATATTTTTCAAGCAATGAAATCATTTTTCATTTATTTTTGATATTACAAATATTTTAAATGATTACATTAATTTTTTTTTTTTTTAGATGACTATCCAAACGATAACAATTTAATTTTTCTAGATGGTCAGAATTTAACAATAATAAATTAATAAAAAGAATAAAAAATGCAAAACTTACGTACCTCCAGAAAGTTTCCAGTGTTTGTTTTTCCACAAAGCATAACGTTTTTTTTAGATGATCAATCAACTCATAAACAAGTTTTAACACTATATAACCCATATGAATTTCCTATAAAATTCAAAGGTAAGCTATTGTTTTTATGCATGAATCCATATGTTGTTTTGAACTTGATTAACCCGTCTACGGTTTTCAGTTTTAAGTACTGCTCCAAATAAATATAAAGTAGTTGATCCAGAAGGAACAATAAAGTCAAGATGTTGTGTGGATATTGTAGTAAGACACACAGCTCTAATGATGGCCAATTGCAATGTAGTTGATAAATTCCGAATTCAAATGCAAGAGCACCACACTAAACAGGTAATAAAATAATTTTTATAATTTTATATTAACAAATAATTGGATTGGTTTATCAATATGTTTTAGATTATAGGAAAAAAAGACATTGAGGCTAAGCTTTTACTTGGAGCTGGTGAATCTGGAAGAGGAACCCCTGACCCTGATATGTTTCAGCAGCTTCCAATCAATGAAAATAAACAACAAAGGTCTTATTCATTACCACCACAAGTTAGAACAATTGATAGTATGCATCTTTTTATTGTTTATTAATTTAAAAACTTTATAAGAAATTCATTTTCAAATATGTATTTTAGGAGGAACAAATTATGTGGCACTCATTGCTGGAATTGTGTGTATAATTGGATTACTTTTACCTACTGAAGGTGATCGAGGTCATCGGATACCTGAATATCTTCATCTTTCTGTTAATTTTAAACTTATATTTTCATTTGTACTAGGTAAGTATACATTTATTAAATTTAATAGCAAAATTGTGTTTCAAAATTTTTCTCAATTTCTCATTTTATATTCGTAGGAATGGTTACAACCATAATTCTACGATTGTAACAACAAAAGTTCAAAAATAATGAAATAAAATCTAAAATATTTACAACGCGCATAATATCTGCAATATGAACATTTAATATATTAAACATTCTTTAACTTATTACTCCATAATTTATGATGCTAGTCTGTAAAATTTTTACTCATTGAAAATAATCGAATAGTCGATTTGTCCTTACATTTCAATACACGTATAAAGTTTTTATGGACTACGTGCGCTTATTATACAATAGACCATATTTTTAATGTCTATAAAATTCATTATAATGGGAATATGCTGCAAAAAGTAAATTCACATTTTTAAATGATTTAAACCTGTCATGAGTTGTGGTCATAAATTTTTTAGATTAAAATGAAACTATATTAACTAATGACTATCCGAATTTTTGTATTTGCTACTGTATAGCATGATAAGGATTACAAAATTAGAGTATAAAAATTAATTTTTAATATAAAATAAAAAATATTTCAAGTTCAATCCTTGAAATATTTTATTTACTCCAAAAATTGTTTTTTAAAAAATTTATTTTTACTATATAACTTTTACAAGTTTTTTTCAATTAGTAATCAAAATTTCGATTAAATCTTTTAATGAACATAATTATATAAAATAAAATAAGGAATAAAAAAAATTAACGTATGAGTATAATTCATTTTTTTTTATTTCACCAAAATTATGCCAAAATAGCATTGAATAAAAATTTATTCTTTTTGTTTTATAAATTTGGTCTGTTTAAGAATGAAACTTTTATTTACAAATAATGTATATTGGATAACTTTCTTTTAAAATGATAAAAATATTTAAAACATTTTATCAATTTAGAAATGAAAAAAATGAATAATTCTATTTTTGTGTTATTATATCAATAACAATTTCAATTATAAAAAATAATACATTTGATGTTATGATATACATAACATCTGATGATTAGTTGTAATTCTATTGTCTTAAAAAGTCGATTTAACAGCTCCTTCACTTTGGCTTTTAATAATTGCATGTTTGAGTCTTTCATTGTGTGGTTTATAGTCCATTAAAGCATCACTAGGCAATTGAAGAACACGCCGAAGAGTATCTTTAATTCGTCCAGTTGTTGCAGTATCTGAAGATGTTTTATTCCATATGCTAACTTTATCTTCCTATTTAAAAAGTACATGAAAAAATTATATGTCATAAAAAATTTCACTTCATATCTTACCTGAAATCTTATAGATACCACTGCTCCACAGATTTCTTCTCCTACCATAAATTGTTCTCCTAACATTGCTAAAATAAGATTTTCCCAACATCTATTTACTAAACCTTTCCTTAATGTCACTGCCCATTTTCCACCCTGTCGATTGGCTAAATCCTCCATACAATATTTATGTCAATTTTTAAATCTTTGTCAAGTTTCATATGGATACATATTAGTACTTACTTCCCACATGGGTTTTATACCATTTTTAAACAGATGGAAATCCGAGTATGGCAATAGTTCTGATGGTCTTGCTAAATGACTGTAGAGAGACCAAAATTGTTCAACACTTCCGAATCGTCCAATAAATTTTAAATTCTCTGCATAACGTCTATCACTTTGTTTGCCAACAGAACGTCTACTAAACCATAATGCATAACCATATTGTAAACGATTTTCATTTGGACCTATTTCTATAGGGGGCTAAAAAATAATGTATGTCATAAATGAAAAAATTCAAATTCAAATGTAAATATTTTCAAAACTAATATACCAGTCTCAATTTGAGAGATACATTCGACTCTTCATCACCACTCTCATCACTCACTTTTGTGCTGAAAAAAATTGTTTACTTTTGAAAAAAAAATGAAATATATTGACCTAATAATTTAATTAATATTACGATAAAAGAAAGTATTTTATAATTTTCTTAAAAAAAAAACAATTAATGTTTTATAATATCTATAAATAAAATAATTTGTTGGACAATTGGAAAATAACAATGAAATGTAACTGACTGTCTCAACAAAACTTACGTATCATATTTTTCAGACATATTAAATAATTTATAAATATGTATTAATATTCATAAAATATTATGAGCAATATTAAAGCAGGTACAATGATATAAAAAATGTGTACTACGTATTCAATATATATCACTTTTATTTCAATACGACGCGCATGTATATCTTTATAATTACAGCTGAGATTGCCTTTCTACAAAAAATATATATATCATACACACAAGTTCCAGAAAAGACGACAAATTTTTACGAAAATACGTAATAGTATAGGATTGTACCGTAGATGGCAATAGTTACGTATGATTCTTTTTTCAATGCAGAAGACTACTTTATCTATTGCAAATAAAATATTTCCTTGATATGTATTTAAAAAAAATCTTCAGTTTATTTATGATTCTATTTGATCAACAACCTATTATAACCAAGACTTTACACGATTATTACAATTTATTTTGTTATTTTTTCTTGAAAATAATACCATTTAAATCATTACTAAATTAAAAACCTTAATAATTGTGTAGGTTACAATCGAGATGCAATTAAGATAAACAAAATAACATGACAGGATGTTCAGCTCCGTTTTGTACAAATTCTTCAACTAAAGGATATTTGATGAAAGTATTTCCTCGGGATCCACTACGTCGAGCAGAATGGATAAAAAATGTAAATTTACCGAATTGGTTACCCAAAGAGAACAGTTGTTTATGTGAGGTATAACATTGTTATTTGATTGATTTATTTTAATTTCTATTTTCTTTAGTATACGAATATTATATATTCATATGAGTATCATATATTATGACAGGTCCACTTTGCTCCAGAAATGTGGGAACAAAAACGAGTTGACAATAAACGAAAATTAAAACCGAATGCAGTACCTACTATTTTTGGATATTATATTAAAAAAAAACCTGTGATACCAATGAGAACCAATGAAGCCCAACAAACTCTAGTGAATTCAGAAACTCTTTCTCATGAATCTATTTCTTTTAATACTGAGAATATTAATCAAAACGAAATTTTAGTCAGTATCAGAACAACCTAATTGTACGGATAATAAACGTAAGATCATATTGTATAACTCATTGTTTTTTAGGTGAATGCTGGTTCAACTACTGAAGATATTAGGTTGTCTGTTACAGACTCCAATTCTCAACTCGATACTTTTATAATATCTGAAGCAGAAAAAGAACATTTGAATGAACGTCTGTTGAAGTTCCTTAATAAGCAGCAGAGAGAAGTAATGATATTACGTAAAAAGTTAAAATGTTGTAAATACAAAGTACGAATATTGGAAGAAAGGCTTGGAAAAGATAAGTACAGAATGGCATTATGTCGTGTTTTCAATGAAGATCAGATAAAAGCTTTATTATCCAAAAAAATACCACGAGAGTGGTCTTACGATACAGTTAAACGTGCTTTGGAATTAAAATCTATTTGCGGTAATAATGGATATGCAGCTCTTAAAAAAATGGGCATTCCACTCCCTTCTACTCGTACATTACAAAGAATGTCAACAAAAATTAATAATTTATAAAACTACGTAATTATTTACAATATTATGAGTCTAAAAAAGTTTTATTAATTTTATGAACAAAACAGAAATAATGATACAGTTGATATTTGACAGATAATAATCATACTTTTGAAGAAATATTATTGAATGTTACATAGATTTACATAATTTTACGTATGTAAATATAAAAGTTATTTGTAGATATGTTTTATTGTACATAAATAATTGACGAATATTAATTATATAATAATTTATCAATTAATAGTATAAAAAATAATAGAAAATAATATATTCATTTTAAATATTTATAAGTTATTTCAATTCTTTGACTAATTATTGTCATTAATATTTTTATAATATTTTATTTGAAATATTAAACTTAATGAGAGAAAGTTTGAGTTAATCTCTTCATTATCTCATGTCGCTGATACAAAACTTCTCCACGACACAAAAAATAAAAGAGCATTGGACATTCATATTTTACTTGCTCAGTACATGTTGTTCCGCTGTTATTTCTGGAAAATTTAAATTCAGAATCTGAACCAACTGTAAAAAAAAAATCGTAAAATTAATTCAATTATATTGAAAAATTTTCTAATTATTTAGTTACTGAGTATTTTTTTTATGGTTACCACAGAAAAATCCTTTCAAAAAGCAGGTAACATGATTAGATATTATAAAATAATCTTTTTCACCATGTTTTGTAGAATACTCAGCTGTTGCTTCATTTTTTATAAATGGTATATAATATAAATGTTCTTTGTAATGAACTGAATATTTCCAATTGTTTGGGGGTCCACTCTCATTTATGATCCGGAATTCTTCACTAAATAATTTGTTAATTCATATGTATGTATTAAAACTATAAAATTCATTAACAATAATCTAAAACAAGTTAGTAAAACAAAAAGATAGTTTTAGCTTACATTGTAGGATTCAACTTCATCATGTTACTAAAGTCTATCACATACTCCCACACTTGTTCAGGAGTTGAATTTTTTATGGTATTTTCCACAACTATTTGGTACGTTGATTTACGGATAACTATCGTGTATAAAGTTACTATAAAAAAAAATAGATAGAAAAATGTCCTAAGCTTCCATTTAAGTGGATTGGAATAAATCTTGCGCTCCAAATGAGACATCTTTGTTGTCAAATTTTTAATGAATTTTTAAATTGAAAACTAAAAGAAATTTGAATAAAATATTATTTTTGTTCGAATTGAAAAAACAAAAAATACAAAAATACCTTAAATTTTCATTGAATCTTTTTGTGAACGATTGAAGTTTTTCGTAAAAAATTTTTTGAATACTGTAAATTGTATACTTTATGTAGACACTGACAAAAGACTCCTCACATCTTGTTCGTTTCCTTTTTCTTCGCCGGGTCTATATTTATCTCGTTTGGAGAAGAGAGGGGATGACGGAGTGAGGAAGAGATAATACATAAAATCATGTGAGTCATTGACTATTCGATTGTATATATTAGTTACAATATTAATATTAAAAAAACGAGCAAATGTAACATTTGTATATGTATACGTAACAAAATAACTCAAATGTTGAATTTATTTATAACAAAAATATTATAATTTAAAATTTTACATTACAGGTAGAATACGTTGCAATTGTAAAAAACGAATAAATTATTATCATTATTCAAAATTGTTTATTTTTTTATAAATATAATTTAAGAAGCACTTGAACATTGTAAATTGTTTTCTTTGTTAATCATTTGCTTAGAATATTCTGCTAGTAACTTCGTTCCAGAATTTTGTGAAGAATATGGCCTTAAATGAAGAACTCTAATTAGTCCATTTTGATATCCAGCAGCTATCCACAAATAACTCCAGGCATTTGGATTCCAAGCAATCTATAAATATTATAATTTTTATCATCAATAATTTAAATGTACACATATATTTTAATTTATATTTTTAAACAAATTTATTTTACCCGATTAACAGATGTGAATTGGTATTGTTCAATTGGTGAAAATTTCATAGCATCAGAATTTAGAGAGCTACGTCTTACGGATTTTTTGGTTCCTTTATTTTTCATATTCTATAGACAAAAAAACAACTCATTATAAATTCTGTTTATTAGTTGAGTTTTATAATAATAAATAATACTTATCCATACATTTAAATCATCATGGAAAATAATTCCGAATTGATTTGCACATTCTTCATAAGTTTCTGGCATATAGTTATGATCCTTCAAACTCGCTTTACTTTTATTTTCTTTTTCAACATCATTTGCTGTTTTCTTTTTTTCTTGCGAGGTTTCAAGATCTACAACTTCAATAGACGAAACTAACCATCTTTTTCTTGTAAGTCTATCAAGATCTTTAAAATATAACATCTGAAAAGGGAATATAGCAGCTATTTCTCCTGACAAAGTTCCATGGCATATGCCATTTGCAAAATCTGAAACTGCTAATCCATATGTTACAGAATTAGTTGGCAGCAAAGGAAATGTTTTACTACATGCTTCACGTAGTCCAATCATGTAAGTTCTAGTGTGTGTTAATCCAAGAACATCATCATGTGCTGTATAAACGTTCGGCCAATGCATTAGCCATGCTCCATTTACAACTACACCTTTTTTGACAACTTCAAAGGCATAAGAGGTGTCTTCTAAATCCCAAAATTTTGTACATCTATCTAAACTAGCAGTAGCTAAGTATCTTTTTCCTTTTATCGGAATTATTTCTACGTAAGTTACAGCTTGTCCATGAGCATAAAAATGTTTATAAGCATTTATATGTAAAGTATCTCCTTTTTTCGTAACAAGAAGAGGAGAATTATTGATTATATTCCATAAAGCAACATAGCCATTAGAAAAACCAGCCGCAATAATGTCGTGATCGACTAATTTACTCCAACTAACTCTTAAGCATTGCCAATTTACCTTATTTTTGTCATGTAAATATTTGTTAACATGTAAAGTTATAACAGGTTCAGTTTTATAAATCGGTAAATCATGATCTTTAATTGTGTTAAAGTTTAATACTTCAGGGAAAGGAAGAGAATAAATATGGACACAGCCATCAGATGAAGCAACAGCAAGAAGTCCCATTCGTTGAAATAAATTTTCCGATTTTTTATTATTTATTAAATTAAAATGTCCATAAGCTCCTGAAGGGCACCATTCCATACACCAAATAGTTCCTTTTTTATGAGCTAATGCATAAGAAAGTTTGGGAGCAACAGGAGTACAAGAATGTGCTTGGGTTAAATGGCCTAGGTTCCATATTTGGATAATATTGTTATATTTATATGATTTTCCTACTACATGAATACTATTCATTGATGGATGGGTGCTGATAGCTAAATATTGATCTATATCGTTAGAATACATTGTAAGAGGAATAGGTAACCAGGCCATTGACCATACCGGACCACCAACGAAAAAAGTAGGAATATTATCAGTAACAGATGATTCAAATTGATTCCACGTTTTCCATTCATTTAAATCTTCAGTGGTTTTCTTTAAATTATTTGATAAATCTTTAGCTCGTTTAGTACGCATTGATTTTTTAACTTTTGGAAGATATTTTTCAGCTTCCGAATTCATTAGTAAATGAAAGGCATTAAGGTGTAAATTTTCAAATAATATTAATCTATAATTTTTTATATAAAAATCCAATGTCCACTTGATTGCTGGAGTGTAAGGAATATTTAAATTATTGTCTTTATAAAATTTAGTTTTTTTCAAAAAATCAGCTCGGTTGTCAGAATTTAGAAATTTATCATACTGTTTTTGTTTACCAGCAGATCTAGGAATATTTGGTTCATCATTAAATGGATCGTTATCACTTTCTTCACTTTGACTTTGATTAAAATCAAATTCATCATCCGAAACTAATTTTTCACGATGATCATTTTCTATGTGATGTTTAAGATTTTCTATTAATTCTGATTCGAACTTACAAATTTTACAAATATAAGTCTTGCGAGGTGTAAAATTACACTGACCATGATGATTACATATTTCTTGTAATGTAGAACCAGCAAAAGTACATCCAGGCTGGCGACACAAAGCTTTTTCATTTGCTGCAAGAGCTTGTATCCAGTATCCTTTCCATACATGAGGAATGGATTTCATTAACTTTGGTTTATCAATAAAACTATCAATGTTATTTTTCTTTGCTTTTTTCGCTGGAGGTTTGACGTCTTCATGTTCTACAAATTCGATTATTTTTGATGCAGCCTTTTCGGCTGCTTTTCGTTTCCGTTTGCCATCATAATCATCCACCTTCACTGAGTTTATGACTTTTTTTGAACGTTCAACATCTCTATGCGTTCGTTCATGAAAATCTTGAGATGATGGCATAAATACACTGTGACATATTGGACAAGTCCACATCATTGATTCTTTTTCTTCTTCAGACTTTCCACAAAATTTATAGTGGGATATAAAACCTAAAACACTCCGTTTTGTAGTGTTACACTTATCACAAAACAATACTCCACGTTTTTGTTTATGAGCTTTTGTTAAGACACTTCTCCATAACTTTTCATTATCTTCATAATTTATTGGTTCATTACCTTCTATCCAAGCTGTATTATTATGCTTATCCAAATTATGCTTTCTCCACTGTTTTTTAACAACATTTTTCTTGCATCTTCCACAAACAACTTCTTCATTTATAAATTCTATTTCAATTGTAGTATATTCTTTATGGAATTCTGTTGGTCTTAATGAAAGTCGTGGTGTATATTCATTATCAGGTTCAATTAGCTTTCTTCCAGGCCGTCTACCACGTCCTTTTCTACGTCTTCTACGTTTGACGTTCGTTTGGTTTGTTTCTTCTTCTGTTAATTCACCACTGCTTAGACTTATATTTGCTGTTGTATCTATATTTTCAGTAGATGAATTTTCACATGGTGGAATTTCTTCTTTGGTAACATTTTGCAACGTCAAATCAGCATTTTCTACTTTTGACATTGTTAGAGGATTTTCAACAATAACTTTTCGTGGCCTGCCACGTCTTCGTTTGATTACTTTATTTGTTTTATCATTGCTGTGTAAGGCAACCTCATTTGAATTAATATTTTCACTGGAATTAGTTTGTTGGGCCATAATGGATTTACTATCTACACAATCACTATTAGTGGAAATAGTTATGACATCTGTCGAAGATGATCCATGAACTGAACGCTTATTTTCTGATAAAGAAGGCGATGGTTGATTATTAATAAATGGATGAAAGTTGAGTTCGGCATTTTACCATAAATATCCGATTTTTCACTATTAATAAATTTAAGCTATTTCAGATGCTATAGGCAAGGATGAAAACAGTGTTTAAAAAAACAGTACATTTCACACCAACGGAGGAAGAGACTACTTTTTCTTCCTTGATGTGCAATACACTATTTTATGTTATTATTCAACTTTATTTCAAAAATTTGCCGGTGCTACAGTACTCCGAATTGTAGATAAGGTTAGTTCAGTACAAGAAAGGTTAGACTGTACATACACTGTAATCATTTTTTGTTATTTGTTCCGAAATGTAATTAAACAAATAATTAAAATAAAAAAAACTTTTATAATAAATATTAATTAAATGTATCGGTAGTTAAACATAGATTAGAAAAAAAATTAATGTAATACATGTTACATCTTATTTTAAAATATAATTTGTTTTATTTAACCCTGTTTTCATCCCTACCCATAGCATTCGAAATACCTTAAAAATTATGAATAATCAATTCTGTCACATAATTATGATAGTATTACGATTGCGAAATTAGGTTATATTACCTGACGAATGATTATTTTTTTTTTTGTTCGTTAAATTTGTACACTTGTTCATTGTTTATAGTTTATGAGTTTAATTTATTTTATTCATAAATTATTACATGTAAAAAAAAAGTTAAAATCAGTATTAAAAAATATCTCTTTATAAAAACCACATTCAGTTAGATTCGAACCAACGACAAACACCGACTCTGAATTCAAGAGCTGAATTATCATAGGAGCCATTCATTGTATGGATGTGTACCGACAGTGCGACTTTTGACACACACACACAAATATGTGGGAACGTCCATGTACGAATGTGTATGCTAAGCAAGCACGTGGTGACTTGTACATAGGTACAAGATCAATAGTTACTTAACTTACGGGGTAAACTTTTAGAATATAAATAATGAGTAATTTGCATTGTATGTGAAACGTACATTTTTTATTTTTCAAGTACATTAGTATAAATTTATACCATTCGCCTTAATAATTCATTAATTTTATCTTCGCGATTACCAAAATCACCACCTTCAACGTAATGATTGGTCTTTTTTCGCCATCCACCGGTTGGTGTGTTGAGCTGTAAAAATTTTATTTGTTATAATATTGTAAAATTTTTTGTATAGAAATGTGTAAAATTCAAACCATGTTGTATATATAAATATAACATACAACAAATGCTAAATTTTGTATTAATTTATGACATAGTGAGAGGCAATGTAATATTGTTTGACTATCATTACCATGCCTATGTCAATACAATCTGTTAATGAATAATAATTTTGTAATTACCTTGAAAGGCCAGAGGAAATTACTAGCGTACTTGAATTTGGGTCCAACTGTGAAAACTTCATGAATTAAATCTTCAACACAAATAATACCAGAGCGTCCTAAAAATCAGAAATCATAATGAGTATTAGTAGAACTAAATAGTTACTTATAAATATACAAATTTATCTCATTGAAATAAAAGAAAGAACTTACCTAATTTTTGTTCAATTATGGAGTTACTGGTGATGGGAATTCGCTGACGCTCAATCTTAGCGAAACCCCGTTTATAAATTAATTCACGAACGGATTTCAAGTTAGGATAACCCCATGTGATGTAAGGTTCGACAATACGAAGCATGTTAATTGTAGCTTTATTCAATTTCACAAATACTCCATTGTTAATTTGCTTCAATCTAAAAAGCTGAAGAATCTTTCGAACCTTTGGAGCAACTTGATTCACACTGTTGGATAAAAATTATAATGAACACAAGTCTTAAAGGGTTTGATGTTTTAACGTAGATTCAATAAATTTTCTCAGTAATAGTAATGAATCTTACCCCCGAATTCGAATAACAAATGCGAGACGTGCTTCACCAGGTATGTAGTAATTACCACGACTTTTAGCTTGTCTCATCAATCTGATTTCATCTCTTTCTTTCATTCGGTATTCCTTCACATATTTTTCTGCACGTTTGAAAATTTCTTTTCGTTTCTTATAATGTGCTGCACGTTGCTAAACAAATCAATTGAAAAAAATAAAATTTAGTATATTTCAATAAAAATTCAATTCATTATGGTGAACAGAAATGTAAAGCTGAAGTACTTTGATAGAAGCCTGAAGACGGGCAACTTTAGCAGTTTGACGTCGTTTTCTTCTTTTTAAAATAGACTCAGGAACTGCAGGTAATTTTTTGGCTGCCGAAACAGCTTCTTTCTTCTGCCTGAAAATGAAATATTTACAATTGTTATATACAGTGCATTCGAATTTCGTTTTTGAGGTTATGATCATGTAGATATCAATATTTTAACAAAATAAGTATCAATTTTTAAAGATTTAGTTTTGATAATGACAAGAATTCAATTAAAATTAGAATTCTAAAATTTAGATAGTTGTTTATAAAATTTAATTGAAATAAATAGGGATAATACAGTAGTTGACAATAATACAGTATTTGACAGTTAGATACATAGACAGACGTAAAATATGAAAAATAAAAATTCTCAGTTATTAAGAAAAGATCGTATTTTTTAGAATAACATTTAATTATTATGAATCTTATCTTATACATGCGATGCTTTGAGATTTTATTTAGCGAATAAAAATACTCACGCGTCCGCCATTCTTCTATTCGGCTGAAAGACTTGACGGTATCCAAAGACAACTTCAAGTGATTGCCGATACATATGAAGCTGCTTGCTATTTTAAAAGGCGGTAATTTTAAAATATTTAAAAAATTTTTGTTACAAAAAAATATTAAATTAATAATTTTACTTTTACAATGTACTTTTGTAATTAATGTAGTGCATCAAATCAAATGTATGAATGAGTACAAAAATATTTATTATGTAAATTATTTAATTTACAGAAGTTGAAATTTATAATTTAAAATATAATTAGATATTTTTTTTGATTCTGTCGATTTTTTTATTCTCTCTATCTGTAAAAAAAATATTCTTAAAATATAGTAATAACTACTAATTGATTATATTAAAATATCTACCAATCGCATCATTTTGTACTTGTAATTCATCTCTTTATAACTTGTAGAAAAAATAGAATATTCCAATCCTCTTGCCAATTGAGCAAGATACTGAATTTCTATATCTGGCTTATTTATACAAGATGCTTTTTCATAATTTTCATTCAAAGCACTTTGCAAAAGCTCATAAATATTACATCTATGCTGAAAATTCGATAAAATATAATATAATTACCAATTAGCAACCTTTAATTGTATAATTGTTATGCTTACTATGGGTTCAAGATCTTTGACAATTCCTCCCGTTTTGTTTAGATTATAAACTGCTATGATAGGTGTCTGTTTAAGCGTTGGTAGTATATCATGTTGATTAGCAAACTCTTTAAACTTTTCCTGCCTCGTCCTTACAATTGATTCTTTTTCACAAAAATCACAAGCATCACCGCAAGGATTTATATTTATTCCAAAGTATCTTGAATAAGTCAAATGACGACATCTAAAATAAAAATGTTAATTAATAACATGGAAAAATGTTAACTTAAACGACTAAATTGGTACAGCATCATACTCAGTAGACAAGCAGTACTGTATCATGGTCTTAAATTCTTCAGAAGTTTGATTGGTCTTTCTCATAACAGTAGCTTGCATATTTATCCAATCTTCAATACCAAAATACATTCTGCAAAGAATTTTTTCATTATTTCTCAAATAACTGCCAATTTGTCGATAGTATTGTTCTAGTCTCAACGGAGGGGACCAGTGTATAATACATCTTAGCGAGGGTTTAATAAATTTCATCCCAAATTTATGTGTAATTGCTAAAATTATGATTTTTCCATCTATCCATTTTTTTTCATTTTGATTCCTTTTTATTTCCTCTAATTCTAAAAGAATTATCTATGTAAAGAAAATGTATGTATACCAAAAAAGAGAAATAAAGAGAGAATGTGATGATTATTACTTGAACAATATGCTGCTGCAGGAATACCAAGTTTAGTTAATTGTTTTGCAATCATCATTGCTTCGTGACATTTGGTACAAGAAATGATTCCCGAAAATTCTTCCGAACTGTTCATAAAATTTTCAATGAGCTTCTTTACATCGTTAATTGGATTATCTAAAATATCTTTATATTTTACTTGAAGATAAATATTTGGAAGCTTCCAATTTGAATAACTTATTTCTCGAGAGTTTTTTAGATGTAAATAGTTTTTTATGTCTGTCATGATATTCTCTGTACCAATTGAAGTTAGAGCTATAAATTTTATATGAGGATAATCATCTCGTACTTTGGTTATTTTTCTATACAACTCTACAGATTCCTCATAATATTCACTTATACAATGTGCTTCATCTACCACAATAAATGAAATTAAATCATGAGCATTTAACATTTTTATAAACGTCTACGAAAACAAAATATTTATTACTTTAATATCAATAATTAAAGCGTCTAGAAAGTGAAATATATACCTGGAACCAAGTGTTCATAAGCATATTTGAAGTCACATAAACAAATTTAAACAACTGAATAAATTTTTCGAAAAATTTCGTTAAATTAAATTCATTAGATCTCGAATGAAAATAAAATGCATCAATATTACATGTTGCTAGAAATCTTCTTTGTTCCTTAAAAAAAAAGAATTATGTATTTGATATTCTGAAAAAATATTATCAAATTATAATAATATAACGTACTTCAGCAGTATATTTGTTCGCTACAATTACAATAGTGATTTTCACATCACACAACATTGTTGGTAATTGATAACAGATAGATTTTCCAGCAGCAGGTGGCAAACTAATTAAAACATCATGTATTTCTGTAAATTAATTTGTCATCAGAATTGAATTTCTTTTTTTTTTTGTGTGGATAAATAATGGTCAAAAACAATTGTTTTTACCTGTTGATATTACAGCTAAAGTAGCATTATATTGATCTTCAGATTTGAATGATTCAAATTTAAAAAAATGTTTTAATTTTTCTTGTAATTCTTCTTTCTTTGTATCTGTCATGATTATTCAGAAGTTGAAATATTTTCTGATATAACTGCAATTACTATAAAAATCATTTAATTCTTTCTAACGTACACTCGATGTCATAGATGCTGTCCAGTTATTTAAAGGTTATAAATGCAATTTCTCCATATCTTCCTACATTTATCAAATTAAGACAGCATTTATGACGCTGAGTGTATGTATGCAAGTGTTTTTTCCGAAAAATTAAATAAGGTGAATGAACAAATGAAGCCGACAACAACAACGGCTTTAGTAATCGCCAGCACACTTGTGTGTAGCGACATAGTTCTGTAGTTATGTGAATTTCCAGTAGAGTATCTACTCTAAACAATTGAAAGTTTAAAGGGCTAAAGC